CAGCCCTCACGATCGTTGCTGGCCTAAGCGATGGATTGCACGAAACTAATGTGACTATGGATAAAAAGCTGATGAAGTAAATAGATGAGGTAACAGATGGATTGAGTATTCCGGATCCACACAGAAGAGACACAAAAACAATTTCAGAAACTAATTTAATGGTTTCCAACGCTTTCTGTCGACGCAGACGATATCTTTCAACTCTTTGTAGGTCTTTGATATCCATGTTTCCATCAACAGTAGAACCTTGGCCATTGAAAAGTTGACTCTCACGAACAGTATTACTTGTATTGGAAGTTGATGGTCCGGTCGTACTTGATTCTTGAGCTTCAACAATTGAGTCACCTCGATCCAGACGATTTTCGTCTCTGTTAGCATTGCGTCTAGCTTGCGAGTTTGAATTGCGTCGATTTGCAGCACGTCTAGCTGCCAATCGTTCGGCCCATTTTTCGTAAACACTCTCGGTGACTAGGAAGACAGCAGCAGAAAAAAAGAAGACAACAAAGTCCAGTGCGATGAGACGTAAAATCTCAAAAAAGGAAACATCATCAAGCCGATTTAACCCGATGGAATTTAAAAGAAGACCATGGAAAGAACCTGGAAAGATTTTTTTATAGACATTAGTAAGTTGCATAGAATAATAATACAAATTTTCTTGTGTCATGATAACTGCTTATAGAAATTGGAATAACCTTGTCCATTGGTCAATAAATTCAACAAACGTAGAATTTTTGCCAAAACTTTCAGACAATTCACGAGGTAAATTGAGTGATATACTTACAATAATCAAGTGTTGATCGATATGTGGCGGGTGAGACGAGAAGAACGATTTGGAAAACAACTTGAGCCGCACAAATAAGCGCTGAGCTGATGATTAAAATTTTCAAGTAAATTCCGACATTTCCTAAAAGATGATAATGGAAGGAAAGATTACGTAAAAAAGATTAGATAATTTAATTGGTTAATTGGCACATGAAATAGACTAAAGCTTGGTGCAAATTATTGGGAAAAATGCATTTTAATTATGACAGGATAATTTTGTTAGAAATTTCACGATCAATATTTCTTTATTAAACAGTTAATCATCATACGTTAGAACAGTAACATCGAAAAAATAGAGCGATAGTTAAATTTCAAGTCTCCATAGACTGAATAATAAATTTTTCAAATAAAAACAAGTTAAAAATTTAAATTGAGCCTCATTGATCGTCAGTAAATTAGCTGCTACACGAAATTATTATTATCGAGTGATCTTTTCCTTTCACAATTAAAATGTGTTTGCAATACTTTGCATTAGCTTAATTACTTGAGAATAGAAACTTCCATCATATTGTCACAAGCTAATTTCAACAACAACAGATGAGAGAAGACAGTGAAATTACACAGAAGGGGAATAACCGTTTGAACAATTAAAACATACCTTTAGTTAAACTCCTGCCACTGGAATATGGAAGAAAAGGTCCAACCAATAAATGAACCAAATAGATGCCAGAGAATAAATTTTGTCGTATGCAAACAGCTAAATAATAGGAATTTGAAATTAAAAGAGAATGACAGTTGAAAAAAAAGTTTAGCAGATTGACAAATTATGACAGGAATGAGGGCAAGAGGAAAAATTAATCAACAATTTGAAAGAGAGAATGGAATAAAAAACTTACCAAAAAGAAGTAAAATAGGTATACCAACTCTTATAAGAGTATAGCATACAGCTAACTCGAGATCCATTGTGAACAACTGAATTAGTTGAACTAACAATGAAAGACTTCCATTGATAGTAAACCAACCGACAGATTCACCAAAATCATGAGACCAGAATCAAGAGCCAGATAGAGGATATTTGATATTTTAGATACAAAAGGCAACAAATATTTGGATTGGCTGGATAAAAAATCGATGGATTTCGATAGCTATCGATATTTTATATCGATATCTCACATTGTCTTCAATGGCGCAGCCTGGTTACAAACTGCTATCGATATTTTGAAATATCATCCCATCTTTTTATTTGAATCCTATACTATCAACACATCAGTAACAAAAATTTGTTTAATTAGCTTTTTACTTTGTGATATTCATTCCTATCGTCTTTCTTGGATCGTGATTACGATATCATTCAATTTGGACTTACTGATACTATTATTATGCCTAAAATAAGGAGTAAAGTATGGGAGCATTTCCAAAAAGACGAGAAACATGGAAAAGCTTACTGCCGATATTGTTCATCTACTTTGGTTATCAACAATCCATCCAATTTGAATAAACATTTAAGATCCAAACATCCTGTAATTTATGCTGCTAAAAAAGCTGATGTTTCTTTGGGAGAACCAGCCCAGGTAGTTACAATAACTCAACCAGGTAAGTTAGCTATTATCGCTTAATTACTTCAGGATGGTTGTAACTATTTTTTAGCCAAAAATGTTGAATATCTTGTAGTGAAATAAGTCTTCAATTTTTGTGAAGTCTTTATTGTTTGGTTTTTGCTTGCTATCTATATTGTATATTTATCGTTTTATCTTTATATTTTAGGCGCTTCTGCAAATGCTACACCACAGAAGACTCCTGAGACTAGAAAGATTGGAAATAGCCAAGAGAATATTGTACGCTCAATTTTAAAATTCATCGCTAAAGACAATATACCAGTTAATATCGTTAATGGTGATGGTTTTAGTGATTTGATCAAAGATTTGGTTCCATGTTATACGCCGATAACCAGTAAATTAGCCAGGAACAAGCTCGACCATTATTATGATATATTATTTCACAAGAAAAAAGCTGAACTTTCTAAAATTGAGTACATTAGTTTGACCGCGGATAACTGGTTGGAAACTACTACCGCCACAAATTACTTAAATGTAACAGCTCATTATATAGGAAATGATGGACGTACAAAATCTGTTTTGATCTCTTGTAGACCTTTTGATGAAAATCAATCAGCTCAAAATATCAAGTCAACTTTTGAAGAAATATTGCAAGAATGGAATATTCCAGCATTCAAGATTGTTTGTTTGGTAACCGATGGAGAAGCAAATTTACTTGAGAGTGGACAAATATGGCCAGGAAAAGGTCGGAATTTTGTTTGCTTTGCTCATAGATTGAATTTAGCAGTACGGGCAGCTCTTGAAGCAACAACTGATGTCATGGCGGTCTTAGAAAAAGTTAAAAGCATTGTTGATGCTCTCGTTCGTGAACAAGCTGCCTCAGATGAATTGGCAAGAGTATTCGAACATGAAGGACAACGTTATGTTAAGTTGGTGCAGTGTAATGATTCACGATTCACATCGATTTATAAAATGGTTGAAAGATTTATCTCCTGTTATGATTTTGTATCACTGGCTTTGACTCAATCTTATGGAGGAGGAATGGTGACTAGCCAGGAGAAAGACGTTCTCATGGATGTGTTAGCAGTATTGAAACCATTACAACTTGTTGCTGATGAATTGTGTGGAGAGAAATTTCCTACACTCAGCAAAGTGATTCCAATAACATTGTGCCTGAAAAGAGCTCTGGAGAGTATTTCACCCATCACTGACAGTGGTTTGTTGTTAAAACAAGCTTGCTTCGAAACCATTCAAGCCAAAATTGGTGATCCAGAATTTGCCACTATTGCTGCAGTTTCCACTATTCTTGACCCACGATTCAAAAATATCGATTTTCAGCATGCCACTGCATGTTCAAATGCCCTTCGTATTGTAAATGACTACTTGAACACGCGATCCACGGCAACTGAAGTTCGAGTTGAACAACCGGCTACCCATTTACTGTGGTCTCATCATGACAAATTGGCCTCGAATATTTCTATCGACCAATCTTGTAATAATTCATTGCATCCTTCACTTAAAACATATCTTGAATCACCCATTTCCCACCGATTCTCCGATCCAGTTGCAATTTGGCATGAGATCGGATTTGACAAGCATTTAAAAAATTATGCCCTTAAGCATCTAAGCGTTCCTGCAACTTCTGTCTCACCTGAGATACTTTTTACTAAACATGGTGATCTTGTGAGCCATCGACGGAGCCAAATTAAACCTAAACGATTGCAGAGGTTATTGTTTCTAAACAGTTTGTCGCTTGATGAGTTGAAAGGAATCTAGGAATCCAAACTAATTTAATGAATTTTTAGGGTTTTAGATTTACAACCTCAACCGCCATTTTTTGCCTCTCTTTCTGATAAGGTCGTCCTTAAAAATCTATTCATTTCGCATGTTGAGTAATTAAACTAATTTCACTGTATGTACAAAAAGATCGCTTCTTTTCATAATAAAATCATAATCTTAAAACAAATTCCGAAAATCTATTGTTATTTATCCTTATTAATATTCACTCCGTTAATACTCGGTATATTAGTCCTCAATAATAGTCGGTAATTTTCTCCAATCATGATTATTTGACGCAGGAACATCATAAGTTGGTTGGATATTAAAAATTAAAAATAAACCGTTTATTTTAGTTAAACTTGCAATCATAAGTTATGATTCATAACTTGCCATATTAATAGGCTTTTCAACAAGTTTCACAAAATCAACAATAGAAGGAGTTGTTCAGAATATTTTCCCTCTCTTTTTGAAGTTTTACGCGCGATTAGAAGATAAACAGTCCAAAACTAGCTCTCAAACCTAATCATTTTTAGTTTTGTCTTCGTGCTGTCTACATCAACAGGTTTTATTGCAAATTTTTTTTGTGTTTTATCCTTTTTATTTATTTCAATTTTGTGAATATAATCATCAAAACCATCATCAAAACATAACCACCATGTCATCTGACTCAATCTCAAGATCGGAAACCAGTTCACCAGTAATAACTTCTGTTGTTAATATTTTGGACGGTGTCAATTGGGCCGACATTGATTCTGAAAATGAAGAAGATATCTGGGAGAAAATGAATTCTTCAATTGTTAAATTAACATCTAAACCAAACGACAATTCAAATATTGAAAAAAGTGAAAAAAATGCCGCCAAAATCGACAAAAACAACAAATGCAAGAGTGAAGACAATGCAAGCAAAAGACCGCGTAAACGTTTAGCCTCCGAGACCTCATCATCATCATCCACCTGTTCTTCTACTGATATTAGAAAATGTACCAAGAGAAGGAAGAAGCAGTTGGAATTCGAAGAGGACAAACAAGTGTTAAATAGAAGATCGAAACAAATCGATTATGGAAAAAACACGTTGGGTTACCAAAATTATCTCAAAATCATACCCAAAGACAAAAGGATGGCTGATGATCCACAGACACCAAACAAATTTTTGAAATTCAGCCGTCGCTCTTGGGATCAACAGATCAAATTATGGAGAAAAAAATTGCACACATTCGATCCACCCGAGGAATCTAGCGAGAAATCTGACGATTTAGATCTGGTCGATATAGACATGTCCGAAGTTAATGATCTCATCTATGCTCTGCAATAATTTGCAAATTTTATATCTTAACAATGTATTTTGGACAATTTTAGATAATCATATCGAATATTACGATTCAATTATTTACAAGCGATATGTATACAAATAAAACCTTATTAAATATATTATAACTCTTACGATTTTGCATCAAATTCTTTCGAAATCAAATATCAAATTTAATATGAAAATCTTGGACGGTTTTTAACAAAAAATGTGTAAACTAGTGAGTTTTATGGTTATTATAACATTAAATTGCAATCTTTGCATTTTCTGGTCCAGTCAGAACCGATTTTTAGAGTCAGTTGTTTCTTTATTGGTGAGAATCAAACGAAACGCTGGATCATCAGAATAATTTGCGAATAAAAATTCTTAAGCAAAGAAATTCCCTCCAAACAAAGATTTCAATTGACAGGCCCATTCCAGCCAACAATGGGATTATATTTTTAGATGATTTTTCTGATAGAAAGATTACATATAAAGTTGAATGGACTTGGGTTTGATCAGAAATACTGCAAATATCCGGATCAAAAGTATCAGGAAGGCCATAGATTTTAATCAAATCATAAGGAGAACCTGAAATAAAATAAAATATTCGTTAGAAATGCTGCAAATACGTTAGAATTTCTTTGCTTACCATTAGCGATAGCATATGTGATTTTCAACTTTGATTTTTAAGTCTCGGCATTTTCAACTGCATCCATAAACTGTGAAAAATACAATCAGGATGATTTCCAACAATAATGTAATAGCAGAACACCCATCTGGATCATAGCCGTCTGTATCACAGAGAAGCTTTAATCGAATCTATGAATAAATGCAATAATTTGGGGTTAGAATTGATCAAATTAACGACATGATTCATGATTTACCTCTTTTTACAATTTTGATACAGATCGGTGATAGCATCAACTAAACAGACACTTACCATCACTTGTCAGATTTTATAGCCTTTGAGTAGTGAACTTGTCAAAATAACTGAAACAGAAAGAAGAAAAGGCAATGTTATCGTCAACAATTGATTTACAGAATAAGTGGTTAATCAAAATAGCAAGTTTAAAATAATCACCTTTTTTCTTCCATAATTGTTCTGTTCTTCAAAAATTCAATACTTTCAATATAATAAAACTTTATATTGAGAATTTTTCCCTCTGGTGATCCAACTTTCTCGATTTTTAGCCTGGAAAGTGTTTCAAGAAAAATTAAATAAATTAAGAACACTTGAATTAATTTTATCGAACAATAAACCGCTTTAAACAAAAAAATACTTACCATCAATGTTTTCAGGATAGGTTGTTGTCATCTCTTGAGATATTTTCAGTAAAAACGTCCTTATTTATGTTTTTCAAATCATATAACCATTTAACATAATAAGCTGATTGATCTTCTATTTTAGATTCATCGACAAATGATTTAATGTTATATCGATTGAATTCATAACGAATTTGAGCATTTCTACTTGACTTTGCGGTGTAAGATGTTAAACATCAACAAAAGCATTATGAAGGTGGTAATCTTGTAAAGGGTGTTGAGGTTAGTAAGGTTCAAGCAATCACTAACCAAAATGTTGATAAAGAGATAAAGATGATAAAATGAAAATGTCTCATTGTCTTCGTCTTCATCAACCATCTTTGCCATTGATATTTTCATTTTTATCATATTTATCTCATTATCAACATTTGGGTAAGCGATAGCTTGAACCTTACTAACCTCAACACCCTTTAAACAGAATAGCAGCTCGATGAGTTATTCAATTTAGTATTTGTATAAAGGGCTAATAATTGACCTTCTGAATACGGTTTAATTCGTTTACGCTTGCAGATCACTTGATCACGAAAATTAATTTCCATTGTATCAGATGCAAGAAACAAAAATAAAAACATTAAGTATTCCTTACACTTTGGTTTGCTGTCAGATGATTTTAAATTGTTTTGAAAAAGATACTTGTCAACAATCACCAGGTGTCATTGTTTTCAAGTTTATTTTATTTAGACATAGATGGCACCCATACGAACCTAAATAACTTTTGGTACAAAAGTTTTAAGTTCCGAAACTAGAATAGAAGTTACAAAAAATGTAAAGGTTAAGAGTTTAATGATAAGATAACCAAGATTCTTCTATTTCGGTGCAGAAACGGCTTCAATTGATACTTAAAATGTTCAATATAGCATAAAGATTAACCACGATTCGGTGAATAACGACGGTCGGGGGGAAAGTCCATATCTCCGTCACGACAACAAAAGTACATTGAGTGAACTTGATTGATATTGTAATCGGAATAGATTCTACTAAATTCAGCACCATCATCATGTCGTCTCTCGTTTGCAGCATTGAGTTTTGCATTCAATTCAGCATTTGTAAGTAGTTTTACTCTTCTATCCATTATAGCTCTGGTACTCGTGTATTGACACCAGAACCAGTCACATTCTGAAACACTAACCACATCTGAAGACGCCACTCCAAATTCTATCAGGAGACCTTTTCGCCGGGTTGAGTAACAAAATGACGTATGCACACAAAAACAATCACCATCATTGAAAATTCTGATAAAAGTTTCATTTTCAACAGGTTCAACCATGTCAATTCTAGCAGATGGAGTTAAAAAAAACTTGATGTCAGTCAAAATAAATTTAAAGAGTCAACAAAAACAATTTTTACCTGTATTTAGTTTCTTGGTTGTGTAAAATGCATGTATCTAGTCTATGGGACAGGATTACAATCGTGAAGCATTCAATCGGTACTTTGGTGAATGAAGCAAGCTATAATTTTAAGTAAGACAACATTTAGTATTAAGAATGTAAATTGGATGATTGAATGATCTTACCTTTCGCATAAATAGTTGCTGTTTATATTCACAACTTTCATCTGACCAGTCAAGAACAATATCATGATAATCTTCATCACTCAATTTCATTTTGATCGTCACTTTATCCGGCAATTCATTGTTTGCATTCATTTTAAACAAAGTTGGTAATGAGAAATTTAGCAAATTACGTTGGTGAACTAAGCAATATTGATAAATAAGAAATTTTTTGAGATCTATATTCGCTGTAAAACGGAAACAATGTGCTTGAAGCAACCCTTTTGTTGGAAACACAAGAATACCAAACGACCACCTGAAAAAAACCTAAAAGAACTGACCAGAAACTAGTTTTGACCTCAGAATAGGAAAGTTACAGAAATGTAATATTAATGTAATATTTATACAGATAAACTTTTATTAAATATATTAATTATAAGATTAACCACGATTCGGTGAATAAAGACGTTCGGGGGGAAAGTGCATATCATCGGAACTACAATGAAAGTACAGAGAGTGAACTTGATTGATATTGTAGTCGGAATAGATTCTACTAAATTCAGCACCATCATCATGTCGTCTCTCGTTTGCAGCATTGAGTTTTGCATTCAACTCAGAATTTGTAAGTAGTTTTACTCTCTTATCCATTAAACTTCTAGTACTCGTGTATTGACACCAGAACCAGTCACATTGTGAAACATTAGCCCGATCTGGAGTAGCCAGTTCAAATTGTATCACAAGACCATTTTTTTGGTCTGACCAACAAAATGTCGTATTGACACAAAAACAATCACCATCATTGAAAATACTGATAAAAGTTTCATTTTCAACAGGTTCAGCCATGTCAATTCTATTAGATGGAAGTTAAAAAAACCCGATATCAGTCAAAATTTATTTGAAGAGTCAACAAAAACAATTTTTACCTGTATTTAGTTTCTTGGTTGTGAAAAACGTGTGTATCTGGTCCATGAAACAGGAAAACATTCGTGAAGTATTCAATCGGTACTCTGGTGAATGAAGCAAGCTATAATTTTAAGTAAGACAACATTTAGTATTAAGAATGTGAATTGGATAATTGAATGATCTTACCTTTCGCATAAATAGTTGCTGTTTGTATTCACAACTTTCATCTGACCAGTCAAGAACAATATCATGATAATCTTCATCACTCAATTTCATTTTGATCGTCACTTTATTGGTTGCATTCATTTCAAACAAAGTTGGTAATGATTAATTTAGCAAATTATGTTTTGAGATCTAGATTTGTTGTAAAACGGAAACAATGTGTTTAAAGAAACCCTTTTGTTGGAAATACAAGAATACCAAACGACCGCCTGAAAAAAACCTAAAAAGAACTGACCATAAACCAGTTTTGACCTCAGAATAGGAAAGTTACAGTAACCTTGTCAGAAACTAAATTGAGTGTTTTAAATTTTTAAGTCTTTGGTGCTGAATCTCAGGTGAGATTGAAAATAGCCATAGAGATAATACATCAATATAAATACAATATGAATATGTAACGGAATATTTATACAGATAAACCTTTATAAAATATATTAATTATAATTCTAACCATTTTGAATAAAATTTTTTCAATTGTGAAATTTTTTATAATGAAAAATATAAATTGAGTACATTTTGCGGTCAATCATGACAATTGTACCATCAATGTTTTTAGGATCATCTCTTGAGATATTTTCAGTAAAAACGTCCTTATTTATGTTTTTCAAATCATATAACCATTTAACATAATAAGCTGATTGATCTTCTATTTCAGATTCATCGACAAATGATTTAATGTTATATCGATTGAATTCATAACGAATTTGAGCATTTCTACTTGACTTTGCGGTGTAAGATGTTAAACATCAACAAAAGCATTATGAAGGTGGTAATCTTGTAACCACAGAATAGCAGCTCGATGAGTTATTCAATTCAGTATTTGTATGAAGGGCTAATAATTGACCTTCTGAATACGGTTTAATTAGTTTAAGCTTGCAGATCACTTGATCACGAAAATTTATTTCCATTGTATCAGATGCAAGGAAAAAATAAAAACATTAAGTATTCTTCTCTTTCGGCGCAGAAACGGATTCAATTGATACTTAGAATGTTAAATATAAAATTAAAATTAACCACGATTCGGTGAATAAAGACGTTCGGGGAGGAAGTCCATATCTTCGGAACGACAATGAAAGTACATTGAGTGAACTTGATTGATATTGTAACCGAAATAGAGTCTCCTAAACTCAGCACCATTATCAACATGCCGTCTCTCGCTTGCAGCATTGAGTTTTGCATTCAACTCAGAATTTGTAAGTATTTTTACTCTTTTATCCATTAAACTTCTAGTACTCGTGTATTGACACCAGAATCGGCTACATTGTGAAACATTAGCCCGATCTGAAGACTCTAGTTCAAATTGTATCACAAGACCATTATCTAGGTTTGACCAAAAAAATATTGTATTTAGACAGAAACAATCGCCATCGCTGAAAATACTCATAAAAGTTTCATTTTCAACAGGTTTAAACATGTCAATTCTAGCAGATGGAGATAAAACCCGATGTCAGTCAAAATTTATTTAAAGAGTCAACAAAAACAATTTTTACCTGTATTTAGTTTCTTGGTTGTGAAAAATGCGTGTATCTTGTTCATGAGACACGATTACACTTGTGAAGTATTCAATCGGTACTCTGGTGAATGAAGCAAGCTGTTTTAAGTAAGTTAATACATGTTTTTAGTATTAAAAATGTATTAATGTATTATTAATAAATTGGATGATTGAATGATCTTACCTTTCGCATAAATAGTTGCTGTTTGTATTCACAACTTTCATCTGACCAGTCAAGAACAATATCATGATAATCTTCATCACTCAATTTCACTTTGATCGTCACTTTACCCGGCACATTACTGTTTGCATTCATTTTAAACAGAGTTGGTAATGACCAATTTAGCAAAAGATGTTGGTGAACGAATCAATATTGATAAATAAGAAATTTTTTGAGATCTAGGTTCGTTGTAAAACGGAAACAATATGCTTAAAGCAACCCTTTCGTTGGAAACACAAGAATACCAAACGACCGCCTGAAAAAAACGTGATGCTCAGGTGAGATTGAAAATACACTAAAGTACCAGGTTAAAGCATTTGATGACAACAATGAAAACAATGTAAATTTACATAAAATCATAGATGGCGACTATAAAAATTGCTTTAAATGGAACACAAAAAATTGCTTTAACCGGGTAGTACCCGGCGGGTACTCTAGTGTAGTCAAAGAGATAAAATATGATAAAATACAATTTGAATATGGAATATTTATACAGATAAACCTTTATTAAATATATTAATTATAATTCTCACCATTGTGAATAAAATTCTTTCGATTGAGAAATTTTTTATAATGAAAAATACAAATTGAGTACATTTTGCGGTCAATCATGGCAATTGTACAAACTTAAAGAAATTTGTAATTTGCTATCGTTTAAATTAATTGTACTATGTTCCAAAAACGATGATTTTCAAGTCGCTGTGAGCGAAATTTTTACATTCGAAATCAAATATCAAATTTAATATAAAAGATCTTTGACAATTTTTAACAAAAAAATGAGTAAAATAGTGAGTTTTATGGTTATAATCACATTAAGTTGCTATCTTCGGATTACTTTTATCATCTGGTTCATTTGCAGAGCCAGTTATTTCTTTATCGGTCAGGATGAAACGAAACACTGGATCATCGGAATAGTTTGCGAATAGCCAATTCTTTAGCAAAGCAATTCCCTCTAAATCAATTTTTTTCTCCGCTTCAACCATTTCAATAGTTTTTTCATTCAAACTATGAACATCAACGAAATCTTTGTTTTTTCTTATTGATAGAAGTCGACCCAAAGATAATTTAACCATTGAACAAATTTCATTATACAAAGGATGAAAAGATGGAAGGATTTCTTGAAGTCTCTTCAGTAAGAAGCTCGACATTGCGGCAATCAAAAAAGCAGACCTGTAAGAGGGAGAAATGAGTATTTAATAGCAAGATAGACACTTGTTTGAAGAAACGAATTCAATGAAAAAAGTACGAGAGACTTACTTTGGTGTTAATGTTTTCTTTGTGAATTTCATGGCAACAAAAGATAGGAATCCTTGACTGACAACTTCATCAACCATGTAAGATTGCGTTCTACATAGTTTCAATGCAGAACTTATCACACCATTACACACTTCATCGCTGGAGGCGTAATAGCAAACGTCTTTTATAAGCATAAACCAAAGGCCTAGTATTTTGGCCTCATAGTGCAACAAAGATTTCAATTGGCAGGCCCAGTCAAGCATTCCAGCCAACAGCGGGATTATATTTTTGGATGATTTTTCAGATTGAAAGATCACGTATAAAGTCAGATGGGCTTGGGTTTGATCACAAATTCTGTAAATATCAGGATCAAAAGTATCAGGAAGGCCATAGATTTTAATCAAATCATCAAGAGAACCTGAAATAGAATAAAATAGTCGTTAGAAATGCTGCAAATACCTTACAAGGAATGCATGGTTGGTCCTACGACAATTTTGAATTTTTTTTGGGCTTAAAATATTCTAATGGATCAGATATGACCCTTTGTAAAGTCTTTCGTTTCGGAAATTCTCCGTTTCAAAGTTACAGGGTTTCAAAGCTGTTTTTACGCAGGTTAATATGCTTAATGCCAGTAATGTCGATCTATGATAAAATGGTCAATATGTTTTTTAACAAATCCATATTGCTTTCAATAGTGTTAAACTATGCAAAATTGATACTTTGACACCCTGTAACTTTGAAACGGAGAATTTCCGAAACGAAAGACTTTACAAAGGGTCATATCTGATCCATTAGAATATTTTAAGCCCAAAAAAAATTCAAACTTGTCGTAGGACCAACCATGCATCCCTTGTTAGAATTTTTTCTTACCATTAGCGATAGCATAAAGTGTGATACATCGTTCACTTAGGTAAATAAAAAGTGGGAAAAACTTGATGGCTCGACGAGAGCAATCCAACATTTCCAATATATTTGTTTTTGATTCAGATACGAGTTCCAAAATAATTCTGAGTAAAATATGTTGTGGGTCATGAATTGTTACACTATTTATAAATTTTAAAAGAGTTGTAAGCAATGCTTCACGGTGATGGGAACCTTTAAAAAAATAAGATCACTGAATTAATATTTGCTACAAATTTGGAAAGGATATTTCTTACCTTCATTAAGAGATCCAATGATATCTTCAAGGCATTTTTTAAGAAATATGGAAATTTTTTCAGGCTCGTCTTTGAGAATGTTCGGGTCATTTCGAATGGAATCAAGCAAAAAATTGGTGATAGTTTCGGTATAAATAATTTGTTTCCTTTTGTGATCTTCTCTTAGTGCACCACTTCGAAAGTTTTCTTCACTCAAAGTTAATCCACAGACAACTCGAATAACTCGAAGATAAAACTTATTCATATCACTTTTGTTATGAATTAACGCAGTTATCTTTAACTTTGATCTAAGAAGACGACAGATGGACTTGGCTTGCTCTGAAGTAACCATGAAAATTGGTAAATCTGTCAACTCCAGCATATCCGATTTATCGATGGCATAAATTATGGAATAAGCGAGCCATTCCATTGATTGAGGTATAGATTCATATGAAATTGTTTGTACACACGAATTCCAGTTGACTGTACACAGGATATGACGGATAAGCATGAAAGGTGGTGTTTTTTCGTGTTGACAGGCTTCGTACATAAGCTTTATATCATCAGAACTTGGAATATAATAGTTCCAAGGTAGACTTTTGAGTTTGTTTTGGATAGCTTCAGAATAGACAACATGATTTAATGCCTTGATTGATGAATAATATTCAGCAAGAACCCTCCAACTGTATGAAAGTATAAGTGAACTACTCTCGTTGAAGATACGCATTAAATATTGAAGATTACAAATGAATAAATCCCAAATTTGATCAAAATCTTTCTTGTCTACAGTTTGACTTATTTCAGATGAGATTAACCAAGGTTTCCATGCTTCGTAGAGAGGAGGCCAAACATGGTCAAACGCAACTGTAAAAGATAAAATAAATAAATAAATTAATAAAATTCTTAAACTTTCCTTTAAATATATGTTGTCGGATAATTCACCAGCTTCTTTTCTGTTGCTGTGGATCCACATTAATGATATCGTTGATAATACAATGCTGAATGGTTGAACGTAAGCTCTGAAATAATCAATAAGATCGATCCGAATCTTTTCCTCTTTGATTTGTTTGAAATGATTTGTGAATAGGCTGAGCAAGTTGTGCAACTGCGAGTCAAATTTGGTAATATTAGTATATGAGGATGTCATTCTAGGATGATCCGATTTTACCTCATACGTTGAAAATATTGGTTGACTTTCTGCGTATTTTCGCATTTCGTTTACCAAATCGATTAGTTTAGTTTTATTGGCAGGTAAATAGAAACCGAAAGAGAGCAAAATATCGTTCCAAAGACCTGGATACAACAGAAATGAGTCCATGCCTATTTAATTTGAGATAAAAAAACAAAACATTAAACTGGGTAGAACATTTTTCATGACTTAAACACAACAAAATATAATTATGTACCTCTAAGCAAATTTTGAATGACTGGATGAAGGTATGAAGGGAATCGACAAATAACCATGTATTGTAAATGTTTTCGGTAAAGCTGTAAACAAAATATAAGATTAGTTTATAGATAATTAAAATTGTAATTAATGGAAAAACTTCTTCCATGTTTGTTTCAATATACCCCTAAAAGCATTGTTTTGTCTGAATCAGGATCTTGGCCAAAGGCGAAAAGTGCGTTTATCAAAAGATTCAAGAATTGGTGGATTTTCTCATCTGAAGCAACTTTCAACCAGTTACTGACATCAAACTAAAAAGAAAAAATTATAAGATTAGAAAATGAATTTTACAATTGATGTTACTTCGTTAATTTACCTTGCTTAATAAGACAAATAAGATGTGTGGTGGGGTTTTGTAAAGGTTTTTTTGAATCATTTCGTACATGGACAAGAAACAATTGATTGTACATCGAGAAGGTGCAAGTCGAGGAGCTAAATATTCAATAATTATTGGTTTATCTAGACTAGTTTGAAGTAAAAAGTGACTGTTGTTATCTCTTTGTAATTCTTGATCCTAAAAAATAAAAATAAACATTAGTTTTGATGTTAATTATGAAAAGTAAAAACAATCATCGAAAATAATACGAACAAAAGTTAGACTGTCAATCAGTAAATTGAACAGGTTTTTGGAAGGAGCAAAATTTAAAGATGAATTTTCTTCAATCCAGGTAAGATAAAATCTTAAAAGACTTTCACATGGATCGGCTGATGATGTTTTATCCATATCATTCATGAGGAGACTAAAGAGATGAAAATTTTAAATTAGAAATGTAATGTTTTGCATATAAACAAATGATTACTTACGGAATACATTTTTCAATAAAGATTGAGGCGCAAATTGATTTATCTGACGGAAGCTCCAGAAGTTCAGTAACCAAGTTATTAAAATCATTTCTAATACGTTCAATGTTCTTAACAGTCTCAGCATTTTCAACTGCCTCCATAAACTGTGAAAAATACAATCACGATAATTTAATATCACAAAGGAAAACAAAATAGATGAGAAATAGTAAACTCACCTCAATAGTAATTATAGCAACACCAGAACACCCATCAGGATCATAACCGTCTTTATCACAGGGGAGCTTTAATTGAGTCTATGCATAAATTAAATTATTGGGGATTAAAATTGATCAAATTAACAGAATGATTCATGATTTACCTCTTTTTTACAATTTTGATACAGATTGTTGATAGCATCAACTAAACTGACACTCAGATTGTATAGCCTTTGAGTACGATTGTCAAAATAACTGAAACAAAAAGAGAAAGGGCAATGTTATGGTCAACAATAGATTTACAGATTATGCTAATCAAAATATTCAGTTCAAAATAATCACCTTTTTTCTTCCATGATTGTTCTGATATTATCTCTTAAGTATTTCATAACAGCTCCTGGAGTTCTCTTCAAAAATTCAATACTTTCAATATCATAAAACATTATATTAGGAATTTTTTCTTCTGGTGGTCCAACTTTCTCAATTTTCAGTCTCGAAAGTGTTTCTAAAAAATTAAATAAAGCAAGAAAATTCGAGTTAAATTTATCGAACAATAAATCGCTTCAAACAAAAAAATACTTACCATCAATGTTGTTAGGATCATCTCTTGAGATATTTTCCGTAAACACGTCCTTATTTATGTTTTTCAAATCATATAACCATTTAACGAAATAAGCTGCTTGATCTTCTATTTTAGATTCATCTACAAATGATTTAAATGTTGTATCGATTGAATTCATAACGAATTTGAGCATTTCTACTTGATATTGCGGTGTTAGATGATCAACATCAACAAAAGCATCATGAAGGTGGTAATCTTGTAACCACAGAATAGCAGCTCGATAAAACTTTACCATTTCTGTATGGAAATGATTATCCTTCTCTGACATTCCAGCAGCAAAATCCTTTCTGGGTTCAGTCAAAGTTTTGTGATGATAATCAATGAGAACGTCGAGTTTAGTTTTAAGGCGTTTAAGTAAATTTTCAGGGACAAGTCGCAAGCCACATGAGCCTCCAGTTGGCGAATTGGCAAAAAAGTTGGAGAAAAAATTGAACCATAAAAAGGGTAAAAGAGGATGAGAGGGAGGACAATCAATGATTGTTTTGGCCCATTCATTAATTGGTAACAATGCAATTGGAATAGGCGTTCGATAAAACCTGTCGCAAATTGATTTGATTGCAAAATCTGCAAACATATCAATGTTGGTGCTTAATTCATTAACTATCGATTCCCAAATCTTTTCCATCCTCAAAGAATCAGCTTGAGCAACTAAAAAGGCAAACCATATTTTGTCTGGAAATTTTTCCCAGAAGTAATGAAATGGTGTCGTCCAATCACATTTTTTGTTATTTGATGTCCATGGGATCCAACGAGACACTCCTTGTTGAGGTTGTTTAGTGTTTTGAAGATCAGGCATGTGTTGTGCAAAAGTATCAATGACAGTTTCCATAAGAAAATCATCAAGAAATATGAAAGATGATATCTGATCAAAAATATTAACAAGTTGTTGTAAGCCTCGAGGAGATGCAACAAACCATGACGCAGAGTATTTTTGAAATACTAGGTGAGCTAATTCACAGAGCAGTTTAATCCAGAATATAGTTAGTTCTTTCTTGTCACGTTCACCTTCAATTTGTTTTTTTATCACACCAATCAAACAATCGACCACTCTAGATGTATCCAACATAAGAAGTTGATAAAAAGTGCTAACAAATTTGGCATTTGTGGCTAGATCATTTAGCTTTGATTTATAAACTGGAAGAAGACATTCAAGAATTCGGATGCAAGGAATGTAGCATTTATAATTTAAAAGGTAGATAATTATCTCAATGTCATCTTCAAATGTTAATACACTAGAAAGAGAAAAAAAATCAAAATATTAAAAGTTATTCAAGAAGCAGTTAATGTTAATTGCTTACCTATGACCCTTTTCTGTCATCATTAAGCCAAGATAATAGGCAAAAACATTCTTATTTTCCATTCCTTTAAATACGGGAAAAACTTCACAATCTATTTGCAAATTTGGAACCGGATAAAATGAGTTAGGCTCTTTTGGTGCTTTTAGATTTTCTTCTTGCTTGAAAAATTCTATCGGATAATCTCTTTCGTGAAGCTTAAACAACAGAAATACTCTCCAGGTCCATTCAATATATGAAGCAAGCGAATTTGATTTGGCACATTTGATGGCTGACTCAAAATCAAAACCAGAAAAGGTGCACTTAATTGGAGTATCAAGAGACTCGAGAGGTTTAGTTTGTGCAATGATACCATCATAAACGATGAGAGCAATGTTTCTATGAACGGGTGGCTTCAAATTGGGTTCACCTCCATTAAAACCGTAATCAAGTTTAATCAATAAGACACGAGTTAGACGATTGAATAGGCTTTTAGTGGGATAATCGCACAACCAAGTTCGTAAAATCTCGAGTATTGAGTCATCAGGAAACCAAGAAGTGACAGGTAATTTTACAAAGAGGTCAATTATCAGCTGGCAAAACAGAAAGATAGATAAGTTTAGATTAATAAATTAGCAAAATTAATGGAGTGAATTAGATATTTCAATAAACTAGATACTTACATCATTTTCAGGCTTAGTTTCTTTCAACTTTGCTAGTAATGCTGATATGATGAAAGGATGTTGGACGATGCATTCTGAAAGAACCTGGATACAAGTGGCACTCATTTTGAGGTTGACTTCGTGTACTAGGAAACTTATTTCAAACATTTCAGTCGCAATTGTATTTACAAATTCTATCTCTTCATTGTTCCTTGATTTTATCATATTTCCAAGAGAGCGTAATAAGCATTCAGCTTCAGTTGATGAGAGAGATGGAAGTTTCTCTCGGAAGAGAAATTTCATTGCTGGTTCGTTAAATTTACTTTTCCAATAAGAATCACTAAAGTATGGACATAATCCTCCAAGTTCATCGATTTCATCTCGACCATTGTTATAAAAGACCCAAACGATATGCCACATCATTGATTCAGTAACACCTGCAAATGGTATAACACTGACAAATTTCCATACACCAAAACGTTGGCAGCTCAAAATTGTGACAACGGATCTAAGAATGAAATGGTCATATTCAACTTGTAGCCTTAAAACGAGAGCATCATCTTGATTGAAGGAACCTTTACAGGCTTGCCAAAATTTTGACACAGAATTTACAGTTTTTCTAGGGAAAAATGATAAAGATAATCAATATATAATCAAAAATTTGATAAATATAGTTTATTTAAACAAATTGAGATTGAATTTACCTTATCGCCAATGTTATATAATCGGTCAAAGTTCGGAAACGCATACAATTGAAGGTTGATAGACCTTGACGCAATATTTGTACCATCTTGGTGGAAATTGCGAGTAATTTGAGCATTGAAAGTTCAGAATATTCACCGAATGCAATACCATTTTCTGATTCTAGATGAGAAAGGAAAAATTGCCAATGAACACTGAAATGCGATAACTAATGAGTCAAATATTTCTTACCATTTATAAAACTATGTCTTTCTGTTAAAAATTTCAACATGGAATCAAAAGGAATTTGCTTAAGAAGATGTATAACATCGAATTCCGTAAGATTTACTCTATTTACAAGAACGTCTTCACCCTCGTCAACATCAGCATCGACAAGATGCCAGTATTCCTCAGATGAATTTTCACAAGATTTAGTAGGCGACGCAGGACACTGAATAAACTTTTCACGAGCTCTGTAAGACAAATAGTGAAGAAAAAAATAAAGGATGAAAATAAAGATAATTTAAGTTTCTAAGATCATAACTTACCTGATTGGAGAAATTATTGTTGATATCATATTCATACAGTGATTGAGAATTTCGATCGCTTCATCATAACTGGAGCCGTGAAATGGACTTGGACACTGTACGAATCCGGCTGCCCATGATGATATTCCTCCAGGACACCTCAACACATGATTAAGTAGAAATAATCTTTCCTCATAACCCGCTATTTCAAGAAGGCAAGCAACCAATCTGGAAATCCACTGTTTAATCAAACTCACTAATCCGTCTTCATCATTTTCAGAATTTCGGTAGAATGCAAATAAAGATGAAAGTACTGGTTTGATTTTTTGAATCTTCAGACTTCTATCAGGCTCTTTTGTAAGAAGCTCAATCTCATACTCAATATGCTTCTGAGATGCTTGGGCCATTTGCATATGATAGCAGTGATCATTAACAATAGTCTCTCTAAGGGTGAGTAAATTGGATTCCAATGATTTGACACGCTTTTCTTGCAATGAAGCTTCTTTAAAAGTGTGTTTTCCTTCGACCTGTCTATTATCAGAGCAGCGTCCTTTTTTTGTTAATACTCGTCTATTTAGCTGCCAGGCTTTACTTTGATCCTCTTCACAGTTGGACTTTAATTGAGCCAAATCATTTTTATTTTTAGCCAGCAATTCTCTCCATTTGCTTAATTTCCCGAGACATTGGTAAAAATTGCAATCATCAAGTGCCAATGATTCCTAAATGTGGGCATTGAATGATGGTGCACAGGAAAGGAAAAGAGAGATGAGGGCGTGAAATAAATTGAAATGTAAAGTATTTATAAATAATGAATATATTAACAGATCTAAAATCCTTAAAAATCACATCTAGACATGAAAAGGAAAAAATCAAAACCCTTACCTTAATGAATTTATCAACATATTCTCGTGAGTTACTCAATTCAGTATTTGTATGAAGGGCTAATAATTGACCTTCTGTATACGGTTTAATTCGTTTAAGCTTGCAGATCACTTGATCACGAATGTCAGAAATTGACTCAACTGACTCCATCATCATCAATTCAGACATTTAACATTAAAAGATAGAGAAAGGAGGATACAACTTGTTACACAGCATAAACTAGATTATCTATGAAAATTTATTTCCATTGTATCAGATGCAAGAAACAAAAATAAAAACATTAAGTATTCCTTACACTTTGGTTTGCTGTCAGATGATTTTTAAATTGTTTTGGAAAAGATACTTGTCAACAATCACCAGGTGTCATTGTTTTCAAGTTATTTCATTTGTCAGACATAGATGGCGCAGTACGAACATTAAGGTAACCCAACTTTTGGTATCAAAGTTTTATGAATACCAAAGAACCAGGTTTGACCAAAGAGGATTGATTGAAAAAGAAACATTTATTGTGATTTTGATTTTACATGAAAAATAATTTTTAGAAAACAAATTAACCTTTTTTGACTCGATTATTTGGTTGACTGTCAACTGGAACAAATTTAAAGACAGGAAATACTTGAGGTTTTGCAGTTAAAATTAAATTATTGGAGCTTAAAGATGACCCAAGATTGGCCAGTTGCAAGCCATTTGACGATTGAGAAGACGAAAAATTAGGAATGTTTTGATTGTTTAAACTTTGCTGATTCTGTGTCCAAACATCAGCTAGAAATTCAAGAGATGAAGAAGCAAATTAGTCATTATTTACAGGCATCTAATGATCACTCTGATTGAACTTACCTTCATTTGATGAACTTTGTTGGTTAACTGGATAACCAAAGCCTCGTTTAGATGGTGCTAAAGGCACTGACTGTGTAAATGGTTGTTGGATCGACTGAACAATTGGTTGTTGAACTAATTGTGGAGCTGATTGAGCTATGATCGGTGGTCTCATCATGATTGGAGATCCATGAGAACTTGATTGAGCCATTGGGTCATAATAGATTGGTGGACGATACTTGGGTCTGGGTCGAAGCACCTTGGCCAATGTTGCTAAAGCAAGAACGGAAAATAATTGTGAATCAGTTGAAACAATTAACAGTGTTAGGAAGATGAAACAATTGTAGGTAATCAACTCAATGGTTTTCATTGTCACTTCTGTTTACAAATGGCAACTATGAAAGTCAAAATGAAAAATAAATAAAGTCAACTTGGTTAAAGCAAATCATAAAATGAAGTTAAAATTTGAAGACTATTGATAAATGTTGTTAAATGTTTAAATTTAGCTATTAATAACAATAATTTAAAGTTATATTAACCAATTTGGACGTGAGATGATCAATTTTTGAATTAAACAAGAATTAGTTTTTCACTTCATTGATTTAAATAATTGCTTAAATTACGTTAACAGTTGTATTTCAAGTTTTGGGTCTCATGTTAATAGATTTGGTGCATCAAATGATCATCATTCTAATTACATTCAGACCCACCTAGCTAATTAACTAAATTAAACTGTCTGTAATTCAATGGTGTGGCCTAATCACAATTTGATTTCATCAATAAGGCGATGCCACTTTCAATTAAACAATTTCAACCAAATTGAAATTGAAAGCTAAATTTGAATCTTCATTGAAGTATCGAAAGAAATTTGATCAAAAAATTGATATTAAGGCCTAATAGATGAATAGTCTTAAGTGCTTACTTTGATTCACCAAAATTTAGTCAATTTTGACTTCATATCGACATCTTATAAAGATTTAAACACTTGATTCAATTGAAATTTGTTTGTACTTTACCGGTATCAGCTAATTTATATTACAATTAGCCTACCGAGTAACCTTTTATTTGATCAATAAACCAATGTATTCAAGAGTTGAAGATGTATTTATGTTGCTCAGTTTGATATTACTCACTCCCATTGAGGATAAATAATAATAAAACAATGCTCTTTTGAGGTATTGGTTGTCAGGCCAACAACTAATGTTTAAAAACATAAATTTAACTCGATAGACATAGACTTGTCCATTTAACTACAATAATTGAAAACTAAATCATTTATGTTTTCATAAATTAAGTGTAAAACATCTTAACTAAAACAATCTTTGTTGCGACCCTTCAACCGATCAATCGATCAATTGTTGCTGATTTGATTATGATCATCAGTTAATCAATCAGGACTTTAGCAATTTCCCATTCAGCAAGTGAAACATCATGTTTCTTATTTCCATTTCATTTTCATGGATAAATCCTTAACTAATCAAGTCAAGTAACACTTCCATTGACTGTTGAAGAGGTGAGTTTACCATAAATTAACCAAAAAATTAACCCAAAATTTGAAAATAAATCAAAATTTAGATTAAATGAACCAAAGTTGAGGCTGAATTTGATTGAGTAAATAATTTAACCTAAACTAGACTCTTGAATTCACGATGAAATTGAAATGCAAATCATTGTTTGCTGTCTTAAATTACCTTAGCTTTAGATGTTTGTTAATTTGATTTTGTGATTTAGTTAATCATTTCCTTGAAAAGAGTTATCAATTTCCGATGAAATTTCCTTCCTCTTTAATGTTGATTCACAGTGCTAGAAGTAATCATCAACAACAATTTAATAAGATAATAAAACAAAGCTTAACCAAAGTTAACCAAATTGCACAAACCATTGAACCAGAAAATAAACGGATCGCAACATTTCATAACCAAGATAAATCTCAATGCAAACAAATGTTCAATAGGAAGGTTCAACTTGAATATTATGAGATTGAAGTAATTGACTGAAATTTAATCAATTATAAATGTCAATCTAGCAAATAATTTTCATATAAATTATGAAAATAATATAATACAAGTTTTCGAGGCTAATGTCACTCCAAGCATGAAACGATTCAACTTACAGTCTACAAACAAACTGTATAAGCAAACATTTTATCCATAAAACGCTAAGTCGCTCTTTGATCGTGATTTGATTTTATACCAAAACTTATCATATTATAATAACAATCATTGATATATTTGAGTGAACAATGTGTTATTTCAGGCAATGTTATGAGAGATCCAACAATTTAGGTTATTGATTACCGATTGTAGTTTTAATTAGAGGCAATTTTTCAATGGATTCAATCAGTTTTGATTCAATTTGTATAATTAAATCAACTGTTCGATCGACAAACTAACACTGGAATAGCTTATTCACTATTTTTAGGTTCACCACTTTATTCAACGGTTAAAATAGTGATCGAGCAAAAAAGTCAAAACATTTCTATCAAGTTTATTTGCTAACGAAGCAAATTGGACTGAAGATGAGATCAAATTTACTCTGGAAGGAGCAATTCAATGATAGAGAAGGTAGCCCATTATGGTAAGCATAGAGCACTATTTTTTCGTTGATCATTCGCATAAAACAATATAACACTCTTTTTTCGTGCAATTCAACCATAGCATGTACGATGTCGTTTTCAGTCCTGATAATAACCATGTTGCTGCCACGGCTGGAACAAATATTTACATTTACAACTCGAAAGATGGCATTTTGGTAACTTCATTGAAGAACCACAGAGAAACGGTAAATTTATCTTGTTATGTAGTCTTTAATGAATATTGAATCCAAACACTCTTCTTTGTCTCTACTTGGTGAAGGTTTTAGCCTTAGCTTATTCATTAGATGGTCGGCGATTTGCTTCAGGTTCAGCTGATAAACAGGTCATCATTTGGACATCAAAATATGAAGGCATTCTTAAGTATTCGTAAGCATTTTCACTGCTTTTGTGCATATTAAATGCTTTAAAAAGACTTAATCAACACATTTGTCACATTTATGTAGACATTGAAACAAAATGCAAAAACAGGCCAAAAATGAGTTTCTTGCAAATTTAAGTTCTGTTGGTTTGTAGACAAATAAAAACTGAATCCATTAAAGCGATTCAAGAATTTAGCTGACCAACAGTTTTCGAGAAAATCGAGTTCGAAGTTGAAACTTTGATCCCTTTTTGGACAACTACGGAAGCGAATTTTTTCATGAAACTTGATTTTCTCGATGTTACTTTACATGGCCAACAAGAAAATGCACTTACTTTGGTGATCAACATTTTCTGTTTTCTGTAAAACAGATCAGTTCGCGTTTCATTTAAACCGATCGCTTTTTAAAATAGGAAATTATATTTTCAAAAGAAGTGGATTTTCTTGTTGATCATCAAAAATGACATCGGGCAAATGAAGTTTCATGAAAAAATTTGCTTCCAGAAGTGTACAAAAAGCGATCGAAGTTTAAAATTTGAACTCGATTTTCTCGAAAACTATTGATTGAAGAAGTTCATTAATTGCACAAATAGACTCAGTTTTTATTTGTCTACAAAGCAACAGAATTTAAATTTGCATGAAACTAATTTTTACCCGGTTTTGTCCGTTGGTTTTTCAGTGTTTGTGTCAATTTGTGCATAAATGTTTGATTTGTGTTTATTTGTTTCTTTTTAGTAACATTTCTGTTTTTTATTGTCTTTATTTGGTCTTAATTAGGCACAATGAAAGTGTCCGTTGTTTGCAATTCAATCCAATAACTGGTCAACTGGTTAGTTGTGCCAATCTAGATTTTGGTATTTGGTCTCCCGACCAGAAGTCTGTAATAAAGCATAAAATATCATCTCCAATCAATTGTTGTGCTTGGTCGTCCGATGGTCATCACTTGGCTTTGGGAACAAATGCTGGTTACATTTCAATCAGATCAAGGGTATAATAAACAAAATTAAATTACAACTGAATTATAATGTTTGAAGCAATTTAGGTTGGAGAGGAGAAACAGAGGATTGATAAAATGAGTTCAATGGCTGGATCAATTTGGGGAATCACATTTATAACAAGCAAAGATGATGAGACAATTACATTTGCCACTGCCGACTGGTCCAAATCATTAACTTTTTTTGATATTTCTGGTAAACAAGTAAGTTAACTAATCCAGTCATCTAATGATTGACAATAACAGTCAAAGTAACAACATTTATTTTACAAGTCAAATAAAAATCCTGGGATTTTAACTTTGTAACTCTTCTTGTTATAGCTTGGTAAAGATCGTCCATTAGGATTCGAACCTTTATCATTACAAAGTTTTTCTAATGGCGATTATTTGATCATAAGTGGAACCAACAGAGAAGCAATTTTACACTCAAAAGATGGAATCACAATTGGTTCCATTCATAAAGATTCTGGTTGGATTTGGGCCGCTAAACCTTCCCCTGATGGAAGTAAAGTTGTAAGTTATTTCACCTTTCTCAACTTCAAACATTAGCTTTAAGATCGAAATCTCAATTTTCTTGCTTTTCCTCTCAGGCAATGTCCACTCAAAATGGTAATTTGGTTGTTTGTGAGCTGATCTTCTCGACTGTCCACAGTCTGTATAGAGATAGATATGCTTACCGAGAAAACATGTCAGATGTTATAATTCAGCATTTAATCAAGGAAGAGAAAGGTTAGCAAAGAATCAGCTAAAAGCTCAAAATCTTGATTAATCATTTTGTTTCATAACAGTTCGCATAAAATGTCGAGATCTGGTGAAAAAACTGGCAATTTTCAAAAACAGATTAGCTGTAAGTAAAGCATTAAACATGAAAATTTGCTAATAGATCTTTACTGAAAATGTAAAACTTTTATTTCGCTTTACCTCTTTTCAGATTCAACTTCCAGAAAGGGTTGTTATTTATGAACTAATCTCGGATGATGCTTCACCCGATGATATGCAGTATAAAATGAAGGACAAAATAAACCAGAAATTTGAATGTACTTCACTGATTGTTACTTCCAATTGTCTGGTCATTTGCACCGAAAAAAAGTTGCAATGTTACTCTTTTAAAGGACACCTCGAACGTGAATGGGTTTTAGACAGTCCAATACGTTATCTAAAAGCCATTGGTGGTGCAGTTGGACGTGAATCAATGCTAATTGGACTTAAATCTGGACAAATTGTTCAAATATTTATAAACAATCCATTTCCAGTGTCAATAGTAAAAATAAACAATCCAGTTCGCTGCTTGGATTTGAGCATGTTTCGTAAAAAACTGGCCGTTGTTGATGATAAAAATAACCTTTACGTATATGACATGTCAACCAAAGACCTAATATATCAGGTAAATTAAACCAATGTTTGATGAAAACCTTATAATTAACAAAATTAACATTTTCCAAGTAGGAAAAAAACGCAAACAGTGTGACCTGGAATAGTCAATTTGAAGATATGCTTTGTTTTTCTGGTTCTGGTAATCTTTCAATAAAAGCTTCTGATTTTCCAGTTCATCGACAACAATTACAAGTAAGATTATTGCAATTTCATTAATAAGCAGATTTTATAATTAGATGTCTTGGATTTTTTGTCTTCCAGGGATTTGTTGTTGGATTTTGTGGAGCCAAAGTATTTTGTTTAAACCTCGAGACCATATCTTTCATTGAAGTTTCCCAATCAGTTTCAATGTACCAATACATCGAAAGGCGTCAATTCAAGTAAGCACTGTCAATTGATTTTGATTAGTCTCGTAATATTAATCATTTCGTTTCTACTTTTACAGAGAAGCATATCAAACGGCTTGTCTTAAGGTAACTGATTATGATTGGGAACAACTTGCTCATGGAGCTTTGGATGCGGTTGAATTGGACATTGCTAAGAAGGCATTTACTCGAACTCGAAATTATCTCTACCTTGAACTTATCCACAATTATCTTGTCTCTGGACTGACTTCCAACAAGTCAACAGAGATTTCATTTCTCGGTGATGTTGCAGCTTATAGAGGACAGTTTTCCGAGGCAGCAAAATTGTATAAGCAAGCTGGCCATGATGATAAAGCTGTCAACATGTACACTGATCTAAGAATGTTTGATCAAGCTCAAGATTTGGTGCGATCCAGTGATGCTGCTTACAAGAAACAATTGGCTGTTAAAAGAGCCGATTGGGTTCACAATATAAACGAACCTCGAGCGGCAGCAGAAATGTATCTTTCAGCCGGTGATGTTACAAAGGCAATTGAAATAATGGGTCAACATGGTTGGATTGACATGTAAGATATCAATTACAGTGAAATCTTAATCTAATATTAATTTCGTTTCTTCAGGCTTATGGGTGTTATCCGTAATCTTGATAAAGGTGACCATCATAATCTGTCCCTATGTGCTTCATATTTGATCAAGCACAAGCAATATTTCAGTGCAGCTGAAGTTTACGATAAAATGGGCGATCATTTAAATTTAGCCAAAGTTTATGTTGAATCAAATCAATGGGAAGAAGCGTTCAAATTGGTTAATCAATATCCCGATATGAAACAAATTGTTTACCTTCCATATGCAAAATGGTTAGCTGAAAATGACAAATTTATTGAAGCTCAACAAGGTAAAGATTTTAGCTGTTATTGTTTGAGTTATTGTTTTTTTCCTTCCGTCCACAGCTTTCCATAAAGCTGGTTCAATCAGTGAAGCACTGAATTTCCTGAATCAATTGATGGAGAATGCAATCAATGAACGTCGATTCAACGATGCCTCTTATTATTGTTGGATTTTGTCGACACAATGTTTAGAGTTGGCTGCTTCTTCATCACCCGAATCCACCAAAAGAGCCAAACTGTTGGATAAATTTCACCAATTTCAAACTCACGCCGACATTTACTTCGCTTACCACAATATCCATCGCTACATTGTAAGCCATTGAAAAGCTTGACCATAAACTTAATCACTAATCATTGTTTCTTGAATCTTTAAGGAAGAACCTTTCACATCATTTTTCCCCGATGCTCTTTTCTCAATGGCTAGATATCTTTACCATGAAACTTTACAACTTGATTTACCTGGAATATCAAAAGTGTAAGTAAATGAAAATTCCAATCACAACTGTTCTCAATTTATATCTTCTATTATCAGATCAATATTATACGCTTTTGCTAAACAAGGACGTAATCTTGGTGCTTTTAAATTAGCTCGATTGATTTATGAAAAACTTCACTCATTGAAGATACCAAGTCGATTTCAAGAGGCTATTGAGATGGCCGATGTAACAATTAGAGCAAAGCCATTCAGTGATTCAGAAGTAATGAATATTCTGATTTTATTTTCATTTCTAATTGTTTTATAATTTGATAATCGTTTTTAGGACCTTTTGCCATTATGCTACCGATGCTCAACAACCAATCCTCTTTACAATAATAAAGGTAACCAGTGTATCAACTGTAGACAGCCTTATATATTTTCATTTGCAAATTTTGGTAAGCTAACCCAAACCCATTTAGTATTTGGTATATTAGACCAACATTGATCTTGTTTTCATTTTCTTGTGATTTTCTTCAATCATTTTTAGACATTTTACCTTTGGTTGAGTTCATCTTGGAAGATGGTTTGAGTGAAGAAGAAGCCCTGAAAATAATCAATCATGAATCTGTTACATTTAAAAGCCTTTTACAACCCAAAGTAAATGTAAAAAGTGCAAATGAAGGAGAAGGAAATTGGAAGGAAGAATATAATTCAGACTATCAGGCTCTTCGTTTCGATGATAATGATCAACTTGATGCAACCTCTTATGATCTTGAAACGGGGATTGAACGAACTTCTTCATGGGCTGAAGATCCTTTCACCGAACAAATGGCTACTTTTCAAGAAAGTGACCTCGATTTTAAACCAATTGCCGTTGATGCTAAACTATTGGCAACCATTAATCCTTCAGATATACTGGTTGTTAAATGGCCATCTCCATTGAAAATAAGGTTTTATCGTAACTTAATGCCAGACATTCAGATATCTTTATGTCAATTCTGTTTCAGGGTAAATTTCATTATAAAATTACATGAATTCATCTCATTCTAATTTTTGTTTCATTAGTTTTTCCATACAGATGAGTTGGAGATGCAAATCCTTCAACATGGCCATTGTCCGGTTTGCCGTAACCAAAGTAAATTAACAGGAAACATTTGAAGCACTCTTTTGATTACTTTAGCTTTAAATGATTATTTGATTGTCAACTCGAAACACTAACGTTGTATAGACATTCATTAAATGTAACCTGAAAAAGACTAAAACTATCAAGCAAAAATGTTATTCAACTCTTGAATCAAATTAAGGTACATTTTGAATTTTCCGTCGGTTTTTAATGGACATTGGTGAATAAAATGCAATTGATAATGATTGAATGCAATGGTTGAATTATATTTGAGTATTTGATCGTGAATGAAATATAATATTGACCAAATAACTCTATCCGTGTTCATCGACTGGTTTTCAGGGTTACTTTTAAACGTAAATGTTTTTCAGTGTCATTCAATGTTTTTCACAAAAAGTTTTATGGACCTGAATGAATTAAAAATGTCAAAGTAGTATCAAAATGGACAAATGTTCATTTGTTATAAATTTAATAACTTTTATGATAGTTTAAAAGCTGTGAAAGTCAATCTAAAAATAACAATGAAAAGTGTCGACTGGAAACATTTTAAATCATTTCATAGCAATTATTTTAACGCTTTTGCTTCAAAAGTTATTGATCAATTTTTCGCTGTTTCATTAAACAATTGCGTTTATTTTATTGTCTTTTCCTAACACCATTAGCATATTGATTTGGTTAATTTGAGTGAAATGAAAGGTTTAATACAAATATTGTGAAGTGCAATGGAAACCTTTTCATTTCATGATCAACTTTGATGCTATTCAAATGAAATATTACCAAAACATTGGAACGTCTTGTCTTATTCTCAACAAAATAACACTTTGATATGTAACAGATAAAGTTAAAATGGCGAGAAAATCTTCAAATTTGGAGTTAATTATTTTCAATATATCCATTGCAGCTTATGAGGTAAGAAAATATGAATTTCTTCTTTTCATTGAATTGTAATATCTATTAGCTATTGATTGCTCATTGATTGCAATCAAACCTTTTGCATTTATTGTCTCAAAAGTGCATTTTATTCAATTTTAGCTCGGAGTAGTTCCAACCGTTGAAGAGGTAGACAATGAATTACAATTTGTGGGAATATTGAAAGATTTTTGGAGTTCTTATGCTAAATTTACCAGAACAAGGTGAGTCTTTTTACGAACGAAACGCTGATTAAACTCATGAAAACTTATGTCATCATCAGATATACGATCAAACTCTCTGATGAACCCATTTGGGGTACTTGGAAGAAAGGTGTCGGCTACACAGATGGTATTTTAGGTATGCTCCAGAACAATGTAATGTATTCAATTTTTTACAACAACCCTTTGTATTTGATGACCAATAATGAGTGAAGACTAATCAGCATCAAATTACTTTACAAAAATCAAGCTTATTTCTGTAATTCTCAATTTTCCCTTTCTTAGGAAGCTAACAAAGTACATCTACATGTACCGATTGGACTCAAAGATCCTCCCGGAGTTTTCACTCGAGTTTTGAAGGAAGAAACTTATCACATCTTATCCATCACAGCACAAACCTCAATCGTCAATAACGATCTATTGGTCAAACTATTAATCTTTGAGCCAACCTGTTGGCTTGTCTATTTTGCTTTGCTTTTCACCTTCCTTTTGATTTGCGATCTTCTCTCTCAAGATCAAAAGCTTCTTAATTTATTTTCCAGGTTTAAGTTGATTTGCCTTCAATTGGTTCAGATAACTTTCAAGCAAAATCCAACCATCAATGGTCGCTGTTTATTCATGCTTCTTGCCAGTCTAACAGTTGCGCTATTTACTATGTGCTCCGGGGCAGCTTTCAATACCAATGCAATAACGGGAACAATAGGTGAACAGGTTAACAATTTAACGGACATTGTGCGACTCAACAAAATTCCAGTCTTCATAGATGGTGAATCAATGTATGAATCTTTTGAAGGAGGAATAGGAAAGGAATTCAAAGCAGTTTATGATCAAGCAAAAAAGTTTAAATTGAATAAACCAGTGTCTATGCTTGACCTTATGCGACCACTGCAGTTAACGGAACACGAATGTTCAAATGGTGTAATGATTCTGGGTATAAGGGCAATAAAGCTTTGCTATGAAACAGTTGAACTGGTGTGTAGTGAGGCAACTAAAAGACGAGTACAGACTTATGTTTCGCCTCCATTCCATACAACAGCTTTCTTAAGTTTAATCAATCCTGGTAACAATGAATCGATAGGCAAAGAGTTGATCAGACGAGATGGATCGTTGTAAGTATATCTGTCCTCATTATACACAAAAGTGAATGTAATGAAATTAAGTCTAAATTTTGAAAAGATATTTTCTGTGACTCTTTTTATTTCTACTTTAGTGCCAATGTGATGTTTGAAAAGGGAATGGGACAAATAAATAATAAAATAGCTAATTATAATTCTAAGACTATGATGAAACGAGCTACTGCTCTGTACGGTTTGAAGACTGATTGGCCCATCCAAGACGATTCATTCCAAATTCGTCCATTAAATTTGTCAAATTTTGCTCTCATCTTTGAATCGATGACTTTTCTTGAGCTAGTCATATTACTGTGTAATGTTTTGTACCAAATATTTAACTTTGCATCTCGTAGAGTCAAGTGGACTATGCCAGTTTCATCAGTTTAATTACTGTAATCACAATTAATATATCACCAACAATATTTACTTTAACGTTAACTGTAAATGTGAAAATTGTTTCTTAAAAAACAGAAGATGTTACTTTATTACCAATCTTGTCAATAAAAATGGAACCGAAAAAATTGAATTTTTAAAACCCGATTAAAATTAACCTAAACAAATCCAACATTTGATACATTAGCTGATCTAATAATCGTCTTATTTTCAATTTTCTTCTGATTTTCTTCAATCATTTTTAGACATTTCAACTCTGGTTGAGTTCATCTTGGAAGATGGTTTAAGTGAAGAAGAAGCCCTGAAAATAATCAATCATGAATCTGTTAGATGATTTGCAGAATCCTTCAACATTGTCCGATTTATCGTAACCAAAGCAAATTAAAAGGAAACATTTGAAGTACTCTTTTGAATATTGGATCATCCATTAATGGATTGTAATTAGACCACAAAATTCTTGAAACTGGCGAAAACATGCAAATTGTCTGAAACTTATTCTTTATTTCATTCTGATTAATGTTATTTAAATTATTACTTAATGAAATTGAACCATTTTTCTGGCAAATTTAATGATAATTTCAATGTAATTCATCAATTTTATCGCTATTGGTCAAGTATTAATAGAATCCAAATACAAAAGAAATGAAAAAAAACTTTTAATGACTATTTGACTGTCAACCTGAAATACTGACGTTATATATCGATTCATTTATGTGCCCTGAAAAAGATATAAAACTATCAAGCAAAATACGACTCAACTTGAAAACCAAATTAAGATCAATTTTGAATTTTCCATCGGTTTTAATGGAAACTTGCTCAATAAAATTGATATTGATGGCAGTCCAATGAAATGTTTAAATTATCTGATCGTGAATGTAATATTATATTCACCAAAGACTCTGTGAAATTGTCCTTCAATCACTCTTTACCCGTGCTCATCAAATTTAAGGGCCACTTTTTACATAAAGTTTAATGGACTTGAATAAATTAAAAGAGTTAAAGTAACATCAAAATGGATAGACTTTTCGAGATGTTGCCAAAAATATTAAATTGATACAAATTTAATAACATTTATGATTGTTTAAAAGCTGTATCGACTGGAAACAATTTAAATTGTTTCATAGCAATTATTTTAATGCGTTTACTGTTGGCTCAAAACAATTGATCAAGTTTTGCTGTTTCGTTAAACTATTGTTTATTGTTTTTTTCCTTACACCATTAGCATATTGATTTGGTTAATTTATTGAAATGCTAGATGTAATACAAATATTGTAAGATGCAATAAACTAATTTCATTTCAAATTTGATTCCATCTAAATGAACATTGTTTTCAAAACCATTGAAACATCTCGAGTTATTATTTTCATTTATTTTCAACAAAATAACACTTTGATTAGTTTGGAGTAAATTGCAATTCATGTGTGTTCGTTGATTTGGATTCCTGTTTACATTGAAAACACTTTGATTTGGACACAAATAAAGGTGGAATGGTGAGAAAAGCTTCAAATTTGGAGTCAACTATTTTCAACATAACCATTGCAGCTTATGACGTAAGAAAATTTTAATTTCTCATTTTCTCTAAAATTTAATATTTGATATTAGCTGTTGATTGCTCATTTGAAAAAGATACTTTTCAATTGAGTTTACTTTGAGTTTAGGTGAAGAAATCTGTTGAAAAACGCTATTCTGATCTCCTCTGGATTAAGTATTTCATTTGCAATCAAATCTTTTGCGTTTATTGTCTCAAAAAGTGTATTTTAATTAAATTTAGCTTCTAGGCTATCCAATCGTTGAGGAGGTAGACGATGGATATAAATTAGTGGGAGTTTACAAAGTTTTTTGGGATTCTTATGCCAAATTTACCAGAACAAGGTGAGTCTTTTTACGAACAAAACGCTGATTAAACTCATGAAACTCTTGTTATCAGATACACGGTTAAAGTCCCCGATGAACCAATTTGGGGTACTTGGAAGGAAGGTGTTGGCTATACAGATGGTATTTTAGGCATGATGCAGAACAATGTAATGTATTCATTTTTTAAAGATCTTTTATATTTGGTGACCATGAAAGGCTAATCAACATCAAACTCAAGTTTTTTTTCGCTCTTTGATTCATGATTTGTTTAAAGTTGAAAAATTATCTTAAAATCATTTTATTTCAGAGAAAAATTTGATGTTGATCATTTGAAGTCTTCATTATCTTCTCTCAAATCTAATTTCATAAGCTTAATTCTCAATTTTCCCTTTCTCAGGAAGCTAACAAAGTACATTTTTATGTACCGATTGGAACTAAAGATCCTCCCGGAGTTTTCACTCGTGTTTTGAAGGAAGAAACTTATCACATCTTATCCATAACTGCACAAACCTCAATCGTCAATAACGATCTATTGGTCAAACTATTAATCTTTGAGCCAACCTGTTGGCTTGTCTATTTTGTCTTGCTTTTCACCTTCCTTTTGATTTGCGATCTTCTCTCTCAAGATCAAAAGCTTCTTAATTTATTTTCCAGGTTTAAGTTGATTTGCCTTCAATTGGTTCAGATAACTTTTAAGCAAAATCCAACCATCAATGGTCGCTGTTTATTCATGCTTCTTGCCTGTCTCACAGTTGCGATATTTACTATGATCTCTGGTGCAGCCTTCAATACCAATGCAATAACGGGAACAATAGGTGAACAGGTTAACACTTTAATGGACATTGTGCGACTCAACAAAATTCCAGTCTTCATAGATGGTGAATCAATGTATGAATCTTTTGAAGGTGGAATAGGAAAGGAATTCAAAGCAGTTCATGATCAAGCAAAAAAATTTAAAATGGATAAACCAGTGCCAGTTCTTGAAGTCGCGCAACAGACGCTGTTAACAGAAGACAGTTGTTTAAATGGTGTAATCATTTTGGACATAAGGTCAATCAAGGTGACCAGTAAAGCAATTGAACTGATTTGCAGTGAAGCTAGCAAGAGGCGAAGATTCGCTTTCATTTCGCCTCCATTTCATACAACTGCTTTCTTAAGTTTAATCAATCCTGGTAACAATGAATCGATAGGTAAAGAGTTGATCAGGCGAGATGGATCGTTGTAAGTATCTCTGTTTTCATCATAAACACAAGTAGTTGATTTAAATGATGCCTAAATTTTGAATAGGTATTCCTTGTGACAGAAACACGTTTTATTTTTTTACCACAGTGCGAGTACCATATTGGAAAGGGGAATCGGACAGGATAACAAAAAAATCGTTGATTATAATTCTAAGACTGCGGTGAAGCAAGTTACAACTTTGTTCGGCTTAAAGACTGATTGGCCAATCCAGGACGATTCATTCCAAATTCGTCCATTAAATTTTTCAAATTTTGCTCTCATCTTTAAATTGATGATTTTCCTTCAAGTGGCCATTTTACTGGGTAATGTTTTGTACCAAATATTTAACTTTTTATTCCGAAGAGTCAAGTGGACTATGCCAGCTTCATTAGTTTAATAACTGCAACCACAATAAAATATATCACTAATATAATTATTATTATTACTATTATAATATTTACTTTAACGTTACAGTAATTCCCTGAGTTTTTTGTTTTTTTGGAGTGCTGACATCTATGTGAACTACAGGGGGAAATAATTAAATTTTCCAGGTTAAACAATTAGTCCACTCCAATGACTCCCCCCTGAAGGGAGAAAGGCTAGAAAGGCTAAAGGGGAATCACTAGAGTGGACTAATTGTTTAAACTGTAAATTTAATTATTTCCCCCTGTAGTTCACATAGATGTCAGCACTCCAAAAAAACAAAAAACTCAGGGAATTACTGTAACTGTAAATGTGAAAATTGTTTCTTAAAAACCCAGAAGATGCCACTTCATTACCAGTCTTGGCAATAAAAAAGAAACCGCAAAATTTGAAAATGAATAAATTGATAAAAATTTTTTTATTTAAATATTTGCTTCCAATATAATTTATTCAGCTTCATCTTTTCATGACAAATAAAGCCCATAATATCCAATTATTTGAGTTATGAATAAAAATTACTCGATAACAGCATTAAATAAACAAAACGGATCAGGTTAAAATAGGCTTCTTTAGCAAATGAAAACATTGCAAAATGAGAAAACAAATTGTCGGTTCAAACCAATTGATTAATTGAATTTTAATCCAATAATCTAAACCATTTTAAATGATAAATCATCAAGAACGAGCAAAGGAAATATGTGTTCATCTTTTCACCAATGCACCCAATGATAATGGATTGACTTCAAGTCTAACAAATTACATTTTTTGCCTGTTAAATTGGATTCTGTTTTTAGCAATCTTTCTCATCCTCTGAGTTATCATCACTCTCACCCACATACTCATCATCATCATCGTAATCACTAAATCTCATCTCTTGCAAGTCCTCAAAAAGATTGACCTTTTTAGGCAACCTTCAATCTAATCGATAAACCGATATATTCAAGAGTTTAAAGATATATTTATGTTGCTCAGTTTGATATTAAACACTCCCATTGAGGATAAATAATAATAAAACAATGCTCTTTTGAGGTGAATTTGGTTGTCAAGGCCAACAAACAGTCAACTCCAACAACTGATGCTTAACACTCCCAGTTTAACTCCATAGATATTTGCTTCACTCGGCAAAAACCAGATTATGCCTTTTCCTTTAGTTTAAATGTTAACAACCAGTTTTATTGGAAACCTTTCCTTTTATTTTCATCATCATTATCATTTAAATCATCAGCATCATTACCAACATCATCACCAAAAAAGTACCTAAAACCAAATTCATCTTCATCTCTGTTGTGTCTTTTCAAACCTGTAATGTGAACCCTACAATGCATCTTTAAGTGTAACCTTTACATTTGTGTAAATAATTAGTCGTATAAATATATATATTTATAAATATCTTAATCAAATTAATCCATCTATAATCAATATTTAACCTTAAATCATCAAAATAACACCAATTTAATCAAATGGAGAAACAAATTTGAATCATTTAAGCCATTAAATGTAAAAACAACAACAAATTGATTTTTCTTCATAGCCTGTATTGAAGCTCATCTTTAGTATTAAACATCTTCAAAACAGAAACAATCTTTTTTTTGCTGCCTTTCAATCAATCAATTGTTGCTGATTTGATTATAATGATCATCAAAGAATAGTAAGTTTCATCAAACAATCAACTAAATCTTTCTTATTTTCATATCCAGCAAGTGAAACATCAAAATTTGTTTCTTCTTTCCATTTCATTTTTCATGGATAACTCCAACTAATCAAGCCGAGTAACACTTCCATTGACTGTTGAAGAGGTGAGTTTACCATAAATTAACCAAAAAATTACCCAAAATTTGAGAATAAATCAAAATTTAGATTAAATGAACCAAAGAGTTGAGACTGAATTTGATTGAGTAAATAATTTAACCTAAACTAGACTCTTGAATTCACAATGAAATTGAAATGCAAATCATTGTTTGCTGTCTTAAATTACCTTAGCTTTAGATGTTTGTTAATTTGATTTTGTGATTTAGTTAATCATTTCCTTGAAAAGAGTTATCAATTTCCGATGAAATTTCCTTCCTCTTTAATGTTGATTCACAGTGCTAGAAGTAATCATCAACAACAATTTAATAAGATAATAAAACAAAGCTTAACCAAAGTTAACCAAATTGCACAAACCATTGAACCAGAAAATAAACGGATCGCAACATTTCATAACCAAGATAAATCTCAATGCAAACAAATGTTCAATAGCAAGCTTTGAACTCATCATGATATTGAAGTAATTAACTGAAATTTAATCAATTATAAATGTCAATCTAGTAAATAATTTTCGTATAAATTATGAAAATAATATAATACAAGTTTTCGTGGTTAATATCACTCCAAGCATGAAACGGTTCAACTTACAATATACAAACAAACTGTATAAGCAAACATTTTATCCATAAAACTGTCGCTCTTTGATTATATCTTATATTTTATTCCTAAACTTATCATAGTAACAATCATTGATATATCTGAATGAACAATGTTGAAACTTGGAGTGATATTTGTTATTTCAGGCAATGGTTCCAGAGATTTAACAATTTTGGTTATTGATTACCAATTGTAGTTTTAATTAGAGGCAATTTTTAATGGATTCAATCAGCTTTGATTCAATTTGTATAATTAAATCAACTGTTCGATCGACAAACTAACACTGGAATAGCTTTTGATATTCACTATTTTTAGGTTCACCATTATAGCCTTTGGTTATGGTTGCCTCTGTTTTTAGGTTGATTTGCATTAGAATGGCTTTCATTGATTTTATACAATTGATTATTTACTGTTCCATTTGATTGAGATTAATTATTCTGACGAAACAAATCAATTTATAAATCATTAATAACGCATTATGTTCAAGCTATTTGAGGTATAACAATGGAAAGATTGATTCAACATGTTAAATGGACTGTTTCAGCGTAAATGACAATATTTACATTGTTTGGTTTTAATTAAAAATTAGTACAACCATTTGGAAGTTAATTTTGTCAGATTTGTATTTTTAATTAGTTATTTATGCCAACAGTTAATTAATAATCTAATACTGTGATTAAACAAGATTGATGGCTTAACCCAATCTGAGGTAAATATTAAAACAGTCTCTGACTTGAAATGTTGGTTATGTTTAGTGTTAAACCCAGATTTGGGTTTTCAACATTAGCCAAGTAATCACATTAAATTGTCTTTTGTAAAATATTGGTTCTGTCCAGTTTTGGGTTTTTGTTCATTAATCACAGAAATTCTGGTTTTCTTTGATTAAACACCTAACCATTTTATGAAACAATATTTTCCAGATGAACACATAATACATCAACACAGACATTTCATTTTTATTGTCATTCCTTCTTTAATGAAAATATAATGATGATTTCAAGTTGGGAAGATATTAAGGTGTAAATCAATTATTTCATGAATCTCTTTGACAAGTAAACGAAATCTGATCAACTGATTGGATCAATTGATATCAGGTTACACCAAGAACGAAATATCTCAAATCATTGATTCGATGTTTCACCAAACTCTTTCTTATTTTGGTCTTTCATATTCAATGTTCATTCCCAGACAGAATCTTAAATAGCTCAAGATCATTCGCTCATCCTAACATCTTTATTAATACATTTGTCACATTAATTATGTAGCAAGTAATTAAAACTTGTATCAACCAAAAGAGCTTTATAATTAGTAAATTATGGGCTGATTGTTTAATCAATGGGAAAACAAAGCTTAAAGTCTTATAATGTATAAAAAAAGGTTGAGAGTAAACATTAGCATAACAATGGAGTTAACTTAAATTGTCAACGGCAAATACTCATTTCCATTTGAATTGATAGACTCAAGTATTAATGTTTTCACACTCAAACCAATTGGTTGATTCAGTAATTGCATAAACATGTTATAAATGCATGAATTACTTATAAATAAGGTTACAGTAATTGATTTAGCTATTTACATACCATCAATAAACACACACTATATGACAGTTTCATAATTGATTAACCTGCAAAGGCAGTAATTAACGAAAAAAGATTGAGATTTCATGAAAGATTGAAATACAATCAAAAACAACTGTTTACAATACTAACCATTTAATTTGATTATCATTTGAAACAGTATCAAATTGGACAATTATATTCAGTTGCTGAAGCAAGTAAAAATGAAACTGGCGGAGGCGAAGGAGTTGAAGTGATTAAAAATGAACCATTTCAAGATTATCCTTTGCTTGGAGGTAAATTCACCAAAGGACAATATACTTATAAAATATACCATCTAGCAAGGTAAGAAAATGACCCTTAATAGTTGACCATAAAAAGATTGGAAAATTGATGTTCATTTTCTGGTAACAGTAAAGTACCTCCTTTTGTCCGCTATTTGGCACCCAAAGGATCTCTCGAGATTCATGAAGAAGCTTGGAATGCTTATCCTTATTGTAAAACTGTTATAACGGTAAGATAATCAATTTAGATCTCAAATGCTAATCAATCTAATTCTAGATCTTTGATAATCCCTTTAGAGGCTTTACATTCAACCCAAATTTGATCAATGAAAGTCTCAATTTAGTTTATCAAGTTAGAGATCAAACTAAATTTGGGTTTTCACAGGTTTAACTTATAATTGCAATTCGTGTTTTCCTATTTGTATATTGATCTACATTGATGTTTGAATATTGAATCCCTTTTAATCCTGCATCTTCAATCTAATAAGCTTCTTCCCTGACTTCTCATTAACCACAGAATCCAGATTACATGAAGAATAATTTTTTCATCTGTATTGAAACCATGCACTGTCCTGATAATGGTTCACGTAAAAATGTCCACGAACTTTCCAATGATAAATTAAAGCAAAGAGAGGTTGTCTTTATTGATATTGCCAATGATCCAGTTGCTCCTAAAGTAAGATATTATTTAGATTATCAAATGCAATTCAATCATTTAATTCAATTTGTATTTGCTTGGTAATAGGATTATAAATTAAGTGAAGATCCAAGTAAATTTAAATCACAAAAAACTGGTCGAGGGCCTTTGACAGGAAAATGGAAAGTAAGAGTCAATAAGGTTTACATTTCAATGGAAACCCATTTTCATTGATTATTTTTATTGGCTTATCCATAGCAAACTGTTGATCCAGTTATGACTTGTTATAAATTGGTTACCACTGAATTCAAATGGTTTGGTCTTCAAAACAAGGTTGAACATTTTATCCAAAAGGTAAACATTAACTTATCTTTCGCATAATCAACTGAAATGTATCAATTTTGGACATTTCTTTCAACTCGACAACATATGCCATTCAAGCCTCTATGAAAGACAAAAACACTTGAATCAATTGAGTTGCATATTTTGCTTTGGTAAATGTTGTTGACTTGGAATAACAATTTGTAAGAAATGTTGAGTGATCTCATCTTTTGTTGTAAATCTATTCCAATAGACTGAGAAACGAATTTTCCTCAATTTCCATCGACAAGTTTTCTGCTGGATTGATCGTTGGCATGGAATGACACTTCAAGATATTCGAGATCTTGAAGAGAAAACCAAGAAAGAGTTAGATGAGGTAAGATTAGGTTGTATTTTCAACCTTTTTTCAACCTCTTTTCCAGTATTTGTTTGGTAATGTTTGCCTTTTATCTTCTTAGCTTCGGAATAAAGGTCTAGTTCGAGGATCGCAAATAAGTGAAAATGAATAGAGTAATTGTTCCATTTTTTCGAGTTTACTATCTCTAGTTGACCGCACAAATTTACGTTAGACCAGAAAAAATTAACTTCAAGAACAACATACTTACCTCTCGACAATTGATCAAGTAACTTACCCACAAGATTGATTAATTTAAATATGAAGAGACTAACAATTGGCAAAATTGGACTAAAGGTTGAACGGTTGTTGGAGCATCTTTCAAGGAGGAAAAAATCACTACACTGCCGCATTTGTCTTCATTCCGAGAGAAGATGAATTGATCCATTAAGAATCTATTAAGTGATAAATTTTTTATTTTTTGGTGATCATGATTTCAATATTTAGAACTCTTTGTTTTCGCTTGCAGTGTTGACGTTTTTTCTTCTGTTTCAACTCCACCAACTGCTGGTCAAGTTACACTGTTGCAGGTTTCATTATAATCAAACAGCAAGAGCAAGCTTAGTCTAAAAATAGGTGAAAAGGACAAATGATAATGATGATAATAATTAAAAGGTTAAATGTTAGCACAAAAATGAATGCGCACAACCATTGAAACAAACAATGAATGGAAACAATTGATTTAGTAATCTAAATTAAGCTATTTAGTCTTTATTTTTGTTAAACGTTAAATTAGTTTACATATTTTATTTTTTTGTTGCCATTAAATTAACAATTTATTTTCATTTCTTCTCGATTCTAGCTTTTGTTTTGATTCCCATTCCTACCCAAACAACCTCTACTTTGATTCCCATCTTCATTGTCATGAGTGTGACAATTGTAAATATTGACATCTTTATAACAGACAAAAGTATTATTAATGAAGAGGAAAATGATTGATTATAAATTAGATAATTAATCAAACTCTCAATCCGGATCGTGCAATGAACGAGTGTTTTAAAAGCTATCCTTTTATAAGACGAAATGATGGCATTAAATGAGAAACAGTTGATTCAATTTTCAAGTAGATTAGTCGAGTAATTAGACACATTGTGTGTCTCTCTGTGTGTGATAATTAATATTTTTGATAGCATTCTAATCATAACCATTCTAATCATAGTCACAATCAATTTGAGCATTTTTTTGTCTCTTCAATTGCAATCAATTTGAGTAGACAAACTAATCAAGGGATGAATCTTTCTAGTCAAATGAAACTCTATTTTCATCATCTATGGTTAATCATGCTTGCTGCATTTTAATTGTCACTTTAATCAACAATGCTTAATCCTTTGCGAATGCATTGGATTAGGTTAGCTTTCTGTAAATACAATGCTTATGGCGATCAATTCCTTGGTCTTATTTATAATCTTAATGTTGATTAATTAACTCAACCCGTGGATTCTTGTTTGATTAACGCAAACGAAAACATAACCCAAAAATAACAGCATCTGAAACCCAATGACAAGATGCTGTTGTTGCCATTAAAATTGATAACTCTGGTCACTTTGTTAGCCTCTAAGATCAATTGTAATTGTATCTGATTAACATGCATCAGATTCAGTTATAGTTATAATCTTGATCAGAATACTTATCAATAGTAAATTGTAAAGTTAATTTAACCTCTAAAGCCCTAAATCCTCTTATCAATTGAACTACAATTATTTCTTGTGCACATTTATCCTAACAATATTAACAATTTAACTTCGATGAGTTGATTTTTATAATCAACTATCAACAGCTTCAAATGATCTCTCAATTGTCATTTAGTGGTAAACATTAGAATGACAAATTATTCAATTTATCTGCAACAATTATTATCATTATTATTAACCACTGATTAACAAATTATTCCGTCCTTTTAGCCCACACTAATCAACTCACAATTCACCATTTACCTTGCTTATTTTGTATAAATAACCATTTAGCTGATTTAGAAATGAATTAAGACTGAAACTGAGCTTCCAAATACTATCAAGTTTGAAGTGAGACAAATCATTTTAATAATTAACTTAATATTGAGTGAAATTTAAATCACAATTCAACTCCAGCTTCAAAACCATTCCAAAGCTATTGACTGATTAACCTCTAACACACAAATTTCAATTTAGTTAATTTTAGCTGTTTGCGTTTTTTGCCTGCCTTTTCATTTGGGTAAACAAATTAAACTATGGATTGTAACAATTAAACAAATAATCTTGTCTTTCGGTTTGATTTTCCTCTTTTAATTTAAACTATCTTATGACATTTATTTGCGTGTAATTGTAAAATAAATAAAGTGCCACATTGTAAATATTATAACACTACAAATGATTTTGAAAATTTATTTACAATATTAACAAGAGATTGTTCAACATTACAATCATTGATTGTGATTAACCAGATTTTGGCCATTGAATTAGGTTTAGTTTAAGAATCAATTGTATCATCAGCCTCTTCGGTAGGCTTGATTAAACCAAGAGTTTCATGATATTTCCTTACAACAGTTTGCCAATTGACAACATTATAAACAGTTTTTGCTTGGCGATCAAAACCATCAAGTAACAATGTCTTTGCTGTTAATATGGAAGCCTTTGAACCTCGACGGATTGACGATTGCTTAGTATCAACAGTGTCAGCGCTGTTTCGCCGAGATGTAATTGTCCGAGCCGATTTCAACCTCATATCAGCCACTGCTAATAAACATAAAATTAGATAATAATTAAAAAATGTCAACATATTTGAGTATATCTTGAATACCTTTATCTTGTTTTTTACGGTTGCTTCTCCTTTGAAGAAGAAGAGGTAACCCGAGAATTAAATTGATAGGTGATGGAGTTGGTAAGGTTCGGTTCATATTTTGGATTAATTTAGCTCGACCAAATTTCCATTCAATGTCCGATTGATCTTCAATCCGTTGATATGTATTTGACATCATGGCAATCAGCAAATTGATCAGAACAACGATGCTAAGCAACATGTAAATACCTAAAAAAGGAAAAATTAAAAAAGTGACTTTTGTGAAAGATATTTGAGGAATGATTCCGAGAAGTGCGTTTTTTGAACAAGACAACTTGATAAAAAAATAAGAAACAAATCTCGGTGTCGCTGATCTTATTAACCCTTACCAAAAATGGCTTTCATGGTTCTTTGGGAAAAAGATGGATTCAAATGCTTGGCTGGTAACTCTTCCAGTTGAACTAACCCAAAAAGAGCCCAAAGTAAAATTTCCCCAGTTTTCGCAGGTTCCATGAACGTTGTTCCATGTGAAGAAAATGAAGCATTAACATGAGATTGGTAGACTGGCTGGTAAATGGCACAAATATGGAGTGTAAAGCCAGCAATGAAAAGCATTAAAACGGAAACAAATTTAATTAAATCGCCAAGAAGTTCAACAATGATAACACCCCAAGGACCAAAGAGAGGATGAACAGTTAAGAAATTGAGAAAATCAATAAAACTAAATAGCATTGCCCAGGCCCAAATTTGATTCCGCATAAATAATATATCAGATCGCCGTGTAAACCAAGGTTCATCCAAGAGGAAATCATGTTCGTCAATCAAAAAATTCAATACAAATACACTTAAATGCATTATGACTCCAATAAAACAAAAAACTAAAATGATCATCTAATAAGAAAAAGAAAATTGTTGGAAAACATTTTTTAGATTCAAATTCAAACAATTCACTAGAATTTTGTTTTCAACAAATTCCAGTGAATGAATATTGGTCATTATTATACCTTGATATTACCGAGTCCACTTCTGTCTCTTGGATTGACTATTTCAGAGAAAAGTAATCCTATGATCCAAATAAAAAGTAACCATTCATTCCATTGAGGTAAACAACATTCGTAATAGGCTATGGTTAAAGGTGGAAATAATAATACAGATGATAATACAATGATAAAATAAATGTGTGCGGTCAGGAAAGAGAGAAATTTAATGACTGGAATTGAATGTAACTTGTGTCCAATGGGAGTTGATACGACAACCCATAAAGGTGGAAATAATAGCAAAGTGATGAAAAAAATTGTGAACCGAGTTGATGTCCATTGTAAATTACCGAGCCAGACTTTGGATAAATATTTTTGTACAGCGTGTTGAGAGGTGACCATTTTACGCTCAAATTCAATGAGAACGTCTAGAAATTCAATTGATCGATTATCTGTTGCTCTGAGAAGTGAACTTATACCATAATTAGTTGATATAATGTTCAACAGTTCAATGGCAATGTTATCACAGTAAGATGAGGCGGCTAATAAATCTCGAGATTTATCTTTATCACGATTTGCTAGAGTTTCAAATGCACGAGCCAGTTTAACAGCAACGTAAATTGGTGATTCTGAGTTGATTATAAATTCTTCTATTGGTTTATTTTCATGGTTTTTTGAGCAAAACATCAGATCAAGGAGGAACTGGATAAAAAAAAGACAAAAGTCAATCAATAATCAATTTAATTAATGTAAAAGGCTAAATTTGTTTAGATTAAACATTTTCTTTACATTCTGTGAGACCTTTTAACTTACCGATTTGTCTTCAATCAGGTTGAGGGAATCATGGGGAATTTTCACCAGATAACTTAGAACTGTCAGATGACTTGATCCTGTTGCTAAATATATTGCATTTTTGCCTTTATTATTAACTGCATCAGTATCAGCTCCACTCTCAATTAATAGTTTAACCACAGGAAGAGAACCACATTTGCTTGCATGATGTAACGGAGTCCACTCTTCCTGAAATGATGAAAATTTGATTAATTTTGAGTTTGGGTTTCAGATTCCAAATGTTATAATGTTATTGTATTTTATCTAATCAAATTACCTTATCTAAAGCATTTATTTCAGCTCCTTGACCGAGAAGCATTGAGACCATGTTGAGATGCCCCTGAGCAGCAGCCAAATGCAGACTTGTTTTACCATGTTTATCTGGTTTGGTTAAAGAATCAGATGATCGACTGATTAATAAACCAGCAACAATCATATGTCCACCTTCAGCAGCATAATGCATAGGAATTGATTCGTGGATTTTAGTTTGAGCATTAACCTGAACCCCTGTGCTATTCATAAGTAGTCTTACGACTGATTCGTGTCCATTTTTTGATGCCAAATGAAGAGGTGTCACTCCGTACTGTAAATAATGAAAATAGTTAAACATTTAATCCAATTGACCATAAATAATCGATCTATTGTTTACCTCTTCGTTTGGACCAATAGATCCTTTAACACTGGGTATTCCTCCGGGCACATTTGATAAAAGTTCAATAACAAAATCACTTTGGCCATAAGAGGCAGCTATATGAAGAGCTGTCAGACCATTTCGTTTAGAAACCATTTTAAGGTCAACAAAGTCTTTGAGAACTCGAAAAACTTCAATGTGTCCATGACGAGCTGCCAAATGGAGTGGAGTCATTCCATCCTAATTAAGGAAGATTAAAGTATTTGGTGAATTAAAAATGAAGTCCAATTAGTTAAGTAACATACTTTATCTTCATCTTGCGCCGATCCTCCAGCCTCAACGAGAATTTTAACAACTTCGGCAAAACCTTTTGCTGCTGCTTCATGAAGAGCAGTTGCCTCTGTTCCCTAAATTGAAAGAAAAGTAAATCATCGTTATTAATTTCAATTTAATGGAGATAAATATCGTTAAATATTACCGGAATTTTACTTTTAATCACAGATTGTTTGTCAAATTTGAGCATCTCTTCGATAACGGAAACGCTTCCTTTACTTGCTGCTATATGAGCACAAGTGAGTCCTGATCCGTTAACACTTGAGATTAGGTTTGGATTTTTTTCCAAAAAAAGTTTAAAGACTTCTGAATGATTACTTTCAGCAGCTAAATGAAGAGGAGTTTGATTATGCTGAATAAAAATCAACAATTTAAAACAATAAATAACTTGAAAGTCATCAGATATTTTCCCTTCAACTTACCCCATCAACCGCATTCATATTGGCACCGAGCTCCAATAAAGCAGCACAAGTTTCGAGTGCACCACTTTCAGTTGCCATATGTAGTGGTGTTTGTTTATTCTGATAATTTAATTGAGGAAAAGGGTAAATGATTGTCCTTTTTGATTAACTTTAATTGCTTGAAGACTTACCAAAGTCACAACATCAATTTGAGCTTGATACCGAGTAATCAGTGATTTAACCATGGATGTAAACCCATTTTTAGAGGCAATGTGAAGAGGGGTCATCCCTTGTTTATTTCTGACTCCTACTGTTGCTTTATTTTCAAGTAAAATATCAACAACAGCCTCATGACCCAATTCAGCAGCTAAATGAAGACAGGCTTGACCTTTCTAAATATTAATTGGAAGACAGGTAATCTGGCAATGAGTCAGTTCTTTAATTTTATCAAATTGTTGGTAAAAATAAGCATACAAACCTCATCAAAAACATCAGTCCGAGCATATTGCTGGAGTAACAGTTTAATTATATCAGCATGGCCAGAGCGACAAGCATGGAGAATCGGTGTGAGTCCGTACTGATGAACAATTGAAAATTATCGATTAGTATTAGGCTGACAAGTTGTAAGTTGATATTTTACCTTTGAAGGTGAATTTACAAGAAGCATAAAATCTGTTGCTGATTTAGCATGAATAATCTCTTCCAGAGCTCCAATGGACCCATAGCGACAGCAATAATGAACTGGAGTTTCTTTAGTCTTAAATAATAATTAGACTGTTAGATTAGCAAGAAGGTATATTTTAAGACAGATTTGATGGATAACTTACATCAAAATTTCCAATCATAATGGATCCTCCTGAGTCAAGTAATAACTTTGTTAAGCCTCGGTCTTCAGCCTGGTCAGTTAATTTGCCTTTATCCAAACTGGCAACATAATGCAAACAAGTTTCTCCAATCTGAATGCGGTAAAATGGATGAAAGTAATACATTAATCAATTTGTGCATTTTAAAATAGCAGAATTCACTTTACCTTATTTTGAAGATTAACATATGTTTCTAAGCCTTTATCTGTTCTCCACTCCTTAATCGTATTTATCAATGTTTCGGCTATTTTATAGTGACATGATCGAACAGCAATGTGTAATGAATTTTCACTGTAATCATTTACTAGATCAATATTTACTTGATGGTCAAGCAAAAGGTTAAGAGTCGATAGATTACCAGATTCAGCAGCGATCATAATTGGTGTCATTCCAGCCTGAATGGATTGGAAAATGTTACAATTTTTAGATTAACGAATTGATAAGGCTTACTGATGATTCAGTGTTTGAATGGTGAAAATACCTTGTTGGCTGAGTTAATTTTGGCTCCACTTTTAATCAATAGTCTGGCACAATTAGTACCATTTGAGCTTCGACAGGCAAGATGGAGTGGAGTTTCAGATCCATTTGAGGCAACAATATCAACCGAGGCTCGATTCGCAATCAGTATTTCCGCAATATCATCTCGGCCAGATTTAGCAGCAACATGTAAAGGTGTATAACCATCCTTGATTGATAAAGAAAGACAAAATCAAACAATTAATATTTGAAATAAATTGTTAAGATGAATGTTTACATTGTTTTGGGCATCAACGTCTTCACCTCTTGACAGCAAATTCTTGATCAAATCAACGTGTCCATAATCAGCAGCCGTATGAATAACTCTAGATCCATTCTTATTGAATAATCAAAGAAATAATTAGTAATCACAATTGCGTTAATAACCATGATTATACTAACTCTATCCGGTGTTTTAATAGCGATTCCTTTTTTAATAAAGCTTAATGGAAGCTCAACAGTTTTTGATTTAACAGCAGCATGAACCAACGTTTTACCATCCTAAACAAAAAAAGCAAAGACAAACAATTAGATTATAGATTAAAAAATAGATTTGATAGATAAAATCGATTAAAGTTACCATTGGTCTACAATTAATGGAAGCGCCAAATTTCTCAATCATATAATCAACTCGTCGAGCTAAACCTTTTTCAACGATTAAAAACAAAGGCGTACGATCTTGAGCATCACAGATATTTGAATCAGCTGAGTGACTTTGTAAAAATTTGATCCAATTGTCTTCAGAATCACAGGCAACTAAGTGTAATGGAGTTTGACCATCTCTCTGTAAAATTTTAATCAAATTTAATAATCAAATGCTATTAAAAACTGTCAAATTAACAAATCTGTAATGTAATACCAACATTTTGAGCGTTAACGTTTGCTCCATATTCAAGAAGCACTCTAAACATTTCAATGTCGCGTTTACGGGTGGCAATGTGAACTGCAGTGTCACCAAATTTTTTCCTCTTTACATCTAATTGTAATTTAGGTTTAACTGACAGCAATTCACGGACCAGTCCAGTATTTTGCATCTCAACAGCATATAAAAGTGGTATATAACCTTCCTAAGATGAAGACAGAGACGGTGAGATTGAAATTAACATTAAATTTGATAACAATATTTGATGTTTGATCGTTTTGATTCCTTTTTACTCACCAAATCAGTGGCTAATCGCATCTCTTCTGGACAAGCTTTTAATAATGATGAAATTGGACCTGAATTGGGTCCTTTCACTTTACGAATCAAGATATGAATTGGATACTCTTTTTTGGCCTATCATTGAGGTTTAAAAACAAGAAAAAAAACATCAAATTGATAGACATTAAGTCACAACAAATTTTTGTTGCATTTTTTCGTCCAAATTGATTGTGAGTTATGCTTTACGAAACAATTCATTACAAAATCAGTTGACCATAAACTATGGTCAAAACACATTAATAATTTAAAGATCCAAGAATCGTGTTCGTTAAATTATAGATAATTTCAGTGTTGCCTAGGAAATATTATTTATATCAGTGTTTATTGTGAAAACTGAAAACAATTGCTTGATGAATAAAAATTTATCATAAATAAAACATTGGATAATTAAATGCTGAAAAAATCAAAATATTTCAGACCTAACTGAGCTAGTTATTCAGTCAACTGAGCAGTCAAATCATAGTCAGAATACGATCAACATACGATTTGGCAAATTTCGTAATTTGAATTAAAATTGCATCAAGAAATCATGCTTAATGAGCTAAAAATAAATGAATTATGATTTTCATATCCTTCATACTTATTTCAACAAATGTTAGATTAAAAGCAAAAGAGCGCGGTTAATTAAAAGTTAAATCACTATTCTTACCCCGCCTGGAATCATTGGATCAGCTTTTGCAGTTAATAAAATTCGTATCAATTCATCTTTGCCTGACTGAGCAGCCAAATGAAGTGCAGTTAGTCCATCCTGATGAGATTAATGATTGAAAACAAGAATGAATAATTATGACAACTTGTTAACTTTATCAGCTGCTTATGGACTTTACCTGTGCTTGAATGTTTACATGAAAACCGTACTTAATCATTTTCTCAATAACATCAATCCTCGATGATTTGACAGCAAACATGATTGGACTGTAACCAGAGACCGGATCAACAGAGCTTAATCCAATGTTATTATTCTCACTTGGATATTCATCCATTAATTCCAACACTCGAATCCAAGCTCCTTTTTTACATAACTCAATAAACTTTTCTGGTCCCGGTTTAGCAGGTTTGGCTTTAGTTTCACCTTTCTTGACCGCATTATTGGTTCCCGGTTTTTTGGTCAACACAGGCACAGGAGTTGGTTTAACATTTGATCGAGTTGAAACTTTATCAACATTATTTATTCCCGGCTTTTTAGTCGCATTTGGATCAATCACTTGAACCTCACTCTGGTTAACACTTGGCTTATCCACACAATCATCTGGTAAATTTTTGCTGGTTGTCTCGGCTGGTTCCTTGTTGACATCTTTCTTGGTATCCTCATCCACTTTATCAACTGTTGGGTCAGTTTTGTCGACTAATCCAACTATGGAATTATTAACAGAGCCAATAATTTTATCCTTTGAACCCTTACGATCCACTTTAGTTGCAGGCTCGGCATTGGTTAACGGTTTTGCCGTTGTCTTGACAATGGATATACTTTTCCTAGCAACCCGTTGCTGCTGTTGTTTTGAATTTTTTAAATCACTTGCGACTGATTTACCATCGCTTTTTATACCATTAGTTACATTGTTAATTGGTTTAGTGTTTGAAGTTTTATTGGTATCACTCATGTTAATCAACAAACACTTTGTTGCAGTAAAAAAGCACCATTACATTGGATAAGCAATACCATTTGGTTAAGTGAATGCTGATGAAAATAGTGGTGTCAGAAGTGGTAAAGGGTTACCAGAAGTGATGAAAAATGGTTACAAAACTCGAGTAAACATTGTCATTTAACAGATATGGTGAAACTGTGAGAGTTTCAAAATTGATGGACAAAAGTTTACTCAAGGTTCTCAAAATAATCAAACAGAATGGACATGGAAATGACCAGTGAAATTTTGATGGTAGCTTATCCATGCATACAGAATTGAATGGTTACCAAGGATTTTGTCACAGACAAAAGAGTCAAGAATCAGTGACAATTGGTATGATAATGTGAGTGAGTGATTGTGAGATGCACTGGAATCAAGCCCAAGGCTTCCAATCAATCAAATTAATTACCATAATAATCACGTACATCATATATCTATAAAAACCCTTTTCATTTGGTTGCTCATTCAATTAATGATATGAAAACGGTAAAGTTTCTTCTTTTATAACAAACACAGCAATAACATTGCAATTTATTCAAGTCTAAATTCATCATTATTATCTGTTATTATTTTTGTTTTCACGATTAAAACTGATTTCATTTTCATAGTTATCAGGCAATTGACTAAGTTTTTGCATTGATAATCAGATTTGTTGTTTTTATTACCATTTTACAGTTGAATGTAGCAATGTTAATCATCCAACCAGATCAAATGGATTCATGGATTCAGTGAAACATACGTTTATAATCTAGTCTCTCTGGCCTAGAACAAAAATCAATTAAAAAGCAACTCATTTTGATTTGAAATATAATCTGTAAATCTCAATCAACTAACTAAACCATTGTTAATTAAACTTTTAACCTTTTACACTTGTAAATCTGTGCATTCACATCGAAATGTGTCACGAAGGTTGATAATTTACTGTAGCTTTTAGGTCAATCAATGCGTAATTTTGTGGGTTTTATGCGATGTTGCTCTGAGATCTTGATTTCCATTAAATCATCAACTGAAGATGATTATGAGCTTATCAGTTGGAATCGCTAATTTCTTTGTTGATCACTTTTTAAATAGCTCAAGCTCAATTCCAAGCATAACTATTAATCCTTTACTTTCACTATTTGTACTGATAATGAGGTTGGGATAAATTGAAGTTAGATTAAATGAACTATTTGAGACGTGATGTTAACCTTATGCTAATAATGGCAAGTTACGATAATGATTATAATAATCACTTTTCATTCAGTTTATCAGTAATATCCTAAACTGGATCCAAGCTTTGATTGTACTACTGCATCTGGTCAAGGTAAATAATGTAACAAATTAAAGGCTTTTTTAGAAACAATTAGTTATTGATGAAATTTGATATTCTTGAACACAACTCAGCTCCAATCATGTAATTCGAGTCATCATTAAAATTTCCCAAATTGTGTTGCCATCGAGTTTGTCATTGGTCTCACCAATCTGTCCCATCAATACTATTCTTGATCCAAATGATATGTGACTTGTTTAACATTCAATGTTAATGTCACCACTTTTGGGCTTGATTGTTCTCGATATCAGATTAACTGGACAATTCAACTAGCCTTGCAAACCATAAGATTTTTTTTTGAAATGGAGAGTCAAATTAATTACCAAGTCAGTTGCTGTTCAATGTAACAGGACAAGGTAAACATCTCGTTGAGTGAAAAGCTGAAACAATTAAAGTAAACTAAATTAAGATGGTGATGAAGGGGATGGTAATTGTTGTTGCGTTGTTAATCATGAAGATGATGATAATGTTGGTTTGTTGATGTTAGATTGTCGATCGTGTCGTAAACAGCATTTCCTTGTTTAACATGTATCTTTATATGCAATCTGCTTGTCTTGACTAAAATGTTATCCAACCTGCAATTAAAAGTAAAATGTTAATGTCATTGGTCAAAAACCATGAAGATTATGTATTTCAATAATTTGCAAATTAAAAAAGATTACCGTAAAAATAAAAATAACACAAAACAGCATCAACATGCAACAAGATGACCTGGAAACTGGAGTTTACTTTGTACATACAGCAATACTTTCAATTAAAGCTTTTTTAATCCTATTGTTTTTGAATAATTTGTTGATGGTGCTGTTGTTTTGTTGAACAGGTTGTTGTCATTACATTTTGTAACAATCAAGAGCACTTATAAGTAAACAACTGTTGTTGACGGTTATTTGTAAAGGCTTAAGAACGGAACTGTTGAACTTGAAAAACAAAGCCATTAACATATTGCTTTGTTTATTATCACGCAATTGACAATAATTAGATGGAACACGGCTTGTGAAAGTTAAATTAATTAGATGGACAATTGAAAAACAGGTAAATTATGGTTGAATAATTGAAAGAGAAGCACCTTTAAAGTAAAATTACTTTGAATATTTTATTATCAGACGATGTTTATTGTTTAACGACTGTTGATTCATTTTTAACTCAAAAGGTGGCGATCAATTTGTTTGAAATTTTGATTTTGATTTTTTCCCAAAACAAGTTCAGATTAAGACAAAAATAATCAATTAATGAATCTCAGATGGTATTAACCTCGATGGTATAAGTAAGGACGCTCTTGACTTTTCCCATTCCAGGATGAACGACAACAACATGGACCATGATATACGTTTGAGTTTGACATGAAAGCATTTAAATTTGACAAAAGATGTTCCACTTACTCATGTTTCATTTCACGTTTATAATGAACATCATGACCAAGCCTGCATTTTCGATCAAATACTGTTAATTGTGAAGAAAGATTGTCAAAAGATGATCCAATGATTAAATGAAATCATTGTCAACTTACAATAACAAAAAGCCATTTGGTCATATCCAAAATTGAACCGACTGTAAAGGCAATGTCAGTCCTGGAAAGCCGACTCTGTAAATCAGCAAACTGTAAATAAAATAATTTAAAATCATCGCAAATATTACAGCTATTATAAATTAGAAGCGATAATTACCTTTATAAATGAATTCACATTCGATGGCAAATATTTAGCCACTTTCATGTTATTTTTATAACAAGATTGCATCTAATACAAGTATTATATTATGAATTAAAATGAAGCACAAATGAAATGTAAAATAGTGATTTTGATGGACACTTACCATTGCCAACATGATACCACTTACATAAGAGCTAATCCCTATCGTGAATATGGACAATGCAGATATGGCTATTGTAACAAAGTCTAAAGATCCATGATCAATATGGACGATAGCGGCAGTGTAAAACCCAAAATCTGCGCTAAAAGATATTCCGAGATACATAAATATCATCCAGTTCCTGACTTTATGATTACGAGATTCGGTTTGATTCAGAAATACAATGATATCTTGAATAATTGTTTCATAATAAGGCAAGAAATTACTTCTCTGTAAACACATCTTTTCATCGACAAAATTTTGCAAAGCTTGAGTTACATGAGCACACCTGAGGAAAAAATATGACAGGTCAATGGTAATTATTGCACCAGTTAATATTAAATTGGCCAAAGTGCAGAAAATGCCAAAATAATCGATTAAAAGCCAGCTGTAAGTGAAAATAAATTGTTGGGGGGTCTTGGGTAGTTGAGATACCAATTGAACAATAATAATCAAAACTGGACCTAATCCTATTCCAAATAGTAAAATTGCCCTGATCCATAGATTGGCTAAAGTAGAAGCTATGAAACTGTATTTATGGCAGTAAAATTTGCTCATGAACAATGCTTCAGGCTTGTATCCTTTATGCCAGCGAAATGAAAACGATTTGCCGTTTCTGTATAAATATATCCAGTAATGTCTTAGAACTTCACCAAAAATAAGCAGAATTGTCCAGTAGATCCAAACATACCTTCGACTTGGATGACCGTAAAAGAAGTCTCCCAAAATGATAGACAAATGTTCTGGTGAATCAAAAACGCTCAAAAATAGCAAATGAACAATATTGACCGTCATTAGACTGGAATAGAGGATCGATTTGGCTTTAGTCCATTTGGATGGAGTTATACTTTGATCTTGATCGAATCCATTTGGTAAAATATTGAATGAAACACAAATTGATTCAAATCGCTTCAAAATTACAATCACTTCTGAATCGTCAAAATTAGTCAAATGCAGTCCAAACACTGATTGAATGGCTTTTATCAAATTTGCTTTGAATCCGGCAAACGTAAAGACTTTGGGAATACAATGTTTCATAGTTGTGAAATGAAACCAATTCATTGAAATATCTTATGCAAACAAGGAACAACAAATTGTATAAAATGAGCACTTAGTTAATTTAAATGACGATTATCATTGTGATTATAACTCTTTTTCAATATGATTTACTAATCATCATTACAATGCTTCTGCAAAACACAAAATTAGATGATCAACAGACCTTTTTATACACAAAAAATTTCACTAAAATATGTCGATTTCACTGTTAACCTTTATAACTGATCGATAATACCATCAATGGTTAATCTAAATCTGTACTTATTATTCAAAGAGTTAAACAATAGTTTAATTAATCATTGACATTCATCAATTGATATGAATAAGTTTCGAAATTCGCTGGAACTTTGTTGAATGTCTTTTCTTTCAAGCATCATCCATTATGATTTGTATTTTTATTCAGGCAATTTAACTAAACAACTTTGATATTTAAATTTTTCAATCACGATATCATTAAAATCCAGGAATCGATATTGAATCGTTATTATCTTCTTATTTCATGTAAACAGAAAAGATAAAATCTAAAGTAGAATTGAGTTTAAATAGTAATTTTGGATGAACAATAGTTGATAAGAAAAACAATGTTCTTGACTTTATCATGGGACTTCAGAAAATTTTCATCTAGCATTGAAACTTAAAAAAATCACTGATATATTTTTGGTACAAAATCATTTCTCGGAATAATCGATGGATAACAATATTTAATGTGATTCAATAAAAATGAATAATTGCCTTTAAATGTGCTTCATGTTTGAGCATAACAGTTATTTCATGATTTTTTGCAATGAACCATATTTTATTAGACTCAATCATTTAGTGGTTTCTCAGGTTTTTGTCATTCTTTGGCCTTTCAGCGATTCTCAACCATTTTGTCTTGTGTTCAACTTGCAAGGTGATATTGAGACTCGTTTGGTTCAATCGACAGTTGCAGTTAGATGAGAGTAAAATACTCACAATCAAATCATCTTTTTTAATGTTTTCATTGTCTCAACAGTCTCTGATCAACTTTGCATATCATTAACCAACAGATTCATACTAATGTATCCATAATAATAGTCCAGGAAAAAACAAGAAACTTTCACTTAACCTGTTTCTGTTTTGTCTTTCATTGCAGTTGAGCGTTAATTAACTGATGATTACCACGACCAGGTAACGTTCCTTGCCTTCATCTCAAGTCAACCTTTTGACGGTTAACTAACAACAATTTAAAATGTTCACATGATTAGACTACAGGCAGAACCGTGTGAATATTATTATAATTAATATAATATGAAAGTAAACTTGGATGTTTACAGTTTTTCAATCAACTAACCTTGAATAATACAGTTTTTGCTTCATTTTTACACCATTTTTCCTCTCGGCCAACATTTTCATTGTCTTATTGTACAATTAACTTCTTAATAACATTAAAATCATCCTTTAATGGTCAGCCCCTTTGATTGAATATAAAAACTTGCCATTACAACCCAAATTACATTCATTGATGAGTTGCACAAAACCTGGTCAAATTGGTCAACAGTAAGTAATTACAATTATACAGTAAATGAATCTTTTTTGTTCATTTTAAATGTGGCCAACAATTTCAATTAATCATGAATCATGTTTTCAATTAACCGTAAATCACCTGTTATTTAAAATATTAATTAAAACTTGAAATGAAGCCAACAAAAGAGTTACCAGAAAAAGCAAGCTCAACCTAAACTCAAAGTCTTCATTGGTAAACCCAATTTTTAAAGCCAATAGTTGATGATTAATCTTGACTTTTAATGTACTTATAAAAGCAACTGCTGATTGAACATTTAAGATTAGGATTTAGTTAGCAATTTAATTTCAACTGTTAACTTCAGATCAATTTCAAAGTGAAATTTCAATTTGAAAAATAACAATGATAACATTGGGATAAATTAGCTTGTTGAAATTTTGATGGCAATCGTTGATATGAGTTTTATTGAGCAAAAAATCTGTTGAAATCTGTGAAAGATTTGCTTGGTTAGTCTTGCCTGAGAGACTGGGTTAAATGAACATAAAATTTTCAGGTAAACATCAGCAAGAAGAGACCAAATAAATGGCTAAAATAAGATGAACCTGGTAACTTTAACAATCAGACTGAATTATGAGACACACAAAGCAGATTGAACAATGATCATCACCCAAATCATCATCTTAATCACCTTAAAAATGATGATGATCGGTATAAAGCAACAAAACCTTTCCAAGATTAAAAGCAATGAATTTGCTGTTTTAACCATTAAAGTCAACTATTAAGATGATTGTCATTTGAAATTTTTCCTAGTTTACCTTATTATTAAGCTTAAATAGCAATTCATCAGCAATTATTAATGACAAACCCAACTACAAATTATAAACAAAGTTAACCAAGCAACATTTCAACTGCTCAATGAATTCAGGTTTACATTGAAATTTTGTCAGAATTTTTAGTCTTCTTTGTCAATGACAAACTTTAATTGTGATTTAAGTTGATTTAAGATGTTTACTGGTTTAAATCTGGTTGACCTGAATGACAATAATTACTCTTAATGCTAATCAGTTAATGTAATTGAATACAATTGATGAAGACACATTGATTGACTGTTGATTCCCAGTTGTGAGACAATTGTTCAGTTTCCTACTTTCTCAAGTAGCTAATTAAATTGATGATTGTCAATGATTAATACTGAAAAGGATTCACACAATCAAATATTAAACCAGGAAAAAAATGGCTGAGAAAATTGTAATTCAATAGTTGATCGGTGAAAATGTTAATAACTGAACCTGATATTACATTTGGTTACTACTTTTAGTCGCTGCTTCCAGGTCAACTTATTATTAAACTTATTTAAGGTGATTATTGTGATTGTAATATAAAAGAGGACAACAATCAACAATAATGTCACTTTGATGCTGATTGTTTAATTCACAGTTAAACTGAGAAAAAAAGGATTCCATTTAAACTCTTGTTTTCATATTCACTTGCCAATTCAATTGATAATAGTTGCGCTTTGTCCGATCCTTCAGATTTGGTAAAATAATGTTAATAATAATGATTATCACTGGAAATCATATTAATCCAGTTTTACATTTAACCGATAACAATTTAAATTGCTTTAAATGAAAGTTGGACAATCGAGTGAAACTGTGATTTTCAAGCAAATTATCAAGTGCTTCTCATCATTGATTAACTCGATTGTCAGTAAATTGCCATTTTTCTCATCCTTTTTCAATAATCAGTTGACACCATTTTTCATTTCAATCATCAATCTATCGGAATAATCAACTCGATTCAAGTTTAACGGTCAATTAATAGCTGTTTTATCTTCTGTTAATCACGGGTTAATAATAATTAGCTAATTGAGTAACATTTACTATCTAAATTTGTATCAAATGAAACTTCAAGTGAAAATGAATCGAAAGTTGAAATTCATTTAAACGTTTAATATGCAATTAAATCTTGTTAATCAAAGTGTCAAAGGTTTGGATTTCGTTTAAAGATTGTTTCTTGGATTAAATTTTCATTTATAATTAGTTGATTGTGACAATTTGATGAAGAAAATTGAAGATTAAACTTGCAATTAAGACTTTGTTTACCAGAAAAGATGAAGGCAAGTTGATCAAATTAGGCTTGATTACAATGGGCCATTGATGGACTGTTGGGTTAAAATTAGATTTTTGTTTTTTCTGTTGATGGAAAACAATTAATGTTGAAAATAACAATCAAATTAATCACATAAATCATCATCATTTTTGGGTTGACATTATATTTCCGGTCATTTTGCAGAGGTTAAAATGTTTCATTTTAGGTAAAAGGTATTTAAAACAATCTAAATTACCTTTCTCTTGATTTGGTCACGATTGGAGTTGTATTTTTAATGCTATTAACAATATTATTACTTGGTATTATTAATTACATTTGGCAACCTTGTCAGCAATTGAATTGCTGAATGAAATAAGGTAAAAATTAAACAACAATTTGGGTCAACCAGAGTTTTAAATTGTAACACTCATCTCCATTCAAATGTATTTTTTCATGTTCACTTGGATTAACATGATGTGAGTCTAATTAACTCGCTTATATTTTAGCAATTTGATTTGAGAAGAATCTAAATTGTATTTTAGTTTCCAGTTAATCATCCATTATCGTACATTTAATCAGGTAAAATATTGAGAAATGCATTTGCTAACCAAAGTACATCTCCATTGCTTTAGATTGATGTAGTTTATGTTTATTGAATGTTGGTGATGGTCAAGATGATTATGATGATCGAGAAGCACGGTTAATGCGTGCTTAGTATGCGCTTAGTTGAATTAAAGCAAGCAAAATGAAATTAACTAATCATTCCAACCTCGTAATTGATTATTAAACTGGTTTATTATTAGAAATTTAACCACAATTTACATGCATAATCAACGAGTTAACCTAAAAAATGATAATCAACGGTTCCTGTGACAGTCTTTTAACCAATACTGTTTGTCAAATTGTAAGGTTATGAGCCGTAATTGGCTTTGATCCAGATTCAATTAGCTTTGTTGGCCAGTTTCAAGTTAAATTGAAATTTCCAGTTAAAGTCATTGATCACTAATTTACTAATGACGTAAAGCAAATCAACAGAAACAAATGTTAATTCCTTTCCTAATCAGATTCAATTGTTTGTGTAACTGGATGATTAAAACTGACTTTAATGGTACATTAAACCTTAATTTTGTTGTCATAATGGTAATCCAGTGGATGGTCAAGTGTCAAGTGTAAAAACCAGAAGCAGACAACCAGACATGATGTTATTATCAAGATTAGATTTACAATTACAGGGTTACAATTTACAATTACGATGATTAAAATCTGGTAAATCGGTTCAACTGTGTTTCTTGGACGGAAGTTTAATTCGTTAGCGTGATGACAATGATTATCATTGGAAGCATTTAACTCCTAGGAATGAAATTTCCTCCAATCCTTATCATGGTTGACCAATCAACAGAACAAAGCAAGTCAACTTTAATAATCTTCACTAATTGTGGCTTAATTATTGTCCACAAAATCCGGAGATTCCATTTTTAATTCCTGTTAGAATAAGAAAAGATTCAAATTAATATCACAATTTAAACAAAGTGGATTGTCAACTGTTTACTCTTGTTTTACTTCATTTGTTACCTTTACTCCTGTTTTAATGTGATTAATATCTTAAAGTGTATCACGATTAATAAAACAATACAAATCGACAATTAACCTTAAAATTGTTGCTGATTTGTTGATGTGTTGATGCTATCAGATTGATTGGTAACAGTGAGTAATTGAATCAGTTTAGTTGTTAAAGCAGATGTTAATTGTTTTAAATCTCAATTTTTGTTCAATTCCTATTACCTTGAGCTATCCATAACAAATGTAATTTTAAATTAATCGTCTCATAAAATTAATAGCAAACAATCAGGTAATTATATATTCGAGTAATGATAATAATCAAGTAAATCAAGAGACCAAACAAAATATTATTTCTTTCTTTCATTGTTATTGCATACAAATCATGAACATGTCTATTCGCATTTAACTAAATAGTAGTTACCGTCAGCCGTAAAATTTACTAATCATGATTATTTGTTCAATACTGTTATTAACTGGAACCAAGTTTAACCAGAAAAATTAAACTTATTATCCTAACTTGCTATTCACAATAATTAACCTTATAATAATGTTATCAGAAAAATAAGATTATTACAATTAATTTTGTGTTTGCTTTGGCATTCAATTGATAATAGTTAACCTTGGTCATGAACCTTATTACCCATTAGATTAAAGGTAATAACATTTGAAAGTAACGGGATAAATGAATACAAAAGAGCTCATCAAAGCTTAATTGTAACGCTAATTGAATGCTTTGTAGGTTTCAATTGTAAATCCTATTCAATTGAATTAACAATAAAATCTTAAAGTAGAGACTTTAGGTGAATCCATTCAACAGATCTTTGACTTTGAGCATTTCAAAATTTTGAGATTCAAATGCTTTGTCCAACTGTTGTTGATTTGGGGTTAACTTGGTGTTAATTTGATTCTCCTTCAACCATCAATCCAAATAATGTTAATTGCTTTAAGTACAGGTAACTTGTTCAAGTGTATGTTGAGAGTTTCCATGTGTATGAACTAGTGAATATCAGGCAATCCTTTGCGACTCAAATTGATTCTTGGTTTTTTTCCAGCTTTGATTAACAGGTTAATTAAGGTTATCCTAATTCTTTGGATTGTTGATTAGTTTGGAGTTGCCATTGATCCATTGATTTATTCACAAGCTTCCCTTTAACCAGAAAAAAAAGACAAATTGTTTAGCAAATTGAAAATTGGAAAACGGTTTAGTTCAATTCAACTTACCTGTTCATTTTAAGGTCGCTTAATTTTTCAACAATTTATAATCAAATGTTTTTTATCTTCATTTTGTTTCTCTGTCTGTTTCTCTATGGATCAATGAATCGATGAGAAATCTAATCTAAAAAGTTTCTTTCCAATTCACTCAACTTCATGGTTCCTTTCATCTTCATCTTCTTCCCAATTAACCATTTTTTCCTCTCTCTTTTTACTCTCTACATCACCATTATCATCATCATCATCTCATCCTACTTATAATATCTAATTTATTAACACCATAACCTTAAAGTTAATAAACAAGCAAAGCAACTGCTTTTCAATAAAAGGTGAAAGTCTAGTGAAATGTAACTCTACAACGGACAAATTCAAAGCTATACTAATTGCTGTAGAAAGCATGAAATTATTGTAAATTTGAAAAAATCAATTCTAATTGTAAACACTGTTTTTCTGTGGCTATTCAAATACTAACAATATCGTAAGTATCAATTGATGTTTAGAAACTGGTTGCTTATTATTCAACATCAATATGGATGAAAAACGTGATGATTTAACCATCATTAAATTAGTAATTATGGTTAATAGATTTACAATTGATCAACAATTAGTAATAGCTAATGAACAAGTGAAATTATTCAATTAAATGAGCTATAAACCAATCAATTTGTAGGTATATGTTACAGGAAAACTGAATAATCATGGAAAGGGCTTTTCAATTATTTGTCTTCTTGGGTTTCAACCCCCACCACAACTATCATCATCATCATTCAACTTTCTCAATAAACAATTGACTCTCTCGGTGAGTCTGAAGAGAGGCAGGTAGGGAGGTAGAAAGAGAGAGAATCATCAGTAGAAAAAAGTCACTCAAATGAATCTCACTCTCTAGACTAGTTTCAATTGTTGTTGTTGCACGTTTTTTGTGCTACAGACTATACTTTATATGTTTACGATGTTCAATTTAACTTGTATTCAAGTTTTACATTCTGGAGCCAAAAGGCTGAAATTTTTTCCAACAATCATCTAACCATTGACTGTGTGTTCATTTTCATTCTTGTTTACAAGTCAAATATTGTTGTGTGTGTGTGTTAGGATTATGGTTTGAATACTGATGGGTTTCACTAGGAATAACAACCAAAGGAACCATTACCATCATCATAACCAACATCACCATAATTTACATCATCCACAGTCATCTCATCAATCTAAATTGTTAGGTACATCTTCAAATCAAAATCAACATCACCAGCAAAAAGCGTTTATCCTTCCACACAATGGTGTCCAAAGAGTCAACGGAAACCAACCAAATGTCATAACGAGCAGTTCAAATGGAAATGGAAATCAAATTGGAAATTGTATTGATCAAAATGGTTCTTGTGTCAACTCAGTTCCAATAGCTTCTGCCTCATCATCCCGTGAGAATCAAGTGAATCAACAAGTTGCACCAAATAATCATAATACAATTGGTCCTACAACAGGAGTTGCAACAGCAACGACAAAAGTTCATCATCATCACCATTATAATAATAATCACCATAATCATAATCATAATCATAATCATCAACAACAAGCACCTCAGTCACAACAACAATCATCAGGATCATCAAATTCTGCTAACCATAATCAAAATAACCGTTCACATCAGGTAAATCCACCATCATCTTCATCATCGTCAACAACCTCATCAACTAATTATTCCTATCTTCGCCGTCTGTGTCGTGAACGAGGCATACTTTTTGAAGATGCAACTTTTACACCAGGAAATCGCTCATTATATGGTAAAAAGGACGTTCCCTCGTCATCATCATGCAATTTCATGTCCAAAATATCTTCTTCCATTGTTTGGATGCGTCCATATGAAATATGTTCTCGACCAAAATTCATTAGTTCACCATCACCGGAAGGAACCACTTCAACCTCTCCCACTGGACGCTTTGATGTTGAACAGGGTGAGGCCATAATAGCGATAACTGCTTGTTCTGGTAACAATAAAAGTTCATCTTCGTCACCATCTTCCCTTTTAATTCCAAGTTTATCTTCTTCATCAACCACTAACCATCATGTTCTTAGCAACGGAAGTGGTAGTGGAGGAGGAGTGGGTAATGGAAATATAAATGGTGGACACTCTGGTCTTTCTGGTGGAATCATTGGCAATGCAAATGCCTCTTCTTCCTCCTCTTCGCCAGCCAATTATCTTTCCTCCAAAACAACTTGTTCATCTCTTTTATCAGCCATTTCCTGTCTCACTTTGACTCCATCCTTGCTTGACCGCGTTGTCCCATCGGACCAATCATTTTCACCTTCAAGTTACTCTGGAATATTTAGATTTAGATTTTGGCGATTCGGTGATTGGACAGAGGTAATTATAGATGATCGTTTACCAACTTACAAGGGTCGACTTCTCTTTCTTCGTTCAGCCGATCCAACTGAGTTTTGGGTTCCTCTTTTGGAAAAGGCTTACTCCAAAATGTACGGTTCCTATGATTATTATTTGAAAAATTGTTTTACAGCACAAACTTTGCAAGATTTAACAGGTGGAATAGCTCAGTCATTTACAATACCTCATCATGATGGTCATATAATCTATCAAATGATTAGTTCAGCTGTTCCAAGATCAACTCTCCTTTCAGCTTGTATTTCATCGATTCCTCCAAATGAAGCACCAGCATCACTTTTATCCTTATCTGGAGGTGCATCAGCATCAACACCATTCACCGCATTCAGTTCTTCCTATTTATCTTCTGGTCTTTCAGTCGCAATGAATAAACTACAACCAGCTCGACTTCGTAACGGTCTAATCACAAGGCAAGCTTATTCGATAACTGGACTGGCAAGAGTACGAACACAAACAAGACCTGGTGTACCAAACAATAATCATGTTCACTATCATCACCCTCATCACCACAACCATTCTCATCATCACAATTCAACTCATTTACATGGCCATCATCATCATGCATACGGAACTGGTCATGTTAATCAAATATCAACAGGAATGATTCCCAATGGGGGTTTTCCGATGACTTCAGGCTCATCAGGTAGCCTTGAAGTTGTACTGATTAGATTGAAAAATGCATGGGGGAAAGGTGAATGGAATGGCCCGTGGTCAGAAAGATCATGGGAATGGGATACGCTTACAGATCGGGATAAGGAAGAACTATCAGCTCGGTGTAGAGATGATGGAGAATTTTGGATGTCTTTTGATGATTTCCTTCGTTTTTTTACTCATCTCGATTTAGTCCATATCGGTCCTGACGATTGGATGGCTGAAACTGCTTTGCACCACAAGCGACCATGGAGAGCGGTTCTTGCCCGTCGTCGATGGAGATACGGTTTTAATGCAGGTGGATCACCAGAATATAAAGACACATTCTCCACCAATCCCCAGTTTCACATTCATATACCTAAAAATGGTCTCAATAAATGTCATGTAGTTGTTTCTGTAACTCAAAATTATTTACCAATTGGCTTAACTGTTTCAGCGACTCACCCTTTCACTAAATCAGAGCTACAACCACACCATCTTCACCATGCCCATCACCATCATCCCTACCATTATCAGCAAAACCAACAATTGTCATCCTCATTTCCAACCTCTTCACCATTTATATCTCAACGTAACCAAGGTCCACCCATCAATCTTTATCCTATTGGATTTTGTGTTTATGAAGTTCCTCCAGGAATGAAACGATTAACATCAGGTTTCATAGCTGCCCATCGTCCTTTAGACGTAACAGCATTCACCTGTACAAGGGAAACCGTTACATTTTTCACTCTTCCTCCAGGTGACTTTATAATTGTTCCCAGCACCGAGAAGCCACATTGTGAGACCAAATTCCTATTGCGAATATTAACTGATGAACCAAGTACAATTTGGGAAGTTAATGATGATAATGTAATATTCACTGATATATCAATTCCCAAGGTGATTGAAAACACTGGACAGGTAATTATTAATTTATAAACAATCAATATTTTAAAACAAAGCAAAAGAAACGAAAGGATTGATAAAATTAAAAACACTTCTGTTAGCAATTGATTGGCTGTTACCAGTATAGTTTTAGCGGTTACATTATGGCGGGTTTTTAGTAATTACAAATTAATCCATGCATAACCAAATGATACAATTTTGACTTCTGGGTTAGTTTGCTTGATTGTACAATTAAATCATAATTTTGGATTAAAAATTGTAAATCTCAGAATAAATTTAATCTTTGAATGGTTGAAGCAGCAAACTTGGTTAACTTGCCATTAAGCAAATAATGATAGCCTTTTGAATGTAAATTACCTATGAAAATGATGAGATTAACTTTAGAATCAATTTAAATGTTAAAACATTCATATTTACATGATATTACCATACAATTTAACTTTAATGACAATTGATAATCTAAAGTGTCTAACCGTTGTACCTGTTAATGGTATTGATATGGTTGATGTTTAACGATCTTTTAATTTGATTTCCTATGATTCCAGCCTAAGCAGCTGGTCTCATCGCTTGTTGTAAGTCGTTTATAATTTTAACAATTTAAACAGGGTTGGTAACATTTAATAGCAGACATAATAGTTATCGTATTAACAATAAACGATGATGATGATAAGGATAATAAGGAGATACCAAGAAAAGGGAATCAAAATTATAATTATAAACAGTATCAGAAAAAACACTGAAACAATATATTTTATTGCTATTTTCAGGGCTACAAGCGTCAGGTTAAATCTTTTCATCTTCATCATAATCAACATTTAACTGACAGATATTTAATTATAACATGAAAGTGAACCTCGCCAATTAACCAACCAACAACTATATGGGTGAGGCAAAAGGCTTTACCAGTTGATACTTGTTCCGATTAATATTCCCATTGTTGACCCATCAGTTATCAAGCAACATCTTAACAGTCGATTTGATTAAAATCATTGATTCACCAAGTTTGATGCCTTCAAATACATTTAAAACATCCAACCTCTAAATAATCAGAATCACAAGATCGAGTCAATAGCAAATTCAGGCCTAGACAAACCCGACTTTGGGTTAACCAGTCAGATGATATTTGAGACAATTAAGCATAAATGAACCATATTTCATGTAACCAGACTTGAGGTTGATTAGGCCTAAGGAAACCAGGTTTAGGTTGAGTAAACTTTTTTGGTTGAACCATTAAAATCATCTTTAGGCCTTCAGTTTTGATGATGCTATTCAGTCCATTAATTATTGTTATATGGTTAATTGTCATTGAATTAACGTCAACTCTGAAAATCAAAACAATGTTACATTGATGAAGTTTACCGGAAAAAAAAGGTTAACCTTCATTTTTACCGGAATGTAAAATTGTTGAAGCTTTGTGAAAATATAAACATCATTATTGTATTCAATTGTTGTCATGAAGATGGCGATGAAGACAATGGTAAAGATGATGATGATGGTTCTGAAGATGCTACTGAATAGAGTCCAGAATGAACCTTGAATAATGTAAGTAGCCAAATGATTTGATATGGACATGGTTCATCAAGGACAATGAAAAGATGTTGAGGGAAGGAAAATGGTGTGTTTTTGTAAAGAAACTGATGATTCTGATGATGATTGCTGATCATCGGTAGGTCACGAGTAAATCATCATCAATTGTCAATGGAACAGTGAATTTCAAGGTTAAAAATGAGCCATAATTATCAATACAATCAAATGCTGTAATACCGTTGTACGGAAGTGAAAACACAATGGTAATGACGAGATGTTAAAGGATCAACATTTTTCTGGTATTAAAAGTGTATTTATTTTGATCATTCACATTTTGTTTTTTGGCTTCTTCTTTAACCATTTTAATCACTTGCTGCTGCTGTTAACAATTTAATCTGGATTTGGTCAATTATTCATTTGAAAAACAAGATTCTTATTCATATTGTTTTCCTTGTTATATGAATTCTGGTTAACCTTACTTTGATTCACTCGTCTCTATTTTCAATTGATTTTATGCAAAACATTCATTCATCTTATTACATGAAAATTGAGTTTAACATTTTTTTATGCAAATCTTTCAATTCTATTCAATTGTTAAATTGTTCAACATTGAATAAACATCTTATTATCTCTCTATGATAACCCAAATTTTAATAGTCCTTGGTACAAACTGGTAAACTACTGTTTCTTGATTAACAATGGTTCAACTGATTAACATGTGATTTACATTGATTCTGATTTTTATGAGAAATTATAAATTCAACCATTTTCCAATTGTCTATCATTATTATTAGATTAGATTGAAAAATGTTATTAAAACATTTGTATTGGTAGGGAAGTTGGTTTGTTTCAATTCTCGGTGAATGTTGTTTAACTTGATTAGACTTGTTTTTGTGTTACAATTGTGTTAACATGTGAATGGGTAATATAAGATTTTCAAGCATCAGGTTGAACTCATCAATCTAACTAATTATCAGTTTGTTGACAACAATGGGTTATTAGGAGGAAAAGGTATTCCAATCGATTAGTTTGGGCTAAAAAGGTTGAGTGTTTCATTTTTGCCATTTTATTTGTCTAATTTAGGTAACAATTTTATATCATAATGATTAATTTAATGATTTATGAGTCTGAAAAAATCTATTCAATCAAATTATTCAGCTAATCTACAAATTGTTTTTTTTAAAAAACGCTCGCTTATACACTTTGAAAGGTGAAACCAATCACGGTAAGGGCTTTGTGATACAGTTTTGTGGTAACAATTTTGCTCTTCATTAATTCCATCAATCTTCATTAATTTTTAAGTCTAATAACAATCAACTAACCAAATATTTGATGAAACAATTCAGGTCATGACGACTATAAAAATAATCAATTTTGTTTCGTTTCCTTTGACTGCAGCCTTACTGTATCTGACCAGCTGATTTTAATGTAACCGCCAATCGACTATTCCAATCAATTATAATGTGTTTTTTTTCGGGTTATCAATTCCCTTATTATAAATTACCTATTAATTTGTGCTTTTTTAATCATCTAGAATGGCCACAATGTATTGAATCGTTTAATTGCTAAATTACCAAATGAGATTGATGCCGCTCTGTTATTGAAAGTCCTGAAGGCCTATTGGAAACGTAAGTGTTGTTTTCTGGTTGCATATTGGTGTTTATTGTTACCTGTGTCTGGTCAATTAATGATTTTCCTCTTTCTTTATCAGCTCTGAATATCCTTTATGATAAGCCATCGATGGAGTTGTGCCGTTGTTTAATAATGTTGAAAGATGCCACAATTACTGGTAAATTGGTTGTAACCGAATCACTAGCTTCTCTTTTAAATATGCTTCACTTTTGGCGGACCATATTCACAAAGCATCAATCAAATTCACACCATAAAGTATCATCTTATAATTTTCGTCTAGTTTTATGGGAAGCTGGGATATCAGTTAGTAATAAGGTTCTTGAATGTTTAGTAATACGTTATACCAATAATTGCGCTCTTCTCAATCTTGAATCTTATTTACTTTCTCTAGTCAAGTTGCATCTTGCTCACGGTAAGTTAGTTATTAGCGTTTGATATCAATTAAACTATTTCCCCTTCTAATTATATTCTTTAATTGTTTCCATTTAGATCGATATCGTAGTTTAGAGAGAAAAGGAAAAAATCAAAACTTAACATTAGAAGAGGTATGTAACCAATTAGCGAAAGTAACACTTTTTTGAGTTTAAAAGTGATTTGATGAACATCAACCGTTACAAGTCAATGTAAGATTGATGGTGATGGTTATAGTCATCAACATCAACACTTTTAAGCCATCATCTTGATTGTCTTTCCTTCGATTAACCATTCAATTGCTTATCTTCTTCTTTTTCAGATGATTTTGTTAACCACTTACTCGTGATAGATCAACATGATGGAGATAATTTTCATCTTTAAGCATCAAATAATTTTGCTCACAAAACTTTGACCAATCAAAAACATTTTTATCAGGTCAAGTCACAATAAAATACTACTTTTTAGTTGATTTCACCTTTTTATTCATCTGATCATTTCAAAAAGTTGAAAAAAGTGAGTATTAATCGGTTTTAAAAATTAATCCAATGTATTTCGCTTCCATGTTAAATTTGATTTAAATTTTCTCCGTACATTACAAAAGTATTTTCTGGTCAACATAAAAAATCTAACAAAATATTAATAGATGAACTTCAACATCTGCATCAAGAACAAAATTGTACTTTCCAGGCTCATGAACACCGATTTTGTAATCTGGAAAAGATTTGGTTGGATAAAAGTTAAACACTAACCAATTTAAGAGACATCGGGCTGGTTCAAAGACAATCACTTAACCAACGGTACTTCTCTTCTAATGTGTTCATAGCTCTGTCAAAATTGTCTAGAAACTTGTAACGTAGAAGCTCATCGTCTACTAAATTGGTCACCTTGTGCAATGTAATTCCTCTTGAAAGGATGACTGCGAAGATGAATCATTTTAGAGAATTGTTTAAAGATTAAAAATGAAAAAATATAATAGAATAGATCTGAAATGGAAAGGCTTAGAATTGAAGTTAATTGTTGAGAGAAACCTCGTTCAATACCATTTGAATGATAAACCATTGATGAAAACCATCGAAACTGAAATCATCGTTTGAATTTTACAAGCATAACTGTTTATTATGTCGAGATAAACATAAATGCCGGGTCCGGCCCTTTTAACCATATTGTCCATCACTCAAACCTAACACATCTACTATTCATCGTCATCATATCTATAATATACCAAAGTGATTAAAACTTACTGATTTATAAAAACGGTGCTTTAAATGTTAAAATTAATAAAGAAACTTTTGAAAATCTTTTTCGTCTTCCTCTGTCTGCCTTTCTTCAATCCTAAAGAGTTTATGTTCAAACTTTTGTGTTAAAAGTTAAGATTTGATGATATTGTAAGAGCATGAAAATGAGGTCTAGAAGGTAAAGTAAAATTTCTATGGTGTTCGAACTTCAAACTGGAGTCGCTATTGTACAGTTCTGCAAATTTGATCTTTTTCCTCAAATCTATCTTCACGTGTAACTTCAATGCCTAATAAAGTGGGTGGAAAAATGTATCAAATCATTTCAATTGAATCAATAATTTGTACCACATTTTTATCAATTGAAAATAAAACAAAAATTATGGTCATTTATTGGGCACTCAATAACTTTAAGTAAGGGTCAAGTTTAATAGATTTTGTAGATCTGGCGGCGAAACATTGAATCTATCAAATCTACCGTATCTTTATCAGCTGTTTTACCTTCCCCTTATTTCCCCCCTGGCTGAGCAACATCATCACCAACTTGCTTTAACTCAAGTTGGACTATAATCTGAATCATGTGTATTAACTAATAATTTAACTAAACAATTTAATTTATTATCTTTTTAATTAAAACCCAAATATGGGGTTGTGTAAGTGTCCTAAGCGTAAAGTAACTCAACAGTTCTGTTTTGAACACAAAGTCAATGTTTGTGAGTATTGTATGCTGACACACCATTCAAGGGTAAGTTGTCATATTGAAAACATTTATTGAAACAATTACATCGTAATTTACTAATGTTTTTATGCAATTTTTCTACTCTTTTACATTTACCATCCATCTCTGCCTCTAAATCAACTATTATCAGTGTATTGTTCGTCCATACCTCCAATGGTTAGAAGATAGTAGTTATGAACCGGTCTGTGGTCTCTGTCAACAGTATCTCAATAATGAAGAATGCGTTAGATTAATTTGCTATCATATTTTCCATTGGAATTGCCTTAACAATTACGCCAATAGTTTACCTTCAAACACTGCGCCTGGTGGTTATTCATGTCCAAACTGCTGTAAGACAATATTTCCTTCGACGGATGCCAATACACCAATAGCTAATCATCTTAAGAAACTCTTATCAACTGTTCAATGGTCTCGAGCTGGACTTGGTTTACCTTTGATTGACACTCCATCAGTAAGCTCGCCAACATCTCCTAGATCACCTGTAACCATTGAAAAAACAAATTCCGTTAAAAATGTGCAAATCGCTCCAGCCGCATCAACCACTAGTTTGAAAACGCAACCAACTCATGTCCCTGTCAATGTAAATCCCGTTTCAAACTATGTCAACTGTGATGAAGTCAACTTTGTCACCAATGCTAGAAAATTCCATCATGTTAGTAGTATAAATCCAAGCAATGCAAACACATTTTTGGACATCGATGAGGATAAATATCGCCGGAAATCACCTCTAGAACTAATTTCAAAATGGTTTAGGTAAATTTCATCAGTTTAATGATTAAACATATGAATTAATGATGGCTTAAGTTAACCACTTAGTCAGAGATCGAAGAAAATTGATCCAAATGTTAAATTTCATAAATCTCTCTTTTTGCGTATCTATCCTGTTTTGCATTTGGAATTTCAAACCTAAATCACTCATTTTTTCATCTCATTTTCATTTCAGATCACATAACATTACCAAACACAATGAAGGATTGTCACTGAAAGGATGGATTGTTATCGGTTTTCTGGCAATTTTTACTGTTTTCACCTTAGCGCATTACTTCTTGAAACTTGGAAGGGAAAATGCTGACCATGACCCATTACTTGATCCACATTTCAATCCCAATATCAGAGTTGCTCAAGATGAAGAGTAATTCCTTTTTTCAATTGCTTAATTATTTTGTGAATATCAGGATAAATTTTTATTGTTTTCCTGGATTTTTTAATTATTAGGTAATTAAATACCCAAAACAATGAAAAAAATTGTCTATTACTTTAAATGTTGAGAGTTGTCCTAGGCAATCACAATTTATTCATGTGTTTGATTACTTAATGTCAGATTCATCCGGTCATCTTTGAAAAAGCTGAAAATTTTATTGAATATTATTTTATTTTATTGAAAGATTAATTTATTTTACTTTCATTTTAACATGGATTTAAATTTACCCCGTCCCGTACATTTCAAAAAATATTTTCTGGTCAACATATAATATCTAACAAAATAGATAAACTTAACTATATTTGGTTTTAAATTAAAAACCTCAATCTATTTGTAAAGATTGAATAATAGGCTAGTGTTGATTCCATGAAAATAAATGGACAAATCAGTTATAAAATGTGAACAATTTTGGCCTAAAAATTATCACGCAGACTTTCAATGGCTTTTCAGTATCCATAATGACGAGCAAAAATAATTCCGGTTCGATTCGGAATGTAAATCATCATTGAATTGGCACGTCCAGCAAAACCTTCTGGAGAAGTAAAGAATTCAACTGAATGATCAAGCCTTTTAAATCCACCAAATTCTTCAGCATCTGAGTCAAGAACAATTTTGTACTTTCCAGGCTCATCAACACCAATCTTATAATCTGGAAAAGATTTGGTTGGGTGAAAGTTAAACACAAAGACACATTGGGCTCGTTCAAAGACAATCACTTTGTCATCTTCATGTTTCCAGGAAACATAACCAGAATCATCTGCACTCAACCAACGGTACTTCTCTTCCAGTGTATTCATAGCTCGATCAAAATTATTAAGAAACTTGTATCGAAGAAGCTCATCATCTACTAAATTGAATTGTCGACGAGCATAATGGTAACTACTGTTATTTCCAGCTCGAGGGAAGTCCAACCATTCTGGATGTCCAAATTCATTGCCTATGAAGTTTAACCAGCCTTCTCCTCCTAGGCCATGAGTTAACAGTCTAATTATCTTGTGTAATGCAATTCCTCTTGAAATAATGTCTATTAAGATAAATAATAGGAGAAAAATAATTAAAGATCAAGGATTAGAATTCATGTTAAATTATTCAGTTTCACCGAGTATCGTTTGCGATGCTAAGCATAAAGTTAAAGAAAGTGAAAAATTCATTACCGGTCAATGGCGTTATGGTTGACATGTTGTCATACATTTCTTTATCCATCAACCAAAAAGCAATTGACTTGTCACCAACCAACGCCTGATCATGAGATTCAGCATATGCAATAGTTTTCTCTTTCCAACGACGATTTGAAAGAGTATGTACAAGGTTACCGATATTCCACTCTTCATCGCTGCACTCTTTAAGTAATTCAATCCATTTATCAGGAATTGCCATACCTAAACGATAATCAAAACCTCCTCCACCCTCTGAAACGGGTCGACAGAGAGCAGGCATTCCGGAAACATCTTCAGCTATGGTAACTGCATTGGGATGGAAATGATGAATTACATGGTTGGCCAGTTGCAAATAATTGAAACTCTCCGTGTCCGTATTAAGGCCAAAGTATTCATTGTAATCACCAGAGAAACCGTGTCCAATACCATGTGAATGATAAAGCATTGATGTTACACCATCAAAACGGAAACCATCGAACTGGAACTCTTCCAACCAGTAATGACAATTTGAGAGTAAAAAACGAAGTGTCTCCCAATTGGAGTAGTTAAATAAACGTGAATCCCAAAGAGTATGTTCACCTCTTGGGAGATCATGAAAATAATGACTATTGGTACCATCAAAACGATTCAAACCATCGTCTACATTTTTACAAGCATGGCTGTGAATTATATCCAAAAGAACGTAAATGCCTTGCGAATGAGCTTCGTCGATAAGACGTTTAAGCTGATCGGGAGTGCCATAACGTGAAGAGGGGGCAAAAAATGAAGTAACCTGGTAACCAAATGAAGCATAATATGCATGTTCCATAATTGCCATCAATTGGATTGCATTATAACCCTGTTTCTTGATCCGAGGAAGAACTTTCTCCCTGAAATAATCGTAAGTGGCAACTTGATAATCTGGGCTACTGATACCAACATGACTTTCATAAATTTTGATATTAGTTGGCGCTAAGGGTTTCTTGCTCTTAAACGTATATCTCTCACTTGGATTATAAAATACTTGATCATAGATTATAGAGGTTTCGGGTTGAACCACATAAGTCGCCCATGGAGAAATACGATCTTCAATAATCCCTCGCATAGTTAATACACCAATTTTTAACTTATCACCATGTTTGATTGCTGGAGTTCCATCGGGGTTGGGTGGTATGATTAATTCCCATTTGCCAAACTCAAGTTTGTTGAAAGGGTGTGAAATGTTAGACCAACTGTTGAAATCACCTTTTAAAAACAATCCCTCAGCTCCGGGAGCCCACTCAAGACATCTTATACTATTATCGGGTTGAACGTGGATACCAAAAGTTTTATAGCTCTCAATAAATCCTTTTAATCCTCCTTCATTGGCACTAAGTGAATCCACCAACTTTTTATAGTGGTAATAACGACGTTTGATCTCGTTTCCATGTAACTTTAAGTAGGGGTCAAGTTTAAACAGATTTTCCAGATCTGGCGGTGAAACACTGAGCCACGGCTCTTCGAAATTTGATGTGACCATCTTGAATACCTGTTCACGTGAAAACTGTTTTCTGTCGACAGCAAAGAGTAACACTGTTTTTATTTGATGATCCAAATGGTAGCAAAGCTTATAACTCTTTTAATGGTAGACACTTGAAAAAAGAGAATAAATTATCGTTAGAAATAATTGAACACAGTATAAGATGAGCAAGATAACCTTGAAGAAATGATATTGGTAATGTGGTTAGTGCATGACTTCAAGGTTGACAAGAGCAAATGTTGAAGCTAAAAAGAGAATTTATGAAGATTACTGATTAGAATTAGCTGCAGATAATGAAAGAACAAAACAATCAAATGAAAACAAGGCAAACTTTAAAAATGACTGTCAGTAGGCAAATCAAAATCAGCTGTGATTAAAAAAAACGAACTGAGATCGTTATGACGTTCTCGATTCGTTTTTTACAATGATAAAAACAGTTAACTTAACTAAAATTATTCTTATAACATAATATTGAGTACTTGAATCGAGAGGTACAAAAACTAGATAAAAATAATTAAAAATTAACGACCTTCTTTTCATTGCATCAAAAATATCATTGTTTACAATAAAAGCAACACATACTTACGATTTGATTCATAAAATTACCCAAGAAATGTATCACATTTTAAAACATTTATGTGAAGGTTAAATTGATGTCATTCCAGATTGGACTACAATCAAATTATAACATTATTCAAACATTGATCAACTTTAAATAACTGGTTTTGAATTTCCTAGAAAGGCCAAGGGTCTTGGCACATGATAATTGTCTACAGTTAACTTTTGTAAACAATTTGTACAAATATATTTAGTATACGTAAGTATAGATGGCTGCAGGCTCACGTTTCAGTCAACATTTCAAGCGGGAATTTTTAACTACTTTAAAGTAAATAATTAATTAGAAGGACAATTGAGAAACAGTTAAATTATGGTTTAATAATTGAAAGAGAAGCACCTTTAAATTAAAATTACTTTAAACATTTTATTCATAAAAACAGTCAATTTATTAAAAGACTGATGCAGATTCATTTTCAACTCAAAAAGTGGCGATCAATTTGTTTCCAAAGTATCTGATTTTGATTTTTTTACATGAAATAAGTTTCAAGACAAAAAAAATCAATTCATAAATATCAGGTGGTATTAACCCCGATGCCGTAAATAAAGATGCTTCTGTGGAAATATCCCCATCCTCAAATGACAACATGGACTATAATATTGTCTAATATTGAAGTTAACTAAAGTTTTCGCCCATTCATCGCTATCATCTAAATATCTTTGTTCAGGAAATCCAGCTCTGATTTTTGCCATTAATTCAGTATATAGTATGATTTTTTTTCTTTTATTCAGCCAAAGTCTGGTACTTATGTGATGACAAATGAGTCTATCACATTGTATAGCATTAATACCTTCCATTTCTGCATTATAAAGTGAAATTTGAAAATCGAAGCAACATTCATGATCTATTAAACCAAAACCAGCAATAAGAAAGAAACGGTCGCCATCATTTAGACTTTGACTCAAAGTTTCATTCCCGTGCTCTGTAATAGTATTGAAATATTGTCGAAATAAATAGTCTCGATTGGAAACGAAAACGTTTTGAGTTTGGGTGAATATGAAAACCCAACGTATGTACTCGACTGGTAAACCAATAAAGGATGCAATCTGTAAATTATAATAATACGAAGTGATTGTCAATTAAATATTAAAAACATAAGAAGTATTGAGCTTACCTTTCGGTTGAATAGTTGTTGTTTATTTTCACAGCTTTCATCTGACCAATCAATTGTAATATCTTGGTAATCCTCATCCATTAGTTTCACTTTGATAGTAATTTTACTCGAGTTATCATTGTTTTTACTCATTTTAAACAAACTTTTGATGGATCGTTACAACAGAGAAAGAATGATTTTTAACTTTATAAATCAATTCACAACAACATGTGGTCAAAGCTAACCCTTTGTTTGCTTCACAAGCCAGTATTGAATTCAAAACTTGAAATGCTAACTCAAAAACAAGTTGTGACCTGCCCTGTCCAAATTTAAATGGAGCCGCGCAAGCTTGAAACTAGGTGAAAGAAAGGATATAAAGGCTTATAAGTATAAATCCGTGCAATGCAAATACTTTTTTGGATATCGATGAGGATAAATATCGTCGGAAATCACCTTTAGAACTAATTTCAAAATGGTTTAGGTAAATATCATCAGTTTAATGATTAAACATATGGATTAATGATGGCTTAAGTTAACCACTCAGTCAGAGATCGAAGAAAATTCATCCAAAATGTTAAATTTCATAAATCTCTCTTTTTGCGTATCTATCCTGTTTTGCATTTGTAATTTCAAACCTAAATCACTCATTTTTTCATCTCATTTTCATTTTAGATCACATAACATTACCAAACACAATGAAGGATTATCACTGAAAGGATGGATTGTTATCGGTTTTCTGGCAATTTTTACTGTTTTCACCTTAGCGCATTACTTCTTGAAACTTGGAAGGGAAAATGCTGACCCATTACTTGATCCACATTTCAATCCCAATATCAGAGTTATCCAAAAAAATCCAAATTTTCATGTTATCCATTACATAATGCCACATGTTTTATTCATCCGATCATCTTTGAAAAACTGAAAATTTTATTGATAGGTTTTAAAGATTAATTTATTTTACTTTCATTTTAACATGGATTTAAATTTACCCCGTCCCGTACATTTCGAAAAATATTTTCTGGTCAACATATAATATCTAACAAAATTGATAAACTTAACTATATTTGGTTTTAAATTGAAAAACTTAATCTATTTGTAAAGATTGATTAATAGGATAGTGTTGATTCCATGAAAATAAATGGACATCCTCATGAACACCAATCTTATAATCTGGAAAAGATTTGGTTGGATGAAAGTTGAACACAAAGAGACATTGGGCTCGTTAAAGACAATCACTTTGTCATTTTCATGTTTCCAGGAAACATCTTAACTCAACTAACGGTACTTCTCTTCCAATGTGTTCATAGCTCGATCAAAATTATTGAGAAACTTGTATCGAAGAAGCTCATCTTCAACTAAATGTCGACGAGCATAATGGTAACTACTGTTGTTTCCAGCTCGAGGGAAGTCCAACCATTCTGGATGTCCAAATTCATTGCCTGTGAAGTTTAACCAGCCTTCTCCTCCTCTTTCCAACGACGATTTGAAAGAGTATGTACAAGGTTACCGATATGATGTTCACCTCTTGAGACATCATGAAAATAATGACTATTGGTACCATCAAAACGATTCAAACCATCGTCTATATTTTTACAAGCATGGCTGTGAATTATATCCAAAAGAACGTAAATGCCTTGCGATTGAGCTTCGTCGATAAGACGTTTAAGCTGATCGGGAGTGCCATAACGTGAAGAAGGGGCAAAAAATGAAGTAACCTGGTAACCAAATGAAGCATAATATGCATGTTCCATAATTGCCATCAATTGGATTGCATTATAACCCTGTTTCTTGATCCGAGGAAGAACTTTCTCCCTGAAATAATCGTAAGTGGCAACTTGATAATCTGGGCTACTGATACCGACGTGACTTTCATAAATCTTGATATTAGTAGGTGCTGAGGATTTCTTGCTTTTGAACAATCGTCAAATCGGCCTCAGATTTAGAATAAAATGAAACATATATCAATCGAAAGCTTATGCTGAGTAGAGTATACCTCCAAATCCCCGACAAATCCCTTGGGACCCAATGATGACTAACTCAAACCCAATTTTTCAGATAGAACTTTTTGTGTTGATTCCAATGATGCTATGCACGACTATCTGAACTTGCGGCTTTTTGAGATATTCAACTTATTTTATTTTTTCTCATGGACATGCATGGTCAAAGCCCTGGCGTTTCTTTTTCATTATATGATGACCACATCAGACCTAGTATATATTGTTCAGCACCTTGAATATTATCATAAATTGTCAAAAATATTTCCGTAAATTGATGGTTGATCTCTGAGTTGGTCATCGTTGGATCCCAAGGGATTTGTCAATTAACTCCCCAGTGGATCAGAATTTTGATCTGATTTTAGGGAAGTATACTCTACTCAGCATAAGCTTTCGATTGATATATGGTTTTTATTCTTGTGCCGAAAATCCAACCTTTTTGGCTATCCTCCTTTGTGCAAAAATAAACCGGTTTCTTGTACATTATTTATTATGTCTAAAACAATAACTTTAGTAATTAGTGATCAAACAAGGACCGAAACTTTCACAAGGGATAACTACGAAAGATTTAGCGACGTTAAGATGACTCTAGTTCTTTTTCACTATTCAGTTTTTTTGTCATTGTACATACACCAGCAGCTCATTGAATGTTCTTTCTAATAATGTATAAATCGAAGCTCTTCTCGGTCTTGTTGTTGAGAAGTAAGTTGATCTTTGATTGTTCAATTAATGATGAAAAAGATTAAAAATGAATATTTCAACCTACTTTGATTTATGAACGGATTGAGTTGATGCGATGAAAAATATATGATCAAAGAACGTTGAATTGTAGCAAAGAAACATGCAAGATTTATTTAATATGAGTAGTTCTGACTTAGAACATGGTGTCTCAGAGCTCAGTTTGAGTGATAAAAAAGTCGAATTTTGAAAAAGCTCACTCAGGATACTCTGGATAACAACTGGCCTAATTTTTATGCCTTCAGTCATTGTAACAATTGGTTGAGTAAAATCAGGTAAGGCATTAAATATTTATCAAAAAAAATCAAAGGTTCACTCAAAATGCTTTGAAAGAAATCTTTACATTTTAAAATGTTGAGGTAATTTAGAGGTTGGTGGAAGATTTACTTGAACAATTGCAAGTTTGATTGCTAGTTACAAGTTTGCAAATCTGGTTCAAATATTTGAGTCAATCAATATAATCTGGATTGCTTGGTTGACTTTTCATGGTTGACATTTCTTATACAGTTGCTGTACAGGATTAACTTGATATATAAAATTTGCTGAATGCTTTTAAATGATTCCTATGTTGTTGCAAGCAACAGATTAAAGCAGCATTAAAAATTATTGAGAGTTGAGTTTGGTTTTAAAATTTCATCGACATAATTGTTGATTTTGTTTGATACTTGGTCGGAAATGATTAATTGTTTAACCCTGAGGCTTTCAAAATGACATTTTCGGCTTGCCAGGAGAATGGAAGATTGCGAAGACAACCGGTGAAAAGGGAGGAGAAAGAAAAGAAAAGATGATGATGATGATGATAATGTTGATGAGGATAGTGATGGTGAGTACGAAGATGTCGATGTAAATAATGATGATTATTAGAACACATAAAATCTGTTAAATTAACTTGGGTAAAATGATTTAGGTGCAGCTTCAAAGAAACCCTCAAGCTGGTTTTACTCTTTCTCATCTCAACCTCAAATCACTTTCACTTTTTTTCACCTTATGATCAATTCAGTAAATCATTTATAAATTGTTTCTTTTTCCAGTTCAATCAATTCCTCTTTATACCCAAACAATTCAAAACACTGAAGACATACTTCATCCTCTTAATGATCAGTGGCACTCAAATGGTACTCGAAACCAAGCCAAATGTAAGTAAACACAATTAATTTTGCTGTAAAGTCTTTCTCTAATAAATGTCTTTTTGTAAACCTTTAGTGAAGATATGGAAACAAAGTATACAATCTTAGGCCTAGTGTAACCATTTCAATGAAGACAATGTTTTTTCATGATTACCAATGGATTTACCAGTGATTTAATGATTACTTAATATTTATTTTATCCACTACAACCTGACAATCGAGTTGATTACTTGTAAAGAGTGGCGAAGAAAAGGAATCAAAAATTAAAGCTTGAAGCAATGAAGCCTGAAATCAAACTAATAAATTATATTAAAAGAGGCCCAGTTAAAAGTTTAGTTACCAACTACTTATTTTATTTTCAACTTTACTCCTGGTTAATAAATACAAAATCAACTTTTAATAATATACACTTCCTTTAATTAACATTCAATGGATTGGGATTCAATTGAAAGGTTCAACAGTAACAATTACAACAGTAACCATGAAGAAGCAGCCAGCAAGGTGGATAAAGTGTAGAGGATAAGACAAAAAAGCCAACAGATATCTAAAGGCCTAAGCAAAGGTCCAAGGTGAAAATGGATGAAGGAACCACCAAAAAATTAGATGAAAGGAACCAAGCAACAAAAGGGAAAGCAAATGTAAACAAGCATCATTCAAGGAGTTAGTTATTCAATTTTTATCAATTTTCAATGTTTATTAATATATTTTTTCTATCCTTACCTAACATTTTTTTTTCTCTCTCTCTTACTTTCCTTACTTTTCAGCTATCCCTTGGCCTTCCCCTTTCAAATAGCCGCAGGCTTTGAAAACATGTTCCTACCTCGTAACATTTTACTGATAAATGTAATTTGTGCCTTCTGACTGCTGTTAATAACTTGTGTTGGAGTTTTCTGTAATATTTCATCATTGGTGTTTCCCTGAACCAAAAAAAAAACCTTAAGTAAATCAATGGATAGACTGAGCCAAGGAAAGCAAAAGACGGAGACACAAGATTGAAACACATGCTTGTGGATTGCAACTCACTTGGTCACTCTGTGTTAATTTATTCACAGTACAATTAACTTGTTTTTTTCTCGCTTCCAACATTTCATTCTCGACACACACACACAAATTAACATAAACAGTCTTCCCGTTGCTTCTAATTCTCACACTTTCACTGTCTCTCTCTCTGTTTTAACCCATAATTTTTAACCTTTCCCTCTCCATGTTTACGTTTTAGCTTTACCTTAGTGCCATTTTGGTTAGTGTACCTTGATTACCATGATGACGATTATTGAGGATGAAATATTTGCCAATATTTAACATCTAGTTCCGTGATAATCACTTTGACTCTTTATCTATATTTGTATTGCTTACTTGCTTTAGCACCACTCTTCAGTTACCAGTTGCTTTACCCCAAAACCAGTGATCATCTCAAGAGATTTATGTGTATTTATGTGTATGTGACACCATCAATAGTTGATCTTCATCTCTACATCATCCTAATGAACATTTTTTTCTTTCCCTCTCTCTCTCCCTTTCTTCCAGTACACTCACTTGAAATGCTATCTTAACGGATTATCCATCAAAGAGAAGATAGATTCAACATTTCATCCTGAAAAAAAGTAGAGAAAATGGAAATAATCAAAAGCTATATTGAGTACATTTTTTAACAAGTTTCATGTTGATCAACACAGAATCCGTCTCTTGATCCATTTTTACTGTGAGTTTATATCTGTTAATAACCTTTATGGACTTGCTATAAATCTACAAGAACCTGGTGATATATTAGCCGCTAAATCCAAGCGTCTTCCCAACACCTTACCTTAAAATTAAGTGGGTAAGTTGATCTCTTTTTCATCATCATCGTATCTTCACCTTCCATTCAAATTATTTATCTCTCTCTTTCCCTTGCAGTTGAACGTGTCAAAGTGATTCATTTTGAAGGGGAAAACTGTCTCCAAGAATATCTTCTGTTCATTTCACTCAGCAATTTACAAGTCTCTCTTCTTCATCAGTATTTTTTCGTCCTCTTTTCCATTCTCATCATCACTATCACTATCATCTTTATGATCACCATCATCATCATCTTCGTCATCTCGTTAATTGCTTCAGAAAATTTGTGAGTGTAAAATGAATAGGTTGATGACAGTCAAAACACACATTTGCTTAAGGCCAATTGTGTATTACCACGCGTTGAATCATTTTGTAAACCCAATAGCCAGATTGTATTTCAATTGTCCCCTTGCTTTAGGTAACCCTGATCATGAAGATGAAGATGAAGGTGAATTTTTCTTCTCTAATAAGATTAACCTGACTTGTTAACTCATTAAGTTAATCCTCATTTCCAATCACCATTTAGCTTTCAAATTTTTTCTCGTTTTTTTACTTGCTTCTTGAACTGCCTTTAAGACAAGCAAAAACAAATATAAATCACTCTTGATTAGCTGTGTACAAATATTATTGATTTGAATTAATCAATTGCAAATTTGTTGCATTTCGAAATATATAAATCAATGATTCTGACACTCACTGTATTTGATATATTATTCAATCTGTAACATTGAATAATGAATATGAACGGTTAAATCATGCTTGAATGTCAATAGATTCAATAATCTGATTTGAATCAAGTCTAGATCAACCACTTTGACTGTCAAATGCAAACCAAATTAACCTAAACCATGAATATCAATAAACTCCTCAGTCAACCCAAAATTGTATCGCCTACAAACCAAAGTCAGTGTTCACCAGCGACTGAAAACCCAAAATTGTTTGCCTCTTTGGGTTTTTTTTCGTGTTTTTTGGGTCTTACTTGATCGGGTCAACAATCAATTTAAACGGTAAAACAAGTTGTTGATCATGATGCCAGTTATTGTAATATGCATTAACGATTATTACAGTTAAGAGTTTGGAATCACGCGTTTCCAATTCATTTAATCATCTTTGGAAACCATGATTTCCACTTAAATAATCACATTGATTACTGACAATTAATCATGCAAATATAAAGGTTAAATTGCAATTTACTCATTCCTCTTTATAATATGGCTTTACCCATTGAAAAATGTTCAATTATTGTAAGTTGTGCCCATCAACTGGTCAACTTGTAGTTGGCCAATAAACTTGAAGATTAACTATCCATTTGTAATTGATGATTAAGTAATTATGTTGTTTTATTGCATTTAAATAATGGTATAATATATCATAAATATATACTTGAAATATCTTGAAATAAATCTTAATATATTTTCAAATATTAAATGAAATTTGCAAACAAAATGAGAATCCGGAAAAATATGCTCTTTTCATGGAACAATTAACCAAGTTGAAATAATGTTTAATTTCGATTATATCAAGTTAATTATAAAATTATTGGCTATTAAATTGATATAATTTTAAATTGTAATGAAATATGGATAATCATTGAAAAATTAAAAAGCGCGCTTCGCAATAATTTCAGCAGTTTTGTTTATCTTTAGTTCATTGGTCAAAGAGTTGATAAAGACAATCAAGGTTGACATATTGGAATCGTTTAATTTGATGGTTAATTTTCAGGATAGGAAAATGTTGATTGGTAAGTTAATATTAAACTGTTAACCAGGATTAAATTGAATAGTTTGATCAAGACTCACCTAATATGATGAGGTTCAGTCTAACAGACTTACAAGTTAGCTTGATTTACAGGTTTTCATCACCAGGATATGTTTATGTTTTATAATAATTATGTTTCAATTTTTTCGTTGTTTTTTCAGATTATCAAGTAACTATATTATGACGTTTATTGGTATTGATGATGTTAAATTACCAGTGACCATCGATTGTGTACCATTCTCATGTTGAACTAAACGCCGATGATAAAGCGATGATGTTACCATTTAGCCTTAGCCCTTATGCTCTATGCATTTGTAGACTGGTCGATTAGAGTTAATTGTGATCAATATTATCTTGTAATTAACTTGATATACTCTTTTATTGGATTGTGATGACGTTGATCAGGTTTGATCTCTTCTTCTTGCTAATCATGATGATGATCATCCTGGAATTGACCTTTTTGCTGTTTAAATCTACCATTTTTCCCTCCGTTTTCCCTCTTTTCCCTCATTCCTTATACCTTGAGGTTTGATAGTTAATCCATCTAACTTAATTTGATTGTAAACGTGAATCCAAATTAATCTAATTTCGGGTAAAAAACCAGGCAGAAAAAAAGAGAAAAAACATAATCATAACCATCAATTCTCTTTCATTAATTTAGCTTTCCTGAAGATATTAATCCGATGATGATGACAAGATGAATTTTCAATTGATCTTAAACTGTTTGGTTTATTTCATCTTTTTTTTGGCGTATGTGTTTAACAATTACATGTCAATTAATCAACTAATGACCAGTTAAGAGTCGACAAATCATCTGTCCAACATATCAATGATAATGATGACATTGTAATCAAATACGTAAACTGTTGTGGCAACATTATTATTAGAAACATGATGAGTTGATGACTTGATTCCTCTCACACAATCAAAGGTTGTTAAACCTTCTTGTCGCCTTTATTTGTTCATACCAATGGTTCCAAATGATTAAGTCAACCTTGATTTGAAGTAACATTGCAAATTATCTTAATAGTGATAATTAAATTGGTAAAAAGACAAATGTTTTGATGTAAAAGAAACGATCACCTGTCAATGGTCATTACACCCTTGACTTGCATTTAAATGTGTTTATTCATTTATTGACTTGACAAAAATGAATTGTAGCAATTAATGTTAATTGTGTAAAAATATTATTCTGATAATATTAATTATCTCTGAAATTGTTAGCGACATTTTATCTTTAATATCATATTCAACTCTTTTATCTCAATTTATCTTAACCAACCCTTTTGTTTGATTCTCCCTCCTCTTCGGGTTTCATTTTTTTACTTTCCTTTGTTTCCAGTTTTTCTCACGTTGCCGTTAGTCTTATTTGGGGTAATATCAAGTTGACTCTTCTTCTGTTTTTGATTAGTTCTCTGTTAATTTGTTCAATTATTGCGTTGATTAATCTGTTTGTATTTTAAATTTTACTTGATAATGGACTTAATGTATTACTTGGTTACTATTTCAACTTGGCCACGATTGCAAAGGAATGTTAATCGGTTGTTTAATTTTACCATAATTGAAAGATGATGCAAAGAAGGAAAGTCTTACTGGTGGTTATATCTTTTGGTTGAAAGCTTTAAAGTGAATTTTCTTTCTCTTCACAAATCATTGGTTTCTTCACTTCTTTTGGTTTTTTTACATTCTTCATTTTCTTGGATTTACATCAAAAGTAACAGCCTCTGAAGTATTAACCAGGACATCTATCACCTTAAAATGGTTAATGGGGTTACCAGTGATTTGTAACCTGCTAAAGGAATTGACTTGACTGTTAATTTTGACATTATCCAAGCTGTTTTCTGAAGGTTTTTTTTTCCTCTTCTTATTTATCTACATATATCCATATAAATTTCATCATTTTGATTACCTTTGAGCACTACTTTGGGTGATTTAAGCCGTCGGATCATCGTGATATTGATGATCTAACGTAATACTTTAGCCATATGTTTGGCTGATCATGATGCCTCTTTGGAAATTTAAAAGATTTAAAGATTCTCGCTTCTCTGGTTCAGAGTTAACATGGCACACCCAAGCATTCAAAGTTGAACCATCAAATCTCCTCGTGACTTGAAATTGACCACCACCAAGGAAAGTAATAAGGAGTTGTATAAATTTTCGAAGAAATGTATAATCTAAAGAAGAAACTGGCAACACCACGGAAAGACGAATCAAGCAACACCAATCAACTTGATTTATGTCCTAATATATTCAACGACCATTTCATCTCATAACTAAAATTATTCACGCTTCATCCTGCCAAAGAGAAAGTAAAAAGACAGCGAAAGAAATATGAGATCAAATACTGATGATCGTCGTCAAATAGTTTTACGATTCAATTGATTCAAGGTCAAAATGCCAATTACCAGGTTGCTACCAAGCTGATTCATCTTGAGATTTTCAACATTGTACACAACCAATCCAGTTGAAAGGGTGACTTATTAAAGGAACATAGATCTGAATTTGTGTCTTACTGATTTTATTCAGTTCATTATTTTGCCCACCGAATTTCAATCCTTGATCCCGGAAGTACGATAATCATAATCATATAATCAGGGATAACAACACCAATAGCATTACACTTGAGATTATAAGTATATGATGCTCATCAATTTGCTCCTGGTAAATCTGATCTTTCAACAGGCCTGATTGTTGAACATTACATAACCAGTTGATATTACTTATCGCTCTTGTTTTTTATGAGTCTAACGTTCCTGGATATAAAACTCAATCGTTTTCATCTCAAGCTTATTTGCAAATTTAAGGCAAATCCTATCAAACACTGAACTTTATGTGCATACCTGCGTTAAGATTATCCAACTCGGTAGCAATTTGAATCAAGTTTTGGGTGGTTCATCATCAAAACCAACATGCATTAGCATTTGAAAAGCTGTGCACACTTACAAAATTACATAGACAAATCCATGACCAGTTTCTGCTGTAAATGTAAATGACTCCAATTGGCTTCATTTTGATAGTTTTCGTTTCCTTGACCTCAATCAATCAACGACCAGTGAAAAGGTTAGTTGAAATATATATATTTTTCAGTAGTTAATCGATCTGAAGATGAAAAAAAATGAATATACAGCCAAAACTGAAGCTTTGCGTAAAAAGCAAAAGATAAAAAAACATGAAACTTTTAAACTGCGTAAAATTTCAACTCGTAACTCTTATATGCATATTGATGCGATGTTTTCTCAGGAAATGAGTTCTTACGGTTTTAACTCTCAAACTTCAAATAGTTTACCCTAAAACTGTATTTTTCTTTATTTTTTAGCTCTTCATCATCATCATCTACCATCATTATCCTCATCAGTTCATCTCTATCTATACTTCTCTCAGCATGAGAAAAGAGATTCTTTTTGGCAAAAAAGATGCAAAAGTTAATTAAAACTACAGTGTTTCAAAAGCAAGAAAAAAATTGTCCAAGACATCCTTAGTTAATTCACAACTTCATGTAGCTCTTCCAGAGAAAATTATTCCTAACGTTATTCTCATCTTTTTGCTCTTCTTATCTCTATCTTTTTCATCCAGATCATCATCACAGCTTAATTCATTACATTAAGCTTCAGGAAAATGATAGATGAAACTATCCAAACTGGGCTTGATTTCATCTATCAATTGATATTAAAATGCTTGAAACTGTTGAACAGAGAGTTTAAAATTTGCTCCTAAATCATGTTAAGAGTAGCTTCAACAGTTGATTTCAACAGTTGATTTGAACCGTTTATAACAATTGATCATCACCTTTGTTTTCAAACTGTTTCCACCCACAGTGTGTTAACAGGCGATGTTGTGTTAGATTATAAAATAATACAAAACAAATGGATATCAAATGATATTAATTTAGAGAGGGAAACATGAAATTAAATTAAGATTTAATTGCAGAGAGAAGCAGTAATTGTTTTGAATGAAAGGAAAGGCAAAAAATTGTTATTTCCCAACCACAGCGAGGACACATAATTTAAGGACAAAAAGTTGCTAATAAATGCTAAATATTACATTTTTGTTTGTTATTATTTTCTCACTTATATCATGTTTTTGTCCTCTCCAACATTTGCAATGAGTGAACAACCTTCAATGCATTTCTTACCCTTGATTCCGATTTACCTGGTGGACTCCTATTAGCTTTGAACACACATGTAAACTGGTAAATTTGTAATAGTAGTTGATAATTATAATTTCAATGATAGTCTATAATGAGAGTAGCAAGGATGATGATGAACGAGTCCAGAGAAAGAGTAATTTTTGAGGAAAAAAAACACAATCTAAATGATTTTGATGTTAAACATTAACATTAAGGCCACAGGTAAACTCATTCATTATTTATCATCTATTTCAATTTAACATGATAATATATATAATTGTTTAGGTAAACAAAATTAGAATTAGTTGATCACGAAATGCTATCAATCAGGTTTTTAATATTGATTAAACAACTAACCAAACCATTAGTTAACACTGATCAATTTTGCAATGAAATTCACTTGAATTGTTGTAAAATTGCTTTTACAATTAAACTTGTCTTTACGCTCTAACATTGCAGTAATGGTAAATATTAATTAAAATTAACATTGAATTAACATTAACTTGATGACATGAAATTGTTTCTCACCTTTGTCTTTTTTTGTTCATCTCTTTCTAGGATTCAAGAGTTGTAATTTTTCTGGTGTTACCGGTGTTTACTGCGGATGTTTTAACCTGTGAATTTAATCCACTGACCTTGGCCTTACATTAATTACAATTGGAATGAACAGCTGAAACGATTTAATGACACCAGCTTTCCATTAATTATATCATTACCTTTTAATTTGGGTCACAACGGATTTTGTCCCAACCGTGTCAAGTCAATATCGTCTTGAATCAATCATCATCAACATTAAAATCGTCATCGTCCTCATTCAAGTCAACCTGAAGATTGTTTTTTACATCAACATGTATCAACATGTAGATTAAATTTACCTGGGATAATGGTAAATAACTGTAAACCACTTGAAAAATGGGGTTATCGTTATTGCAGCTTTTTTGGTGTGATTCAATTTTCTCAGAATTTTGATCGGAAAATTTTCCAAAATTTTGTTAATTTGAATTGAAAAGAAAAGAGGCAAAATTTATATTTATTTTTGTTGGTTAAAACAAAATAGTTCAACTCGGGCTGTTTTGCTTGAACCTCTTGACCTTAGTCCCTCTTTCCTCTTTCATCTGACTCTTTCTCTGATTCTTGATGATTCTGTTGATTAGACCTGAGGCAAGTTTACAGTCTCATCAATCTAAACCAGTTAAATTAACATATTGCTAAATTAATCGCTTTTAATTATCTTGAAGACAACAGCAAAATGCAGCAACCAGAAAAAGGAGAACAAGTAAAGTTTAAATCATTAATTGAGGAGGTTGGACATTCGTTGATCAACAACAAATGCAAATTAGCAATTTACAAATAATCAATATATAACATTTACAATAATCAATCTCATTGCTGTTGATTTAAGGTTTTAAGCGATTAACTGTTAATATTCATTGAACCCCTTTAGACTCAAAATTTTACCAAAATTTTGATAATTTTATGTCAACACATTGAAATAATTGAATCCAATTGATTTGAATTAACTGGCAAGACTTGACTTTTTTTGCTGTCTTGTTTCATTGTATTCAATCCCAAAAAAATTTGCTCAAAAAAGCTGTTTCACCCAACTTTTACCAGCAACTCTAATCCACTTTAATTTCAATGATGATTTCCTTGACAATTTTCATGGTGATCATGATTATGATGATGATATTTCCTCTGTTTCCATAGTTTTCCTTTATCTTCCAATTATCCTTCTTTTATCCAAATAGTTATGATTATAAAAATGTTACCATTTCACTGTTTACTTGGAACCACATTTGAGTCGTAAGAATCAAATGGCTTCCTTCCTTGTTTAGTTGATTTAGCCTTTTTCAAGCTTAAATCTCCTATGTGTATCTATTTAATTACAATGATATAGATTGATGATGTTTACTTGTTTAAATCTTACCATTGAAATCAAATTGTGTAAGGTTAAACAACTTTGACCCTGTCAATTTTAGGTCAATGGTAGCCACCGATTCCAACCTTTCCGCACTTTCTTTGTTTTATTGTCATAACTGTATTGTTTAAACACTTAATGTTGATTAATACATTGTAATTGGTCCCTAAATTGTGTTAGAAATCAAATTCAAATGAGTTTGGACTGTTTCTATCCTCTATCCTGTAACCTCTAAATCAGTGGCAATTTATATCTCATATCCAAGCTGACTTGTGTTGATGACAGATTGACTTTTATTGACTGGTTGACTATTAATCAAAATAACTGGTTAATTTTGTTTTACAATCCCTAACGATTAACTCAGGTTTGAGGTCAATTGTTATAAAACTATTAAAAAAACATCCAACTGATTAAGTATTAATCAGTAAAAATGGCAACTTGATTTTAGGTCATTGGTGTTTCAATGGTTTTTTACGTTGCATTTGAAGCTCAAGTCTAAATGTTGCAAGTGAAATAAATCAAGGCCTATTAAGACTTTGGAACCATTGGATAATCAATTGACGGTGATGATGATTACGATGATTTACAGTTGTTGATATTGATACGTATTTTGATTGTCGACACAAAAATCAAATAATGAAATCCTGTGTAACTTGCAAACGGATTTAAGGTTATCATTTCAATCTATTTAGTTGTAATTGCAAGTTTGATTGTTATTGTAACTAAAAATACTGTTTTTGTTTCTCTATTGATAACCGATTGTCAATCGTTTTGTTATTAGTTAGTGATTAAATCAAACGCCTTCTTGATCTTTGCCCATTCACAATCATAAAAAGTGAAAGCAACATGAAAATGTGAGTGAATCCCATTTGTATGATTTCAATCAAATAATCACTGTTATTGTCTTGATTCACAGTTTTATTTATAACATGAATTTGATTTTATATTAATCATTGCAAGTCTAATCAAGGTTATGACCGGTCATCATTTAATCACAATTTATATAAATCTTGATTCCTCTTGTTTTCAATGATAAAGTAAAGGTTATTTGTTGTTTATTTTGATGAAAGAAACTAAATTGATCACTTTTAAGGACTCAATGTGCATAATATCAAGTTCAATTACAATTAATGAACAAATAATTGGGCAAAAAATATTATAAAATTGAGAGCAATCAAATGTTTGTAATCAAGTTTTACTTGAAGAAAAATTAATTTGATTAAAACTATTCTCAATGAAATGGACCTTGATTATGAAGGTAAACCAGGAAATGAAATGTTAACCAATCTAAATCATGGTTAATCACTATTAATCAGTTAATTTACTAAACCTGCTAAAAGTTGATTCTCTGATTGTCTGTTGAATTACAATGATGTTATTGTCTTATTGAGTCTTTATCATTGGACTTATTGTATAATCACAATGGAGTTGTTCAACTCATCTTTTTGCTTTACATTTCATTTGATATTGAAATTACTGTTATTTAATTAGATCCTTAAAGTTAATTGATTTTAAATATTTATTCATTTACTTGTTGATTCTGTGTTTGCAGGTTATTTTAATGTTAAATTGTGATAAACATCATTCAAGTAGCATTGATATTTTGTTTACTGAAACTGCACTTTTTTGCCTGAAAGCAGCTTGTGTTAACCTGTAAAAGTTTATATACTTTTTGTTTCTCCGATTAATCACGTTCATCATCATGATCGTTATTAACTCTATCATTATCATCTCAAGTCAATCAAGTTATCACAAGTAATTTACTGTATTTACCGGTTTAACTTGTTAATTTGAATGATTGTAAGTAAAAGGATAAGAAACTGCAAAATGAAGTTATTAGTTGAATGTTAACTCAAATTAACTGTTAGCTCTAATATTTTTAAATATTCAGGATAAAGCGTTTCATTATCATTCCTGTTCAATCAATAATTGATTTATAATTTGATTAAACAGCTGATTAAATATCTGATTATGGAAACTGAACATTTTTTTGGATAAACTATTGTTGAAGTGTTATTACCTTTGTTAAATGGTCAGGTTTATGGGCAAGTTACAAGATAGAGTAGAGATTGATTGTGTTGATTAAAGAGGCCATGTTGATCATGTATCAAGATATTAACTGAACATGAAGGTAAAAGGTAAACAGAGGAAAGCTCAACTGTTGGTTGCCTCACAGTTTAATCCATGTTGATTAAACGTTGATCAAATAGTCATTTTATATTCAACGTTTAAAGTGAAAGGGAAAAAGGCAGGAAAATAAGAAGCAGAATAAGTATAAGATTAACTCAACTTTCTCTTCTTTCTTCTTCTCTCTTCTCTATTCTCTGTCTATCTCTCTACTTAATAATCAACAGAATGGTAATTAAGTAATTAATCCTAATTAATCAAGTGTTTATACCACACACTGGTTGTAGTGAACCAACAATCCCAAGTTAACAACAACAGCAAAAAAAGGTTAGCTTTTTGTGTTGTTTCCATTCTTTTACAATGTTTCAGGCCTTCTTCAATGATTAGCGCCTGAAGAGAGGAATCATTGTGATTGATTTTATACAACTTTAGATTATCATCTTTCTATCATCATCATCATCATCATCATCAACATCTTCTCAGCTCTCATCTGCTTCATCGTCTTTTTTGTAATTCATTTTGCTGCAACATTCAACTGCTTTTCTCCCCTTTTATGTTTTCCCTCCTTTTCTCTCTTCTCTTCTCTTTCTGTTCACTTCTGTCTTCTTGAGTCTTTTCTCTCTCTCTTTCCATTTCTCTGTCTCTATCTCTGTCTTTGACTCTGTCTCTCTTTTTAGCTTTCAAACCACTTTGAAGCTAATAGCTAATCTAGTTTAAGATACTCTTCAATGTATGTTGATCAACGGTGAAGATCAACACAACACTCACTCAAAACATACACATTCACCATAACGCCAAAGAAAGAGAGAGTGGATCTTTTTATATTAATTTCGTTACTCTATTTAATCAAGTCATTTAATAATTAAGTTAATTTTCAACGAGCAAGACACACACTTGTATTGTTTCACTTTTTTTTGCTTCTTCTGTTTTGTTGTAATATAATTTTTTTTATGTGTTTCTCTTCACCTTTCATCACAGGCTCACTCATCATTTTCAGCATTCTCATCAACAACAACACAAACTGCATCATTACCATCTCCTCATCTGGAGTCAATGTTAACCACAATCAAACCTGTTACCATTCACTTTATTCCCCTTAATTGTTTTAAGGTAAGTTTATTAACTTGTTTTGTTTATCATTTTATTACTAGTAATTTTGTGTTCGTTCCGTTGCTTTTTTGTACCAACTTTTCGTCTATTTTTCTTAAACTTATTTATTTGTTTACTTGCTTGTTCTAATTTGTTGTAACTATTTTAGTTTCTTTTGAACTCAAAAGCTCGCCCTTACTAGATTAATTTCAATTGAAATAAGACTCCAAGGTGAACTTGGTTTTCTCTTTTCTCTTTCCCTTTTCTGCTTTTCTTCTCTATTTTGTATTTAGTCACTGAAATTTTCACTTTTACTTTCTGTTCTTGATTACCAGTTATTGTAACTTTCGTTGTACATATCTTGGAATAATTGTTTTTATCTTCAGTATAAATTGTCATTGTCCTATTACTTTTAATTACTATTAATGTATCCTTATCTTGTCTTCCCTTCTCTTCACAGATTTTTCTCTATCTTCGAGCTCATCTATGGCTTAGATAAAAGTTGTGCCTTTGTCAAACAATCCGGATACAAGTTATCGTGAAAAAATAAATTTACTACACTGCCTGTTACACTTATTACTACCTCAATTCACTGGACTTTTATCATTGGAATATTGTTGACTTACATTGCCTATTACATCATTTCTTATTTATTTGTTTTGTTGTGTTGAAAGCAACGGAATCCGGGAAATTACTGCTAATTGAGATTAAATATGCGTCAAATTGAAGAAGAAGATGATACTCCAGCCACATGTCCTGAAGAATCCCATTTAACTACATTGAATGTTAGTTGCCGCGGGGTAGCTGGTCGGGGAGATGGTATCAGTGGTATCCCTGGGGAGAACGGAATACCTGGTGGTATTGGAAATTTAGAATGTAGTAATCATAACATAATTCTGAAAGGGAAACCAAATCAAAATACAACTTCATCGACAACAATCAACACAAGTGGAACCGTTTCAAATGTTACTACTACTTCAACCAACATGAGAAAAACTAAACGATCGCCCAATGAGAGGCGCTTTAAGTGTGATCAATGTGACAGAATGTTTTTCACTCGTAAAGACGTAAAACGACACTTGGTTGTCCATACTGGAGTTCGCAATTATGCTTGTCCTTTTTGTCAACAACGATTTGGTCGAAAAGATCATCTTGTCCGTCATGCCAAGAAAAGTCACCAAAAAGATACAAGAGCCTCTGCATCAACAAACAATGTGGCAGTTTCTTCACCCAATGTCGGTGCCACAACCTCGCCAATAAGCCATCATCATCGACGTCTTACTTTTTCTCACAACCCTGTTCACCATGGCTTACCTGGTTCACAAACACTTAACCATCACCATCCAGGACGTATGATTGTGAATGTAAATGGTAACCTCCACAACAATAACAATGGCAGCGGTAATAGTGCAAGTCTCTCGCCATGCAATTATTCGTCGTCTAATTTAGGCCCAGTTATGGAGCAATCATCTCCCATAATGCTTTTAGGGTCTGGTCCCGGTGGTAATATTAATGGAACCACCGGAGGTAACAATAATAATGTTTCTTCTTCACTCACCAATTGTTCAACTAATGGTTCTGTTGGTGTATGTGCTACGGGTAATGGAAACGGTATTATTAACAACAACCATCATGATCTTTGTTATCCTACAAATGCCAATCATCATAACGGATCAATGGCCAGTCCAATAAACGATGGTCACTTTGGAGGACCTACAACCATGGGACATCATTCATCTCTTTGTGAGACACCTCTATTCAACAGTGGCAGTCATTATTTTAGTTTAGGAGCTACTCCAACTCCATTTATGAATCCATCTTATATAACTAATTGTTTCGGCCATATAACAGTCAATCCTAGTAACACTGGAAGCCAAGGGTTAACCAGTGTATCCACAATGTGCTCTGGTGATCAAACAAGTCCAGTGAGCTGTACCAATGCACTATCTCATCTTGATGTTAATTTAACTAACCATTTACATCAATTCAGCCAAGTTTTCCATTGAAAAAAAAATTGATCGCCTATCAACTCTCCCTGTTAAATTTACCTCAACTTTTATTATATATTTCTTCACCTCTTTCTACTTTCCCATAACTTGTCTTCGCTCTAGATCATTCAAAGGCATTCAAAGCTCCACAAAACAACAACCAAAATTGTGCAAATGTTACTCCCACTGTGACAAGTTACCTTCTACCTCATGACTGTTATATGGCACTTTTTCTCTATTCGACATTATTACCACGTCTATGACTGCTGACTCAACATTCATCATTCAATCATTTCAAACAACTATTTACCTTGAAATAACGCATTGAGTAGCGCGCCTACTCATTAATCGCCACCAATTTCAACTATTGATTTTGAAGCAAGTAAAAAATCTACCTCATTTTGACAAATATTTCGAGACATGTGCCATCTCAAGCAACAAACTAAACAACTACCATGGTTATATCACCTTAATTGACGCCATTTTATTCAAGACTCAACTTCGTTTAAAGCCAAATTTGAACGAACAAAAAGTTTAATTCTGGTGATAACAAACCCAACGAAACAACAAGCAAAGTATATCTTACCTTCAAGACCTCAAACTTTACTTGTACCTGTACTTTTAACTACCTCAAAGAAAAATGTACCTCAAATTTTTTATATCAAGTTCGTCCTTTTCAACCAAAATGATTATCTTCGGGTATCAAAATAACTAAACTACCTCATTAGTTTGCCTTCTTTTTAATTTCAACTAACGATTGAACATCGAAACCAAGAAATGAGACAACATGGAAAAGGAAAAAGAAGAGGAAGATTGGAAAAAGAAAAGACAAAGAAAATTTTCATTATTGCTAATGGTCAATAAATTGGAAAACAAATGGATTTAAAATCAGCTAATTTTTATAATCTTGTACAGCAATTGTAGAAGAAATGTTAAAAGCCAACCAAGGAATCCAGATTATATTGATTGATTCAATTCTTTGTTCGGAACCAGATCCCACTTTCTCGTTTTTTGAGCAACAATCGTTACTGATTTTACACGCTCATCTATTTTTTCAAGCGAAAAAAACGTCAAATTTCTTTCTTTTTTTTCTTATTTTTGCCAATATTAACCCTTTAATCAACATGATTTCACTGTTGATGAATCAAATTTCCCCTCCATAATTTTTTTGTTTTTTGTTTAAATTGTAAGCAAACTTACAATTGTTCATGTAAATCTTTCAAAAACAACCTCTTAATTACCTCAACATTTTAAGATGTAAAGATTTGTTTCAAAGCATTTTGAGTGAACCTTTGATTTTTTTGATTTTTAAAACTATTTTATGCCTTACCTAATTTTGCTCAACAAATTGTTAAAATGACTGAAGAAGTTTAATATTAGGCCAATTATTTTCCAGAGTATCCATTTTAATTGCTCAAAATGCTTCAAACATTTCTATTTCTCTTTTCTCTTTTTTTTTCTTCTTTTATCTCAAATCGTTCTGGTGATGCTGAACCTCACAGTGATCCAATCAGTAAATCACAAGGAACCTGTAACAAGTCATACATTTATCGACCATTTCTACCTCAACTAGAAGTGAATAATTAATATCAATGGTAAAATTAATTGCCATTAAAGCCATCAAAATTGATACAAGCAAGCCTTAACAACACTCAAAACCAATATCACCTCAAGTGCCGTAAATTGTTTGCTCCAATTGAAAGAAGAAAAAAGACCAACAAGTCTAATGGGACACAAACCTTCAATAATGTTACAAAGTAATCAGAAGTTGATTGAGAAAAAAGGATGTTCGTATTTTGTTAATTTAATTGTTTTATTTTAAATCGTGCAACCAACAATCCAAATTGTTTCTCCGTTTTACCCAGCAATCGAAAAGCCTTTTTTCTCCGTTAATCTCTGTAATTATTTTCACCTTTACTCACCTTTCTTGTTCTTAACTGTTTACCTAATTTTTTGATTGTATGAAAAATCTTAAAACAATACATCTTAAAAATCAATTATATATTATACACACACACACAAACAAACCAGATAACTCAACAAGACACAACCATGACTACCTCAATATCAACTAAATTGTAATTAAGTGTCTAAATATGATTTTTAAATTATCTTTGTGTTACCCTCCGAAGTTATCTTGAAAAGGTCTTTTCTCCTTTTAGTCTTTTAATCTCAATGTATCTTTTCCTTATCCATCTACCTCAAATTTGTCTTATGCTTGCCATAATTTTATGTTATGTTCAACTCTGCCAACAGTTAAACCGGTGTAATGATTATTATTAATATTATTATTGCTATTATAATTAAATATTATTGTAACTAATATACTTTAACTGTTCAATTATTTGTAATCTTTGCTCTCCGATTGCGTCCACAGAATAAGAACCACTGAGATTCTGTACCAAACTGAATGGATCAGGATTTCAATCCATTTGAATTTACAAGCATTGGTTTACTCTGTAAATTATTGAAACAGTTGTCGGGCAATTTTATCAGTCTTGCTTTAAATCAAAATAATTGAGTTATGTTTAGGGTTAATTTTTGAATATTGCTATTTTGGAAATATAAATCAAATCCGAGTCGAAATAATGTAATTCATTGATATTAGTTGTTATTATATTTTTAATTTGGATTAATAAGTAAGTGATTTAAACAACAATTAACCGAACAAAGAGAGTAAAACATTTGCAAGGTGTTGGCATTTATTAATAACAATCAGTTAACGAGACAGTTAGTCCCAGTTGTAGTGTCAATTTTACCAAGAAATTTGTTGTTCAATTCAATCAAATTTAAAACTTTAGATGATTTCTCGGCAATCAGTGGCCAATCAATTGGACCTTGTCGAGTTGGTTTTCTGTGAAAAGGAGAAAAATATTGAGTCGCCATAATCGTCTACAAAATCTAGATATTTTGAGCAATACTTACCCTGACCATGCAAATTCACCCCAAATTCTCATCATGTGGATGCTCAATTCGATGTCATCGGCATCATAATGTTGAGGCTCACGAAGAGGTGCTCCAAAAATGAACGGAATATCATCACTATGGCAAACCTTATCAACGGCTCTGCCACACGCTGGATTATCATTGTATTCTTTCATTGGTGCCTGAGTGTGAATATAAGCATAAGTTCCAGTTGCTGATGTTGAAGCTTTGAGGTGTGCAAACTTGTAAGTGCCACAAACAAGGCCATTTCCTTCATCTCTCTCAGCACCAGCCAATAAATTAACATCATTGAATTTGCGGCTTTTGACTGCTTCTTCTGGTTCCATTGGTATGAAATCATCGCCAAAAGTTGGGCTTAAAATAGTACTTGGTGAGCTATCAATCAGATCTCGCCAGTGAACTGATTTCAAACAAGCCAATGGATCGACAACATTAGTACAATTGCAAGACTCGATGAAATCTTCAACGATGTTTGTTCGATTTTGTTCTGGAATGTAATCACTCATAAACCTTCCTGACTCCATGATGGCTCCTTTAAATAAACCTCTAGAATGAGGAGACAAGATTTGATAAGCCACAGACATTGAACCTGCTGATTGACCAAAGATCGTAACTTTATTGGGATCACCACCAAAAAGATGGATATTCTGGTTGACCCATTGTAGAGCTAAATTTTGATCCCAAAGACCAAGATTAGCTGGAAGTGAAGGAATCAGTTCACCAGGATTCAAGAAACCAAAAACTCCAAGTCGATAGTTGAATGTCACTAAAACAACATCTTCAACTATTACCAATGGTATTCCTCTATAGGAATCAGGATCATTACCACTTCCAACCATGAACGCTCCACCATGAATCCACACAAGTACTGGCTTAAGTTGTTTATGACGATTATCAAATGTCTCTTTGTTCACATAAACATTCATATAAAGGCAATCTTCATCTTGGTCATTCGTTAACCTGTAAAATACATATTTAATCACAAGATCATTAACCTTTTTCGGACGCTTCTCATTGTTATCTTTTGACTTACAATGGATTCTGAGGACAGGCTTTTCCATATGAAACTGTATCTTTGATTCCTTCCCATGATTTTGGCTCAGTTGCTCTGAGGTAACGACGTGATCCAACCGGCGGAGTTGCAAAAGGGATTCCTTTGTATTCATAAGCAGCTCGACCTCGCCAATATTCAACAGCACCTCTTATCTTACCAAATGGTAACTCAACGATCTCAGTGTAGTCAACACATGAGACGAGACTGAATGCAAAGAAACAAATCAACAAAGACAACTTCATCCTTAGCTTGAGTCAATTGGATTGAACTGTAAACATCAAAAATGTAAAAAATGTAAAAAGCATACTTTTATTAATAGATTGAAAGTTTGATACAAAGTGGGATATATTAAGTAATATTAAGTGATTAAGAGTACCGTTTCAATGAAAGTAGATAATTCAATCGATAACTTCATTGTATCGTCTGATATTGACATGGTATTTGGAAGATAATTTTTCTAGATAGTTTAGGGAATCTAAGCCTGAGTATGATAATATGGTATTATTATGTGTATATCTTTTATGATAATAAACTTAAAAATCTAGTGTTGTTAAGCTTTTTTGTGTCTTCAATCTTACTCTTTACTCGTAAGACAGTTTGACATAAACCCCAATTTACCAATCTTTTGAGACATTTGCCATCTCAAGCAACAAACTAAACAACTACCATGATTATAAATTACAAATTATTTATTACCTTAATTGATCCCACTTTCTCGTTTTTTGAGCAACAATCTTTACTGATTTTACACACTCATCTATTTTTTCAAATTCAAAAATTTCTTTTTTTCCTGATTTTAGCATCAGTTGCTTTTTGAATTACTAAAACAGTTTTCGAGCAATTTTATCAGTCTTGCTAAATCAATATAATTGAATTATATTCAATTTGAATATTGAATATTGCTATTTTGGGAATATGAATCAAATCCGAGTAAAATAATCAAATTCACAGATAATTAGTTAATATATTTTTAATCTGTACTAATTATGGATTAAGAAAGTAAAACATAAAATAAAGAGTAAAGCATTTAACAATCAGTTGATGAAACAATTAGTCCCAGTTTTAGTGTCAATTTTACCAAAAAATTTGTTATTCAATTCGATGAGATTCAAAACTTTAGATGATTTTTCAGCAAAAAGTGGCCAATCGATTGGACCTTGTCGAGCTGGTTTCCTGCAAGAATGAAAAAAATATTAAGTTGCCATAATCGTCTACGATTTCAGATTGGTTTTATTAGATACTTACCCTGACCGTGCAAATTCACCCCAAATTTTCATCATCTGAATGCTCAATTCGATGTCATCTGAATCATAATTTTGAGGCTCGCGAAGAGGAGCTCCAAAAATGAACGGGATCTCATCATTATGGCAAACTTTATCAACTGATCTGCCGCAAGATGGATTATCAAAGAGCCCTTTCATTGGGGCTTGAGTATGAATACAAGCATAAGTCCCAGTTGCTGATGTTGAAGCTTTGAGGTGTGCAAACTTGTAAGTGCCACAGACGAGACCATTTCCTTCATCTCTCTCAGCACCAGCCAATAAATTTACATCATTGAATTTGCGGCTTTTGACTGCTTCTTCTGGTTCCATTGGTATGAAATCATCACCAAAAGTTGGGCTTATAAAGGTGCTTGGTGAGTTATCAACTAGATCTCTCCAGGGGATTGATTTCAAACAAGTCAATGGATCGACAACATTAGTACAGTTTAAAGACTCGATGAAATCTTCAAGGGTCTTAGTTCGATTTTGTTCTTGAATGAAACCACTCATGATTCCTCCTGACTCCATGATGGCTCCTCTAAATAAACCTCTAGATTGAGGAGACAAGATTTGATAACCCACAGACGCCGATCCTGCTGATTGACCAAAGATCGTAACTTTATTGGGATCACCACCAAAAAGATGAATGTTCTGGCTAACCCATTGTAGAGCTAAATTTTGATCCCAAAGACCAAGATTATCTGGAAATGAAGGAATGAGTTTACCAGGATTCAAGAAACCCAAAACTCCAAGTCGATAGTTGAATGTTACTAAAACAACATCTTCAATGATTACCAATGGTATTCCTCGATAGGCATCTGGTTTATTACCACTTCCAGCCGCGAAACCTCCACCATGTATCCACACAAGTACTGGCTTAAGTTGTTTATCACGATTGTCAAATGTCTCTTTGTTCAAATAAACATTCATATAAAGGCAATCTTCATCTTGATCTTCTTCTTCTGTTATCCTGAAAAATAATTATTTTATTATGAGATAGATTATCTCATTCGGTTCAATTTCATCGTTAACTTTTAACTTACGATGCTTTTTGAGGACAGGCTTTTCCACATGAGACAAGACTGAATGCAAAGAAACAAATTAACAAAGACAACTTCATCTTTAGTTGGAGTGGAATGAGAGAACTGTTCAACGAAGAGAAATCCATGTAAATTATAAATATTTATTTCCGAAACTCTCTCTTTATATAGTGAATCCAAATCTGATTAAAATGCTTGCTATAATCCAATAGCAAAATTACTAATTAGAACCTATTTTTTAAATAGCAATTCAATAGAAAAGTTAGTTTAAGTGCTAGGTTAAAAGTCTAGTACAAGTGAGATTCGTTAGCTGATTAAATGTTCGGCACAAAGTGGGAATGTTGAGCGATTAAAGCATTTCTTACCGTTCCAGGAATTAGATTATTCAATCGATGAACTCATGATCAATCAAAATTTAACTTCATTGTCCTGTTTGTTCAGAACTGCAATTTGAAAGATTATTTTCCAGAGTTTAGAGAATCTAACAATCTATCTTGTAAGTACAATTTATACATCTATACAGTAGACAATACATAAAGTCAAAATATCAAATTTTTGTGTAAAAATTGTAACTAAACGGCAAGGATTCTAAGGAAAATTTTTGCCTAAACTGAAAGCTACGATTGAGCTACATGCCCGAAAAATAGTCAGAGGTTAATCAGAATGCAGGTGACTGAGAAATTCACGTTTAAACAGGGTCGGGGGAAAAATGCAGAATCCGTATTTTGTAGCATTTGATTTGGAGAAAAACTTTTTGGTTATTTAATTTGGTGGTTTATTGTTAGACTAGGATTATATGAAAAACTGTCTTTCAAGTAAAGATTCAGGTGAAAAATCTGGTACCTCAACTGTACAGAAAGAGACTAAACGACAAAATTTGAAATCAATTTCATCAATAATTGTCCACCAGACAAAATTTTCAATTCAGAATTTGAGTCTTTAAATATGAAAATGAGCACAGCAAAAATAAACTTTCGATCAGTCATGATCGAAGGATCTACTGTTAATTTAATGCTAATAAATTGAAAAATCTAGAGTTGTTAGGCTTTCGTGTCTTCAATCTTACTCTGCACTCGAAAGACAAAAGCATGGAAATCTTCGGATATCGAAATAACCAAACTACCTCATTAGTTTGCCTTCTTTAATTTTTTAAGAGTTAACCAAGGAATCCAGATTATCTGATGGATGAAGCGATGAACTGTGTAATAAAATTGTGAGATATTTTCAGAGCATCTATTTAGGTTAAAAGTTGAGATTTGAAATGAGTTTCATATTTCAATGTTCATATCGTACAAACGTTTAATCTAATAATGCGAAAGAAAGATTTATTTGTGTATTTAATCATTTTATCATTCATGTAGTAATCTCGTTGTTAATTACTACAACAATGATTGTCTGATGAGTTGCCTGTTCCGAATTATCTTTACAGGTAAATGTAATCTGATGGAAAAACTAAACTGTTTATTTTTCTTGTTACTTTTACACTGTTTTTTGAGTGAATCTCCAATTTTGTCTGATTTTTACAGTTTTGCTTGATAATTTAATTGTGTGCTTAATGGACAAATCGTGAATAAATTTTTCCAAAAATGTCTGAATCTCAACAAGTAAGTCATATTAAAAATTTAGTTGCTGGTGGTTTCGGTGGAGTCTGTTTGGTTTTTGCTGGTTATCCTCCTGATACCATTAAAGTGAGACTTCAGACTATGCCGAAACCAGCTCCAGGCCAATCTCCAATGTACAAAGGAACATTTGATTGTGCAAAACAAATTGTGACTAAAGAAGGTTTCACTGGTCTCTATCGTGGTATGCTCGCTCCACTGGTTATCTCTGCTCCGACATTTTCGCTCTGTTTCTTTGGTTTCGGAGTCGGTAAAAAGTTACAACAATCGCATCCTAATGAAGAGTTAACATTACCACAACTATTTAATGCCGGAATGTTGTCGGGTGTTTTTACCACTGGAATATTAGCTCCAGGTATGACCATTAACCTAACAATCATCACTATTGTAATATTTATTATAAATCTGTTCACAGGAGAAAGGATAAAATGTTTATTACAAGTTCAAAGGGCTAATCCAAATGCAGTTCAACAATTTAAAGGACCAGTTGATTGTGCCAAAGCACTTTATCGTCAAGGAGGTATTAGGAGCATTTATAAAGGAACAGCAGCTACATTATTGAGAGACGTACCTGGTAACGGTACCTATTTTATGAGTTATGAGTGGATTCAACGCGTGTTAACACCTGAAGGTAAATCTAGAAGTGATTTAAGTGCCGGTCGTACGATTATTGCCGGTGGAATGGCTGGTGTTTTCAATTGGATTGTTGCGATTCCAGCTGATGTTCTCAAATCACGCCTGCAGACAGCTCCAGAAGGTACTTATCCTAATGGTATCAGGGATGTTTTCATCAAATTAATAAGAGAAGAAGGGGTTAAAACTCTTTACCGAGGTGCCACTCCAGTTTTCCTTCGAGCTTTCTCCGCAAACGCTGCATGTTTCCTTGGTTATGAATTTGCAATGAAATTTCTCCATTGGTTAGCTCCCGATCTATAATAAACCATCCAACCTGCAGGAAATATTTAAGTGTCAATAGAACTATCTTGTTAGTTTAGAGCATTTATTTCTATTAAAGGTTGGAGTTTGATATTCAACTGATGAATGAAAAATATCGTATGATGTCAAGGTGGGCAAACTTGTAAGTATAGATGAGATCATTTAATTCATCTCTCTCAGCACCAACCAAAAAATTAACATCATTGAATTTACGAATATTAAATGCTACTTCCAGCTAAATTGGTAGGAAATCATCCCCAAAATCCCCAGGTCATCTTCAATTATTATAAAACGATCATGACAGCAGCCATGATACAACAAATCGATTTACTCTGTAAATTGTTAAAACAGTTAACGGGCAAATTTTTTCAGTCTTTTACCAAGTCAAGCTTTGCATCAAAAATACTTGAATTGTACTTAAGCGTAAATTGTTATTATATTTTGAAAGTTTTACAGAATCAAATCCGAGACGAAATAATCTAATTCAATCGAGATGAATAAATGTTATTTTAGGTTTAATCTATGATTAATAAGTAAGTTTATTTCAACAGCAATTGATATAAAGGTAAACTCTTATTGCAGCTAACAATTGTAAGTCATTTGAACGACACTAATCAGTTAGCAAGACAGTTAGTCCCAGTTGTAGTGTCAATTTTACCAAGGAATTTATTATTCAATTCAATCAAATTCAAAACTTTGGATGATTTCTCGGCAATCAGTGGCCAATCAATTGGACCTTGTCGAGTTGGTTTTCTGTGAAAAGGAAAAAATATTGAGTTGCCATGAATGTCTACAAAATCTAGATATTTTGAGCGATACTCACCCTGACCGTGCAAATTCACCCCAAATTCTCATCATGTGGATGCTCAATTCGATGTCATCTGCATCATAATTTTGAGGCTCACGAAGAGGTGCTCCAAAAATGAACGGAATATCGTCACCATGACAAACCTTATCGAAGGCTCTGCCGCATGTTGGTAGATAACTTAAGCCTTTCAATGGAGCTTGAGTATGCATATAAGCATAAGTACCAGTTGCTGAAGTTGAAGCTTTAAGATACGCAAACTTGTAAGTGGCACAGATAAGTCCATTTAATTCATCTCTCTCAGCACCAACCAACAAATTAACATCATTGAATTTACGACGATTAAATGCTACTTCTGGCTCCATTGGTAGAAAATCATCACCAAAAATTGGGACGTAAAGGGTGTTTGGTGCGTTTTTAACAAGATTTCGCCAGGGTACTGATTTTAAACAAGCCAATGGGTCATCAACATTAGTACAATTGAAAGACTTTATAAAATCTTCAGTAATCCTGGTTCGATCTTCCTTTGAAATGTAATCACTAAAGATTCCTGCTGATTCCATGATGGCTCCTCTAAATAAACCTCTCGATTGAGGAGACAAGATTTGATGAGCCACAGACGCCGATCCTGCTGATTGACCAAAGATTGTAACTTTATTTGGATCACCACCAAAAAGATGGATATTCTGATTAACCCAATGAAGAGCTAAATTTTGATCCCAAAGACCAAGATTAGTTGGAAGTGAGGGAATCAGTTTACCAGGATTGAAAAAACCTAAAACCCCAAGTCGATAGTTGAATGTTACTAATACAACATCTTCAACTATTACCAATGGTATTCCTCGATAGGCATCACGTTCATTACCACTTCCAGATATGAAACCGCCACCATGAATCCATACTAGTACTGGTTTAAGTTGTTTATCACGATTGTCAAATGTCTCTTTGTTGACATAAATATTCATATAAAGGCAATCTTCATCTTGGTCTTCGTCCTTTGCCCTGTAAAAATACATAGTTATACCTTATTTTGAGTACCCTTGTGAATTAGAGTAAATTGGTTCAAAGAAAGACATTTCATGTGTATAACTTTATTTTCGATGCTGTTCTATCATGAGTTAACCTCTTTCAATCACTTCTCATTGTTAACTTGTAACTTACCATTCATTTTGAGGGCATGATTTCCCATATGAAACTGTATCTTTGATTCCTTCCCATGATTTTGGCTCAGTTGCTCTGAGGTAACGACGTGATCCAACTGGCGGAGTTGCAAAAGGGATTCCTTTGTATTCATAAGCAGCTCGACCTCGCCAATATTCAACAGCACCTCTTATCTTACCAAATGGTAACTCAACGATCTCAGTGTATTCAACACATGAGACAAGACTGAATGCAAAGAAACAAATTAACAAAGACAACTTCATCTTTAGCTGGAGTGAAATGATTGAACTGTTCAGCGAAGAGAAATAGATGTAAATTATAAATATTCATTGATTTGATTCTCCATTTATATTAAAACACAAATTTTGATAGAAGTATCCAATAATTTATATCATAATTCCAAGAAATTGGTTTATTACAAGATTAGAAGTCTGATCCAAAGGTGGGAATGTTAATGGTTTAATATGATATCTACTGCTACAAGGAAAGTAGATTATTCAATCGATAGCCTCATGATCAATCAAAATCTAACTTCATTGTCTCTTTTAATAATTAGCTGTAATTTGTAAGATAACTGTTGCTTTTCTGAATAATTTGAATTCACTGTTCATAAATATTATGAAAGGAAGATTATGATAAAATTCATAGTTTTTCTCAGAAGCAATGAAATAATCTCAAGCTAAGTTTTGGCATGAAATAACTCCTACAATCAAAAAATGTCGTTATATTATTACGTGAAAACTTAATGCGATGCTGTATTAATCCTTTTTGTGTTGATCTATGTGATTTGATTCAATCGACACTGAATCATATAGCACGCACCATATTGTTTGAATACTTTCATTATGTTTTGGAAGTTTTACAAAATCAAATCCGAGTCGAAAAGTAATTCAATCGAGATAAATAAATTTTAGAACATTTTATTTTTAATCTGTGATTATTGAGTAAGTTAATTTTAACAGCACTGATAAAAAGGTAAACTCTGATTGCAGCCATGTCATTTGCCCGACTCTATTCAGTTAGCAAGACAGTTAGTCCCAGTTATAGTGTCAATTTTACCAAGGAATTTGTTGTTCAATTCGAGCAGATTTACAACTTTGGATGATTTCTCAGCAATTAGTGGCCAATCGATTGGACCTTGTCGAGTTGGTTTTCTGTGAAAAGGAAAAAATAATGAGTTGCCATGAATGTCTACAAAATCTAGATATTTTGTTCAATACTTACCCTGATCGTGCAAATTCACCCCAAATTTTCATCATCTGAACGCTCAGTTCGATGTCATCTGCATCATAATTTTGAGGTTCACGTAGAGGGGCTCCAAAAATGAATGGAATCTCATCACAATGGCAAACCTTATCAACTGATCTGCCACAAGATGGAATATCATTGATTCCTTTCATTGGAGCTTGAGTATGAATATAAGCATAAGTTCCAGATGCTGATGTTGAAGCTTTGAGGTGAGCAAACTCGTAAGTGCCGCAGACGAGACCATTTCCTTCATCTCTCTCAGCACCAGCCAATAAATTAACATCATTGAATTTACGGCTTTTAATTGCTACTTCTGGTTCCATTGGTATGAAATCATCACCAAAAGTTGGGGTTAAGATGGTTCTTGGTGTGTTATTAACAAGATCTTTCCAGGGAATTGATTTCAAACAGTTCAATCGATCGGCAACATTAGTACAATTAAAAGATTCGATAAAATCTTCAATCATCCTGGTTCGATTTTCTTCTGGCACGAAGCCACTCATGATTCCTCCTGACTCCATGATGGCACCTTTGAATAAACCTCTCGATTGAGGAGACAAGATTTGATAAGCAACAGCCGCTGAGCCTGCTGATTGACCAAAGATCGTAACTTTATTGGGATCACCTCCAAAAAGATGGATATTCTGGTTAACCCATTGTAAAGCTAGATTTTGATCCCAAAGACCAAGATTAGTTGGAAGTTCAGGAATAAGTTTACCAGCATTCAAGAAACCAAAAACTCCAAGTCGATAGTTGAATGTTACTAAAACAACATCTTCAATGATTACCAATGGTATTCCTCGATAGGCATCATGTTCATTGCCACTTCCAGACATGAAGCCTCCACCATGAATCCATACAAGCACAGGTCTAAGTTGTTTATCACGATTATCAAATGTCTCTTTGTTCACATAAACATTCATATAAAGGCAATCTTCATCTTGGTCTACATCCTTTGTTGCCCTGAAATATATAATTCATTATGATTTCACTTCTTATTGTTAACTTGTAACTCACCATGCTTTTTGAGGACAGGCTTTTCCATAGGAAACCGTATCTTTGATTCCTTCCCATGGTTTTGGCTCAGTTGCTCTGAGGTAACGACGTGATCCAACTGGCGGAGTTGCAAAAGGTATTCCTTTGTATTCATAAGCAGCTCGACCTCGCCAATATTCAACAGCACCTCTTATCTTACCAAATGGTAACTCAACGATCTCAGTGTAGTCAACACATGAGACGAGACTGAATGCAAAGAAACAAATTAACAATGACAACTTCATCTTTAGCTGGAAATGATTGAACTGTTCAGCGAAGAGCAAAGGTTTAAATTATAAATGTTTATTTCTCAGACTCGCTATATATACTAGATCACAGACTTGGATAAAATATTAATATTTGTATCTCCAAGAATTTAACAACAAAATTCCAAAGATAAACCAGATTAGGTAAAGTGGGGTATGTTAAGTGATTAAAGTCAGGTAAAAATGGAATATGTTAGTTGATTAAAAGTATATCTCACCGTCAGAAGTAAAGTAGATTATTCAATCAATAAGCTCATGAATCATGATCAATCAAAACTTCATTGTCCTGTTTATATCGACCTGTAATTTGAAAGATAATTTTAGACATCTATTAATAATTGGAATTCATTTCTCATAAATATTATGAAGGAAAGATTTAGATAAAATCAATAGTTGTCTTTGAAAGCCAAGCTAAGTTTTGGCATGAACTAACGCCTACAATCACAAATTTACAGATAATTATTATGTAGATACGTGAAAATTTAATAAGATGTATTAATCTTGTTTGTTTTTGTCTATGGGATTTGATTCAATCTACAATAATATTGAACGCACCATATTATCAGCACATATTTGGTTAATACTGGAATACAATTCAATTGATTACTGTCGATAAAACCAGCAAAATACTTTTCAATTAGCTTCAAGATTACTCTTATAGCAATCACATTCATTCTCAGCAAACAACAAAGCTTTACAATCAAATACAACAGAAATCGTGCTCATCATTTACAATTTACTGATCATTTCACCTGAATGAAGCGTGGTTGATGATTTCGAGTTGATTTTATACTGTTACATGGTGATTATGGTGATAAATGAAACAAGAAACCAGATTTTGACGTTTGTCCAGTAAAAAAATTGGGTTTTGTCAGTAGTTTTAAAAAAATCATCATTTGGTTTAATTATTAAGGAAGTCTAGTTTGGGTCCTTTTTTGGAATCAAGTCTTTAGCATTTTTAGCCTAAAACTGGTTTAAATAATTTGATACAAAACTTGTTTATTAATTGAATTATTTATTAATCTTCATAATTATTGTTATTCAAAAAATATTTAAATTTAGTATGAAAAAAACAAGCATTTTTACATAAAAAACATGAATAATTAGTGAATACAATTTCATGAAGATGACATGAAGCAGCTCAAAATAACAAGATTGAAAAAAGTGTTTTTGCAGATGATAATGAGTGATGATTTAGATAATCCAGTTACCCTTTTCATCCAAAATGAAACCAGTATTTACAAAATTTTAATGCCCTAAATTGATGAAGATGATAGTGATTTTAGCTTTGTTTACCACCAACTTTCAGCTTGTGGCCATGATTGTTCACTGCTTGGCCATGATGGTTCAGGCCATGAAGGTTCAGGCCATGCTTGGACAGTCTTTTTGAGGACTCTGTAAAGCAATGACAGAAACAAATGGTGATTAATATTTGGTTAATTGGAAGGCTTGGTGTGTTCAAGCAATGATACTTACGGAACTGGAAGAGGAAGAGGAAGAGGAATTGGGAAAATGTATCTTTTCTTGGATTTAAGGAGAAGAGCGAGAGCTGCGAGTTTCTTAATCTTCATGATCTTTCGTCGGCCAGCTTCACTTCCACTTGGTGTGAATGTAACTAGAATGATCATGACAGCAGCAATGATACAACAAATTGTGATTGAACGCATCTCTATCAAAAGAAAGTAGAGGAAAAAATATAAATTATTATATAAAAAATAGATTTTATAAAATAATATTGTCAACAAAACTGTCTAAGGTTGGCAGTAACACATGTAAAGAAGAGGGAAAACTCTGGTTAGACTCGAATCTTTTGAAACACGAAACAAACTGACTAAAGTCACAATCAGTTGAGTCCTTCGGTAGCTTGTATCACTTAGTCCAAGTTATGGTCATAAACTAATGGTCAAAACAATAATTGATCAACACAAAACAATTGGAAATGAAGAAACACTGGTTAAGAGAGGGTGAGAGTTTATAAAGGCTATAGGAAGACAGTTTTGTTTGGGTTTACATTAATTTACTCGTTTGCTTACTTGATTAATTTGAAGTTAAGTCCTTTGGTCCTAAACTGGTTAAGTTAACTAAATCAAATGGTTTGTACGAATGTGAATCAAATTAACTAACTAAATGTTTTTATAGTTAAACCAAAAGGGAAGGACCAACCTTTAAAAACACCAATATGAAGATTAAAAACAGGAGGAAAGGCACAAAACAGTTCAACAGTGAAAGGTATTAACAGAAAGTAAAAGTTGAAAGATGATTGAAGAACCTCCTTTTCGGCTTTCTGATGTAAAAACATGATATTTGGTCCGAATTTTTGACCTGAAGCCGTTGTTGTTACCTGTATTATACCCGTTTCCGATTAGGAAGTAGGTTAGGTATTTTTTTGCTTCTCTTACTGATTCACTTACATCTCCATGTTACTGTATATATATATTTATATATTTATACAAATATTTGTAAACAAACTCACGAAACAATTTGAAAGATTAATAATACCTCAGGGTATTCATCCAATTCACTCTCTCTAACCTTTCATCTTCATCCATTTCATCATTCTCATCATGAAAAGTGAAAAATCAGCAGCAAAGGCCGACTCTTGTCCAATAAAGTGAAAGGCCAAACGACCCGGATAATTGTTAATTGAGTTGCTAAGCATCACTACATTAAAACCAGTGATGCTCACGGCATAATCATCATCATCACCACCAGCAAACCTGACCATTTGGACACCCACTTCGGTCTCTTCAATGGCTTACACCTTGCATACCTCATCTCTGATTTAGCTTCTTATTATTCAATTTTATTGCTTCAGGTTTATAATTCCTTGGAACCGGAAGCTTTTTCGGTAACATCTTTCTCATCTTTATCTCCATCATTTAATGTTTTTTTTTCTTGTCATTATTAATAATATTACAACAATTATATCATTATATATTATAACGGACATTCCTGACTCGCCATTAATCTTTCAATTCAAGAGTGTAGACTGTTAATCTCACTCATGATGGACACTTTTATTGTTCACTTACACCAACAATTAAGTCTAATATTTAAGCCTAATAGTACAAGCTGATAGTTAAATCTGGTAATTCAATATTGAGTTGGGTTTTCGACTCTGAAATTATAACAACTTAGCAAATTAAAGAAGCTTGGTGATATCTCAGTATTTTATGGCTGATTTACTCAGAATTTTTTTCCTTTGTTATTCTATCCTTTGAACATTTCATGATAAAATTTAAAGAAACCTTCATGAGCCACGAGTTTGCCAGATCTAGCAAATTTTATTTGAAAGATGCTTCACTTGTTGATATTGTCAGATATTGGGTAAACCAGAAAGTTTTTGTACTCTAAATACAGACAAATATCAAGTAATTTTCATTTTATTATATGATAAAGATTTTAACCAGAAATTTATCAACATCTGCAACCTTAGTCCATCTTTCAACCAATTTGTAAGGCCATTTGAGTAAAAAACGGGTTTCAAATCACAAATTTACCAACGGTCATTTTGATCTGTTTTTGAAAATTGACTGACTGAAACTAAATCACAACTCACCCTTCATTTGCTAGTTAATTAACTTTGATTTGCAAAAAAAAATTTGCGTCGATGTGACAAAGATCAACAAAGTAATTAGCGCAAGAGTGTGAGCCTAACGATAGAGCGCAAAAATTTTCGGTTCTCTAATATTTTCAATGGTAATTTGATATTAAGCATTTGTTCGTCTTTAATACATTAATTTATTCATTACCAAATCATTCGAATTGATTAAGATCTTATGAATTCCACCAAATTACTTGGTGAATGCTGAATTGTAATGTGAGTGTTATTCGCTATATCAAGACAATTCAATTTTCACAATTCAATAAGAATGCTTTGATTAACAAATTGTCAAATCACAGTTGAGTTAATCACAGAAAGTCCCTTGAAAGTGAATGGTTTCATCAATTATCAGTTAACTAACACTTTTCATGGTTACTCGTCTTGAAATACAATTAGTCTTCACATTTCAGACTTGAATTAGTTTCAACCATTTTCATGATTTGTTTGTTATCTTTAATTTTCAATTACAATAATTAAATATTCACGATTGATTGAGATATTTTCAATGAAACCTTTGGTAGTCAAACGTTTGATGCTACAACTGTACATCATCAGTAATCACTTTCAATCTGTTTCCAGACTATAATCAAACATTCAATCAACTCAATCATTCTTTGATTGATATTGATTATTGTAATGATTTAGTTAATTAAAAGGAACAAAATGGTTAATATTAACCGTAAATCAACTGTTGGGTTAAAGACAAAAACCCAAAGTTAAACCAGAAACTGAGGCTTCAACCCAAAAGGAGTGAAACATTAAAAAGATCAATCAACTTGATTGTGAATTTAATTGTCATTTATCAACTGATAATTGACCATAGTTAATGGACGAAACAAATCAAGATAAAATTGCTAATAACTCTGTCTAATCAAGTTATCAATGGTTGGTTCATTTTCACTTCTCAAAATCTGGTTCTTTATTATTATTTTTTGGCTTCGACCTAAATTATTACCAACTTTAACCCAAAGTTATCATCTTTAAACCCTTATAATCAATTGAATTAACTACTGTGTTTAAAACAATTAAATCTTTAATCATCATCCATGAACTTAAATTTTACATTGAGTTATTTATTGTTTTGCGGGTTATCTTATTGTACATTGAATGGTCCATTTTTTGGTCAGTTCAATTTGCTGTTAATCATGTTCAATGATGAAACAGTTAAAAACGATTAACAGTTATATTTTAAGGATCCGGAAGAATCAGAATATTTTATATCTTTTTATCCTTACTTATTTAGATTTAATGATATATTTTTATCATTTAAATGATCATCAGAAAATGAGAGAAAAAAACTGAATCAGTTTGTTTTTAAAATCACTTTCAATTGGATTACCATTTTTGATTGCTGTCCAAATTGAAACATTTTTTAATTATTTACCAAACATATGAAATTAAGAAGCCATTTTAAAATTGATTACATATTTTGATTGATTAAAAGGTTTGATTTGGTTAAATGAGATTCCCTTTGATTCTGGTTAATAACCAGAATCGAGGGAAAATGTATTTCATTCAATATCAGCTTCCATCCTTTTGTTAACCAAAATCAAGATTGGCAAAAAGGTAAATAAAAGCAAATGTAAATTGTTTTGTTAAACAATCACATGATTTAAATTGTAATTCAACTTAATCGATTATTTAATCACTCTTTTGTAACCTTAAATCACCAAATTGTGAATACTCCAAGGTGATTAGCAGATAGCAATTGAGAGCTTTCAGAGTTACATTGGGCTTTGCCGTCATTCATATATTTAACTTGCCATTTTGATTAACCGCCCCTTCAATTGTAATCTAAGTTACCTTTCGATAGTTTTAATCAATTAATTGCTGTACCCACTTTTAATGAATTGGGCCGTTTTTTGCTGTCTATTTACTTTACCCTCTTTGGCTCGTCTCATCCTATCTCTGGTTAATCGGCTAATCAATGTTTGAAGATTGATCAGTCAAAGTTGATCATTCAAAAAGACTGATAATCATGTGTTTAACTATTAGTCTCATTCTTTCTCCCAATTTCTCACTCCTAATCAGTCACAATTTGATCATTGTCATCTCTGGTTGTCACTCAAATCTAGTTAATTGTGTATACACTTGATTACAGTATTTCCCTCTAGATGCAAATAACGTTTTCCAATGGAGTTATGGAAACCTCGAGATTGTCATTTTGTTAATTCTTAGGTTGTTTAGTTCAAATTAGGTTCATATTTATTTTTAATTTCAATTTTACAATTACTGTCATTGTTGTTTCCACCTTTGAAATCCCTTGAACGATACTAGTTTTGATCCACATTTAAATTTGTGTGCGGTGATATAACTGGTGAACATCCTTGATCATTTGTGACTGGCTAACCATTTGACATTTTCAACAATCAACTTATTAACGAAGTTAATTAAGAGTTGACAAGAGATCCAATCAATCAGTGAAAACCAATGATTCTGGTTAAGCGATTTTTCAAAGCTTTAGTTAGGAGAAAGCCGATTGAAGAAGACGCAGAATCAAAATCTAGACTTGTTAGATGTCTAAACACTTTTGACCTAACTGCTTTAGGTAAGTTCAATTATCTAGACTATCTACCTTTAAATCAACTGGTTATTCCAAGTGTTGAATTTTCCGGATTAAATGTTAATCAACCTTTGAATTATTAGTCAATTGTAACCATTACAAACCCGGAGTAACCAGAAAACGCATTGTTTATGTTTTTTCGGTATTAGACTCACCATCTAATCTTGATTTAATGTGTTTAATTGTCTCATTTCAATTTGATCTAATTTTCTTGATTATCTTTCCTCTCAATTAGGAGTTGGTTCTACACTTGGACTAGGTGTTTACGTATTAGCTGGTCATGTTGCCTACAAACAAGCTGGACCCGCTGTGATTATCTCTTTTTTTATTGCTGCCATTGCTTCAGTGTTTGCTGGTCTTTGCTATGCTGAGTTTGGAGCTCGAGTGCCTAAAGCTGGTTCAGCTTATATTTACAGTTATACCACTGTTGGTGAGTTCATGGCCTTTATTATTGGATGGAATCTAATCTTGGAATATGCTATTGGTATGTATAATTACAAATATCTAAAGCATTGAATCGAATACAGTCACCATCGAGATAATGCACTCATTTTTTCAACGATCCCCACAGAGGAGCTAAATCTAATTTGAATTTCAGCAAATTTCATTTCTATTTCTTACTTTATTAAGGACTTAAATCCATTCCACTTAAAATATCAACCAAAATCTCAAGAAATTTACTTTGAATGACATTTCAGGCTGAATCCGATCTATCAACGAAGATTTAAAATCATGAGAATACATTTCCCGGTATATAACAAAATGCCAGGTACTTACAAGTTAGTACCAATAAGCTAATACTTCCAGTGTGGTGCATCATCTCGATTATTGATTGTAATTGATATCTTCAAGGCCTCATAAATTTTGGGCATACTTGCTACTGTTTCGCCTTTTCCCATAATTAACAGTTAATCTATGATTTGTATTTTTCGATTATCATTATCGCCAGGAATTCCTTATTGAAACATTAAGGATCTTTTGTAATATTAATTTCTGGTCCTTGACTGATTCTATCGCATAATTTACTCATATATCAAAGTTATTGCATCATTTTAGCCTAATTTAAAAACTCCTACTGTTGATTGATTTTCCTTTTTCTGGTTATTTCATTAATTTTGGAATTGATTGCATACATAATTGTGTAAAGGTCGGTTAGCTCTTCTGATAAAATTAATGACGTTAATAACATACATTTTCAATAATAGGTGTTATTGCGTCCAATGCTTTACGCAATTCATGTTGAAATTGATTAAAATTTAAAATTATCTCAGATTTAAAGCAAAAATGATGGATTTTCTCGGTTAAAAAATCAGATAAAAGTCTTGCTGTTTCAGTTTATTGTTAATCTTATTGTTCATCTTGAAACGCTCTTCACTTTCAGTTTCTTTTCCGCTTCAGTTGTTGAGTTTTCCAGTAACGTTTTCATTCTTATACAGTCTTGTAGTTATTGACTTGATTCCATCTCCTATTACTTGTAAATCAGTCAATAGATACTATTAGCTATGTTAATTAACTGTTAAAGGGTTTCTGGTTTCGCCCTTTCAATTCATGTTCATTGTGATAATTAATATCTAATCTATTCACTCATCCATCTAATGGTTGATAATTGTCTCGTGATTTTGGTCACCACATGGAAGTGTCAAGTCAATAACATAAACTAAAATAGGATTTGTATCTATTCAGATAAAACCAATCTGTTTAAAGTTTAAGTTATTGACCTTTAACCAAATTAAGTCAAATGCTTGACAGATAGCTACATTTATTTACAATTATATCTTCATTATACATATCTAGTTAGTTCATGATGTCAATTTTAATCAATCAACAATTCAATTATACACCCTTTTCAGTGATACCTAATATACAGAAAAATATCAAACAATAAATGTCAAATCAAACTGCAGATTTACGTAATAAATTTATATAATGATTGCTCTTTTTTTATCCCAGGAACGGCATCGGTAGCGCGAGGTTATAGTGGTTATGTTGATGCTCTTATCGACAATAAGATCGCACATTTTTTCAATGAAACTCTACCACTTCCAATCCCTGGAACTGCTGGTTATTTTGATGGCTTTGCATTCACGTTAACAATGGTCCTTGCCGGTAATACAAATCAACTTGAAATGAATTGAACTTTCACTAATTTCATGTTTCTCATGTCAATCATATTAGTTATGCTGGCTTTTGGGGTTAAAGAGTCGACAGGATTCACTGCCATTTTCACTGTTGTCAATTTGTATGCTGTTTTCTTTGTGATAATTGCTGGTGCTTTTCGTTCTAGTCTTGATAATTGGGAAATTCCTGCGAGTCAAGTTCCTCCCGGTTTCGGCAAAGGGGGTTTCTTTCCATATGGATTTCAAGGTAAATTGTTAATCAATCAAAAGGTTACGATCAACAATAAACAACACTTTTGTTTCCCTTTTTTAGGTGTAATGAAAGGAGCAGCTACTTGTTTCTATGGGTTTGTTGGTTTTGATGCCATTGCTTCTACCGGTGAAGAGGCCAAAAACCCTCAAAGATCAATTCCCCTCAGTATAACGATATCATTGTTTCTCATTTTATTGGCTTATCTGGGTGTTGCTGGTGTTTCAACCTTAATGGCTCCTTACTGGTTACAAGGTTCTAACGCTCCACTCACTGATATTTTCACCATGCACCACGGTTGGGTTGGATCAACTTACATCATCACATTTGGTGCTATTACAAGTTTGTCAACGGCTCTTCTAGGATCTCTATTTCCTCTTCCTCGTGTTTTATTTGCCATGGCATCTGACGGATTGATTCCTTCAGTATTCAAATCTACTGCTGGAGCCAAGAAAACTCCTATTTTCTCGACCATAATGTCTGGATTATTCGCAGGTATAACGGCTGCTTTATTTTCCACCGATGAATTAACTGACATGATGTCCATTGGAACACTGTTAGCTTATACTCTAGTCGCATTATCAGTGCTGATTTTAAGGTATTGTAATTTTATATTTATTTGTCTAAATCTTAACCATTTAAAATTTTCCTAATAACAATTTTGCTCTGTTGTATTAACAATCCAGGTATCGATGTGATGATCCAGTTGACTCAAATCCAGCTCATGAAAAGGATGGAAATGAAGATAATGAAAGTGTAAACAATAACACTGCTGATGATGATCAACTGGTTGTTGTTAGTCAAAAGCCAAGTTTAATGTCTCTTTTACTCAACTTGGAAGGATTTAAGGTACCAAACGAGAGTACAACAGAAGTCAGTGCAACTATTATACTCGTAATCAGTAAGTTTAAACGATTATTTCCTGTCCATCCATTATTTGAACTGTGCATTGGTTTTAAATTGGTTTGATTGTATTAAATACAATATTGTTTCGACCTATTAAGTCAACCTATGATCTCTTATTTTGTAGTCCACTACAATCTATTGTGCCACTTAATTATCCGATTACTGGTCCATTAGTTTCTTCCGTTTACTTCAGTACACAGTTTTTATTGAGACAAAATTGTTCCTAAACTCTAACCTTTCTAACAATGCAATTTAAATGTGTAAAAATTATAATAACTAGCTCTTATTGTTTTCAAATCAACTAATTTTTTCCTCTTCTCTAGGCTTTCTCTGTTTGATTCTCGATGGATGTTTAACCTTCCTGTACGATGAAATTGTTGCTGGCAGTATTTACTCATTGAGTGCTATTGCTATTATTTTTACTTTCATCATCATTCTCATGATTTTACTTAATCGACAACCTCAAACCTCAATCCCAAACCAGACTCGCCTTTAAGGTAATTATCTAATGATATACAAGGTTATTACCAAGCCTTATTAGTACCAATTGCGTTTTCGTCTACTTCCGCCTTACTTTCCTTACTTCAGGTTCCACTTTTACCTGCACTACCAATAGTATCTGCATTGTTCAACTTTTATCTTATGTATAATCTGAGTAAACGAACATGGTTTCGATTTCTCGTTTGGATGGGATTTGGTGAGTTTAAGTTTCTACATGTCAATTTAATTTAATTGACAGTTTTAAATGATTAGATGAATACTCATTTTGTTCTCATGACAAGCCTACATGACAATATAATTAAAACTTTTAGGTACCCTTGACCTGGTCAACATCTAATGTTGTGCGGTCACTTTTTGTCTTTAGGCTAAGTAAAAGTAAAAATATCTCAAACTTGATCATAATTTTTATTGATTAGTAAATTGAATCAATGTATACGAAGGAATCGTTGAAAAATTGCATAGCTTGATTCAGTTTGATAAAAGTAATGAAATGGATATTCAATCTAATCAGAATGTTTGTTTGATAAATCATTTACTAATTTATGTTTTTACCTTTTCAGGTTTATCTACATATTTCATGTTTAGCATGAGAAACAGCAAAGGTTACTTAAAGCAAAGTTATAAAGAGACCGAAGATGAGGAATCGGAAGAAACGAACCAACCAGTGATACCAGTTGCACGAAACGAAGATATTCATAACAATCACTTTAATAATCTGTGATTTAAAATACGACCATTTTTAAAATCAATTAGTTTCATTATTTCATCTGTATTTTATTATTCATTAAACAAGTGACAATTCAATATACTTCTTCCAATAAACATCAAAGTTTAATTGTGAATAATAGTGGATGTTAATTGTTACTGTTTTTCAGTCACCATTGAGAAACTGTAGATGCAGTAAATAGTAGTGGAGAGAAAATCGACAATTCATTTTCTCACATCGATATATCGAATATTTGCTAAATTATTAAGTAGAAAAGTGCGATACGGATCTGAAAAAATATCGGATACTTGTCTGGAAAAGCTGACAAATTCAAAATTTCAAACTTTGTTGTTGTTGTTTTAGTTGCATTGTTACTGGTCATTTCGGATTCTGTGTTTAACTAAAGATCAGATCAAGTTAAATGTTATCTGAATAAATTTATTTGTGTCGCAGGCAAAAGTTTATTTCTGAGCAAGTGTTTCTTTGTAGATTGGTGTTTTTTTAATAGTTAAAGCCTCACAATGAGTGGTTATAGACAAAAAAACTACATTACCGCCAAATCTTCCAACTCTGCTCCAACGGATAAAATTGATTCAACCGATCCCTGTTTATTACCTTTGGCTGCTCGTCGAGCTCTTTTTGAAAAAAATTTTACTCGCCCAGCTGTTAAAAACAATAACATTGAAACAGTTCTTCATGGTCTCAACCAAAAAACAAAAGAAAGAAATAAGTTTCTCGACCAAAATAATTTGGCTAGTGAAACTCCCATCGGTTCATCTATCGGTTCATCTATTGGTTCGACTAAAAGAAACAATGACATCGAAGAAAATTTACAGGATCTCACCCAAAGAACAAAAGACAGAAATGATTTTCTCGAGCAAAATTATTTGGCTAGTGAAATTCCCATCGGTTCATCTATCGGTTCGAATATAAGAAACAGTAACATTGAAGTAGATCTACAGGGTTTCACTCAAACAACAAAAGAAAGAAATGAGTTTCTCGAGCAAAATGATTTGGCCAGTAAATCTCCAATCGGTTCAACTATTAGAAACAATAACATTGAAGAAGATCTACAGGGTCTCATCCAAAGAACAAGAGAAAGAAATAAGTTTCTTGAGCAAATGAATTTGACTATTGAACCTCCCATGAGTTCAACTATCGGTTCAACTTCTAGAAACATTGACAGTAAAGAAGCTCTTGCAGCCTTTAAAGAAATTGAAAAGAATCGATCGAAAGCTGATATCAGTGTTTTGAATATCACTAAAGAGAAAGATAACCTGCCTGAGCATGAGAATGTTAATCATGCAGAGACTTCTGAAGATGATCTCAGCGATTTAAATATTTACAAAGAGAAAGATATCCTGTCTGAAGATAAGAATGTCGAACATGTAGAAACATATTCCAATGATTCTATTATTTTGAATAAAGCAGATATATCATCAACCGATGAGGAAAACTGCAACCAGGATTATAAAAACAATCTTAATTATTCTTCTGAAACCGATGAGAAAAATTCATCATTCAGTGACAAAAATTTCGATCTTCAAGAGCGAAATTGCCCTCAAGAAAGTGATGCCAACGGTTCAATCGGCAGCGATACATCATCTCTTCTTTCGAGTGTTGATGAAAACAACACTGTTATAAGTCAGTCAACAAAAATATACCCAGAACTACCTCAGTTCGACGAAATAGTTTATAAAACCTGTTCGGAAAAAGTTGAAGAACCTTTGAAAAGTATCATCTCGCCCATCAAAATCTGCGATTATCCTACAGTAGTGGTATCTCCTAAAAAGAATGTTCAAAATGACCCTGTGAAACCCAAATCATCCCAAGCAACCACTCCTTTGAGGACTCTAAGCATGTATCGAAGAGAACAGAAGATTCAGCAAACACTCACAAAACCTGCCGATGATGAAGATGAGATAACCACCGACTTAGAAAATGAAGCTCTCAAACGTGATCTTCTGAAAAAGTATCATGAAGAGAAATCTAAAAAGATTGAAAACCTTAGAATCGAAGCGGATAAATTGAACAAAATCATTTATCAAAGTTTTCGTGCATTGGATCACTGTGTTCAAATCAAGAACATTTCAGAGCGCATCGAAGCTGAGAAAATTCTTCTTACCAACAGTAAGTAAATATTATTTCTTTTATATCTTCTTATTTTAATCTTCTTTTAATCCTAATTTTTTTCAGTGGTTAAAAAAAATGCCTGTGTTGATGAGCTGTATAGATTACAGAAGGAAGAAAATTTCGATATCACAGACGATCCAATTGGAACAGTAACTTTCAACAAACTCATGCTTTTAGTCAAAGGAAACTTTTTTGTTTCTCAAGTCAGTGGAACCGGTAAGTTAAAGTTTTATCTTTCTTGGAATCATTTATATTTGTAAATAACAAAATTGCGATGTTTATCTTCAACAGATCTATGTGAATATCACTTTATTTGTCTTTTCACTTGTGGTGAGAAAGTTTTTTCAACTGACGCTCTATCTTCCACCCATACTATACAAGAAGCATCTCTCAGTTTCAAGAATAAGATAGAATTCGATAAATTAAGGAAAGATTTTCGCATTCGTCTGACCGTTTATGCTTTGGCTTTACCTAAGGGAAAAAGAAATCATGATAAAAAAAATATTCGCCTGACTCCGAAACACAAATCTAAAGTTAAATATACACATTCACCAGCGTTGAAAGCATCACCTAAAAGTGAGAAAATTAAATGTAATTTCAAAAAAATGGGACAGGTCGATTTCACTCGTGATAACATCATGAGAAGTCGTTTTTCATTGGAAAACTTTATGTATGAATCACCTTTAGAAGATCAAATTATGGTTGATCTGGTGATTAGAGGCCAGTATAACATTAAGTTTTCTAGCTATTTGAATTTCCATGAGACATCAGGAGACTATCCTGTTTGGAACCGTCGATGGTGCGTCCTAAATGGCTCATCTATCTATTTTTGGCGATTTTCGGAGGATGAAGGAGACAAACAACCAATGGGTGTGATAAATTTGAAACATTGTGTCAATCCAAGAATCAGCAAAGCCACTGCAGATATAAGCATGAGACCGAATTCTTTTTCTTTTCTCACTCTTGAAAGACAAAATAATTCTTTTATTCCTACGAAACATTTAATGGCTGCAGACATTCGTAAAGAAAGAGATGGTTGGCTCGAAAATTTGAACAAAGCTTTAGAAATGATCAGACTCTGGGAGCCAGATTGTCTTCAGCCCATGGATCAAGCTTCTTTGGATAGACTCTTGAAATGAACTTCGTATGTTAATTTCATTACTTTTCATTAATTTTAAAACGAAAATCGCAACTTACAAAATCTATCGTTTATTATTCCATTTTGATTAATTGAAGAATTTTTGTTCGAATTATTATATGCAAAATTTTTTATGCTTTGTAAATCTACGCTCTAAAATGTATTCCTTACATATTCGTGTATTCGTATAAACTTTTGAATTTTCATGACTTAACTTCAATGCTTAAATTTATTTTAACTAGGGAAACGATCTTATAATGTAGATCGTTGAAAATTGAAAATGTCATCCCTAGATTTTTTCATTCTTTTTAATAATTTATCTTTCGAAATTCGATCAGCTTTTATCTAAATCAGGAGATGTTTAAGTCAACGGATGTTAATAGTTACTGTTAATTTAGCTGCAGTAAATAACACTTTATTATAACAGTAGAGAAAATCGATACTTGATTTCTCACACCGATGTATCGCATATTTGCTGAATTATTAAGTAAAAAAGTGCGATACGGATCTAAAAAATATCGGATACTTGTCTGAAAAGGCTGACAAATTCAAATTTTGTTGTTGTTTTAGTTGCATTGTTACTGGCTATTTTAGATTATGTTTCAAATAAAGATCAGATCTAGTTGAATGATACCTGAATAAATTTGATTGTGTCAAAGGCAGGAGTTTATACAGAACAAGTGTTTCTCTGTTATTTTGTGTTTTATTTCAAATTAAGAGCCTCACAATGAGTGACATTAAGCAAAACGACTACATTACCGCCAATTCATCAAACTCCATTCCAACGAATAAGATTGATTCAACCGATCCCTGTTTATTACCTTTAGCTGCTCGTCGAGCTCTTTTTGAAAAAAAGGCAACTCGTCCAGTTGTTGACATAACCAGAAACAATGACATTGAGGAGGCTCTTGCAGCTTTTAAAGAAATCGAAGAGCTTCCGTCTGAAGATGATCTCAGCGATTTAAATATTTACAAAGAGAAAGATATCCTGTCTGAAGATAAGAATGTCGAACATGTAGAAACATATTCCAACGATTCTATTAGTTTGAATGAAGCAGATATATCATCAACCGATGAGGAAAACTGCAACCAGGATTATAAAAACAATCTTAATTATTCTTCTGAAACCGATGAGAAAAATTCATCATTCAGTGACAAAAATTTCGATCTTCAAGAGCGAAATTGCCCTCAGGAAAGTGATCCCAACGACTCAATCGGCAGCAATGCTTCATCTCTTCTTTCGAGTGTTGATGAAAACAACACTGTGATCAGTCAGTCAACAAAAATATATCCAGAACTCCCTCGGTTCGACGATTTCGTTTATAAAACCTGTTCAAAAAAAACCGATGAACCTTCAAAAAGCATCATCTCACCCATTAAAAGCTTCAATCAGCCTACTGTACATCATCATCATCCATCTCCTAAAAAGAATGTTCAAAATGACCCTGTGAAACCCAAATCCTCACAAACAACCACTCCTTTGAGGACTCTAAGCATGTATCGTAGAGAACAGAAGATTCAAAAGACACTCAAAAGATCTGCCGATGATGAAGATGAGCTTATCACCGACTTGGAAACTGAAGCTCTCAAACTAGATCTTGTTGAAAAGTATCGTGAGGAGAAATTAAAAAAGATTGATGACCTTGCAGTGGAAGCTGATAAATATAATAAAATCATTTATCAAAGTTTTCGTGCATTAGATCTTTGTGTTCAAACCAAAAACATTTCAGAGCGCATCGAAGCTGAGAAAATTCTTCTTATTAACAGTAAGTAAATATTATCTCTTAGATAATATCTTCTAACGATCTTAATTTTTCTCAGTGGTCAGAAAAAATGCCTGCGTTGATGAGTTGTATCGATTAAAAAAGGAGGAAAATTTCGATATCACAGAAGATCCAGTTGGTAAAGTTACTTTCAACAAACTAATGCTTTTAGTCAAAGGAAACTTTTTTGTTTCTCAAGCTAGCGGCCTCGGTAAGTTCATTTTCTTTCGTTTTTTTCTAATAAAAATTTTGGAATGTTTTATTAGGAATTATTCATGATCGTAAATAACAAATTAATATATTTCTCTTTGATAGATTTATGTGAATATCATTTTATATGCCTTTTTACTTGTGGTGAGAAAGTTATTGCAACTGACGCTCTATCTTCCACCCATGCTATACAAGAAGCATCTCTCAACTTCACGAATAAAGCAGAATTTGATCACTTAAGGAAGGATTTTCGCATTCGTCTGACCGTTTATGCTCTGGCTTTACCTAAAGGAAAAAGAAATCAGGATAAAAAAAATATTCGTCTTACTCCTAAAAACAAATCAAAAGTTAAATATACACATTCACCAGCGTTGAAAGCATCTCCTAAAAGTGAGAAAATTAAATGTAATTTCAAAAAAATGGGATATGTCGATTTCACTCGTGATAACATCATGAAGAGTCGTTTTTCGTTGGAAGAATTTATGTATGAATCACCTTTAGAAGATCAAATCATGGTTGATTTGGTGATTGGAGGTGAATACAACTTTAAATTTTCTAGCTATTTGAATTTCCATGAGACATCAGGAGACTATCCTGTTTGGAATCGTCGATGGTGCGTTCTAAATGGTCCATCTATCTATTTTTGGAGATTTTCTGAAGATGAAGGAGACAAACAACCGTTGGGTGTGATAAATTTGAAACACTGTGTCAATCTAAAAATTAGCAAAGCCACTGCAGATGTAAGCATGAGACCGAATGCATTTTCATTCGTAACTCTCGAAAAGCAAAATAATTCTTTAACCCCTATGGAGCATTTAATGGCTGCAGACATTCGCAAAGAAAGAGATGGTTGGCTCGAAAATTTGAACAAAGTTCTAGAAATGATCAGACTCTGGGAGCCAGATTGTCTTCAACCTATGGATCAAGTTTCTCTAGATAGCTGCTTGAAATAAAATTCTTATGTCTATTGTACTATTTTTCATCAATTTCAAAATCTCAAAATGTATCGTCTTCATTTTATTCATCAATTTTTGTTCGAACTATTATTTTCAAAATTTCCCATACTTTGTAAAAGTATTCATTATTCTTATAAAACTTTTGCATTTTCAAGCCTTAACGTCAATACTTAAATTTATTTCACCTACATAAGCAATGTATAAGGTAGATCATTGAAAATTGAAAATTTAATAATGATAATTACGGTATAACAGGTTAAATAAAAAAATCAATTTGCCAATTTCACTTTACTAAATAATAAAAATTAAAACTCGAAGCTTATGAAATAGATGGCAGATTGGATAGTTTATAATAAACAATTGATGAATTTACATGTCGACGACATTATCATGTTTTATAACAAATTGCTATTCGGCTTCGAAATCAGTCAAGGTCCGATGGATAGTCTGGATCTTCATTCCTAGGGCAATCAGGTTCAAATTTAATATCATTATACCGTCTTTCCAGATCACGAGTGACTATTTCCCTGCGTTTCTTGTGCTTTTCAGTCTGTGCCATGACAAATTTATTTACCAAGGTGTAAAAAAATCTCGAGCGTAACATATAATATGTGACAAAATTGTTGATTTTAAGAAGTATCCATTCATAAAAATTCAAAGGAATGGAAACTGGAACTCCAATAATGTCAAACCAGAAGTGAACAGATACATTAAAGTTCAATGAAGCATTAATCTCTTTAAGAGCAGTTATATAGCCTTTTGATACTGCCCAGCCAATTGGTAGACCATCTGGAACTTTAGAAAGAATTGGAACGAAATATTGTTCCTCAAATTGTTTGTACAATTCTCGAAAATCTTCCAATGATCCATCACAAACGTTGTACTTGTCATCAACTCCAAGAGCATACCCAAAGACTCTCCAAGTGTACAATACTTGTTCCAATTCTTCTCGAGTAATACCATGAGCTCCACAAGCTTCTGGATAATTAACGAAGAGTCCAACAAAAGGAAATTCAGACAAGATTATATCATAAAGGGAACTGTGAAGTTTATGGACACCAACTTCCTTTTCCATCTGTTTATTCATTGAAAGGCACAGTTTTATGTGCATTTGGCGGACTTGGCTGAATGACTTGTAGGCTGGACTGTCTGGTACAAAAGGATCGCTCGTAAACCATTTTTGCATATGAACAGCTGTTGCTAAATAACGGCGATAAATTTTAGCAATGGTTTCATGGTTTCCAGTGGTCAACACCGGCTTTAAAAATGATGAACCTTGGAATGCCAAAAGATTTCCCATCAAAATGGAAACGAATGAGCTGCAGGATGAATAAAAGTTTATGAATAATTATGATTTACTAATCCATGACATATATTATAATGATTAAAGGTATATTCATCTGTGATTAGTCTGGATATATTGTAAATGGCTACACTGATTGATGTAAGTGAAAGACAACTTTCTTGGGGAAAATCATTTAAAGTAAATCTTTTCCTGATTATCAAGGCAAAATGAGCAATAACCAACTCTGTTTAGTTTACTTGTGATCGTAAAATGTTTAATAAAAAGTAAATTGTAGTTATTTAATTTCATTTTATTGCTATCAAATCATCTTGAAATTTTTTACTTTGGTTAAGATGTTGGTGATGATTAGCTATCGTCCATAAATGATAAAATGACTGATGAATATTAATTCATTAATTTTAACGCTGCAATAGTTATTAAAAATTTACATGGTTGAATGAATTCGAGAAAAATTGATAAAAAATAAATCCTTGAATGTCAAGAAATCAAACTCCAATTTAAACCTTACTGCAGTCAAACCCAATCAGTAAAAAGTACAAGTGTAATATTAAATGAACATCAACTTCCCAGTTACAAGATTAATTATTGATTGGATTATTTGTTCAAGTGGCTTACAACTTTCCTGAGTAAATAAGGTGTTGAAGATCATATAAGCTGAATCAAGATAAAGATTACTGAATTTGACTGAAATTTCTTAATAACAAAAACAAAAACACCGTAAGTGAACCATGAGATGCACGAGATCAAGTACGGAAACCATGTTTACAAACTTATTGTTTTTATCGGGAAATTTTTTAATCTCATGACATCAGTCAGATTACAATCGGATTTGAAATCTGATGAGATTACTCACTAGCATGCTATTTTTAAGTCAAAGTTGACATAAAATTCAGAAATAGTTGTTTCTCATTGTTCTAGGTTAACAAGTTAACCTTCACTGATTTGGCTCTTTTTGATACTTTTTCACAGGACCTTAAGACCAAAGACTTTACTAATGATCAATCAGTAATTAATTATGGTATGATTATTGACTTACCTGTAAAAGTATTTCATACATGTTTGTTGAGATTGGGCGAGCTTATCCTTGTCGTACCAATCTGGTGGTTTGGTTGGGTCAAATGTGTCACAAACAGCTGGTAGGTAAGAGGCTTCATCAACCAATAGTTGATATTTAGTTTTGGCCTTTTCTTTCAAGTCCGTCTTTTTGCACATGATTTAAAATAACGTTTGATTAACTGAGAAACTTAATACGATTGAAGTAAATAAAAAAAGGGAGAACGAATTTAAACTCTTTAATAGTCGGTTTGATGTTGACGCGGTAAGAGCTAGAAAGTGAATGAACAAGATCAAGAGACAAGTTATTTGCGTAACTCGGGATTTGATCAAGGTTGTGATAACCATTTCTAGTTTACAACCCGTTCAGTTAAATTCAAGAAGTTTCATTTTTCCATTCTAAGATTTTCGAAGGGAGACTTTCTCACTCTAACAACTGGATAAGTTACCTTTATTTTCAAAAATAGCTCAACGAGCAGTCAAAGGTTGTAAACATGGATCGGTGAATGAATTTTAATCGTTGGAATAGAGTTGGATTAATTGACGGTTTTGTAGCTCTGTTGTTTATTATCACCCATTGTGAGACTTATAGTTTTAAGTAACACAACAATTAACTACTTCGCTCTGGTGAAAACATATCAAGCAAAAAATAACAAATCTTCGATGTGCATTGACTGATGGAATTGTTTATTCAAATCAATATCATTGATAGCATCAGTTGAATAACTATGCTATATACATTTACTCTTGATTTAAAAAATTGGTCATTATAAATTAACATAGTTGAGTTGATAAAAATAAAGTAATCAAACCTGTAGCAAATTGTACAATTTCATTAGCACCCAATTTCGATTCACCATAAAATCTATCAACAAAAGAGATTGGCACAGAGGCTAGTTTATATCCTTTTTGTCTTGCTTTCACTATCATTTCCATCTGAAACACGTAGCCTTTGGATTTACAATCGTCGACTAATGATTTCAACACGTTTCTTTTATAAAGACGAAAACTTCCAGTTATATCACTTACTCCGGGCATTAATAAAATTTGCGTCAAATAATTAGCGGCTGTAGATATAAATTTTCTTTTAAAGTCCCATCCATAAACACCGCCGTCGCCTTCATAACGAGAACCAGTAACAATGTCATAATCACCTTCTTTCTGTTTTTTAATAAATTGAGGAATAAATTTGGGATGGTGGGATAGATCAGCATCCATAATTACAATAAAATTGCCTTTTGAATGTTTCAATCCATGAATATATGCAGTTCCCAAACCAAGTTTGCGTTCCCTGGGTCTCAATACAATCTTGTCATCTCCATAAATTTCTTGTAATTGTTGAGCAACTTCAAGGGTACCATCCGGTGATCCATCGTCAATTATAATTATTTCATATGAATGATCTCTAAAAAAGATACAATAGATAAAATTAAATAAATAAGATTAACATTGGGAAAACAAAAACTACTGGACAACTTGATAATTTGACAACATGACAACATTTAAAAATGATGTAAACTTACTCAGCATCCATGTATTTTACAATTAACCAAATGATCAGCGGAAGATTTTCCTTTTCATTGTATGTCGGCAACAAAATTGAATATTGTACCATAATTAAATAATTTAACAAATATAATTTAACAAATTATTTTAAGATTGATAAAAAGTGTACAAATAAACAAAAATAGGTAAGGGTAAACGAGAACCCGTCAGCTCACTTTTTCATCTTCAAAGTCTCAGCTAGCTGGAATGAAAGTATCAGCGCTAAGAGCTGGCTCATTATTTGTTAATTAAATCAATTCTTATTAGTTAAATATAGTCTGGATTTAGGATGATTTGTATTCCAGTCTATAAATAGAGTCCCCCAAGATCCTGTCTTCGCTGACACCTGTGACTTAATAAGAGAATATGAATTTCCAGATCATACTATAGTGTCACCCTTGTCAACATGTTTCATGATCTAGACAGAATGTGCTCGAGATGATTGTGATCAATCTAACTAACATCAGCTCATACTGTCAACAGCAACTGATGACCCAA